TTGTTGCAATCTACATAAAAAATGCTGTAAAATGATATATTCACATAGTTGATTTGAGTAAGTAGAACGGCGAAATAAAAATATTAAAAAACGGAACATTTCAACTTGCAATTTATTTTTTGCGAAACCAGGGCATATTCACAAGAAGTGGCGGTTACATGTCCGATATTTTGGCGTGTAGAATCACCAAAAAATTGGGGTCCAAATCCGTGGCATATCAACGCCCCTTGTTAGATTTTTTAAAACTTGAAATACATGCACAATGAAGGCAGAACAACATATTTTTAAAAGTACTTAAAACACTTGGACCCAGAGGTAATTGGCAAAAATGTCAGACACGTGTCTAACAGTTTTCAATATATCACGAAAAAGGTCATCTCATGTCCTTATTGAGGGAGGATTATGATCGGATCAGGTGATGATGAAATGACCAACCAACAGTATTTCCAGTTTGGTCGTTCCTGATCATTTTAGTCTGCCTATCCTTTCGCGTTTCGGCTTCGAGCCATGCTAAGTTTTTAGAAACAATTTGTCGTCAAAACCTACATCTGAAAATGGAGTGAAGCTCAAACCCGTCTGATAGACCAAAAAATTCATAAATTGCCAAACTGCAGGTTCGTCACCAGGTAGGTTTCAAAAGAAAATCTCACAATACAACGGTGAATGTGCGATGAAATCACTAGTACAGTTTTTATTGGGCAAGGCAATTCACCAACTATTTAAATTTATTTGTATTTTTTGGAGAATTTTTTTTCTGACAACCGAAACTGTTCGGATTAGCAGGACTCGACTGGAAGGTGAACATCAATATTTTTAGTTGCTTAAAATATTGAGCTTGTATTATAACAGGTCATTTTAAAATTTGATGCGTTTTACTTTTCCCTGGCTATCGTCTCCATACTCATCAGTCTAAAAATTAAATTATCAATTGTAATATTTATTTAAGGATGAATTTTTTTATTTTGTACTTTTTCTCTGTGTGGACCAAAAATTTAATCGACCTCCGGCAGTCGGACCCTCCATGCCGTAATTTTCCTTTAAATTATATATTATGTAATGTTTCTAACTTTTCTTTTCTTGCAATAAAGTATTATTATTATTATTATTCAAAAATCGTGAGATGCGTCTGATGTGATGTAGATTTCATTAAAACATTTTCTTTATCGTGCCAACGTTTCAATCTTTATTGAGATCATCTTCAGGGCTCAAAGAGTTCTGTGTAATTGTGCCATTCTTGCATGTCGTGTTGAGAGTGTGTGAAGTTGATTATTATTATTACTCATCAGTCGCAAGCCGAAAGACAAGAAGGTCTTTCGATCAAATCAAAACCGAGGGGTGGAAAAAACGCTTTTCACCCCCAAAGCCCGGGGCAAATACAAACGTCTGAAAACCACTTAACTGTTCCAAGTATTGACTCGATTATGTATTCCCTATTGGATGGACAAACATATGTGGGAAGATAAACGAGGTCTAGTTGACTGTGGACACAGGTGTTTCGTTTTATCACACCGTGTCTCACATTCGTTTCTTCTTAGATATAAGATGTAAACATTATTACTTTTAAGTCACATACTACTTTTATGTACTATAATTTATTCAGCACCTGAATTGATTCTACTTCAAACTCTGTATTACCTTGACACGAGCTTGATTATGTGTTATCCGTTTAAAAAAAAAATACGAAAACTGATCCAGACAGATAGATATACAATACTTTATTTACAATTCTCCTTCTCATTCTTTCAAACCAGAATATAACAACATGGAAGAGATTCCGTTTGTCGGTGAGCGTTGCAAGGATAATAAAAATCACATAGGAAAGAAAACTAAACAAAAATTACTTTCTGACCTTAGAAAATTAACCGTTTTAACTATATCTAAATATACATCCATTGTGAAAAATTATAAATTTAATCAACCTACATAAATTAAAAGCGAGTCTCTAGGAAACAGGGCCTATTTTCAAGTAAATATATATGTCCAACAAATGTATACTTAGCAGCTTTTATATGCAATAATGAGGCTTATTCAATAAGCTAGGCCCTGTACAGTCATACCTATAGTTGCAGGCGTGTCGGGCGTACCATATAAGCGTCCTAACATCAGAACCATCGAAAAATTGTATTAACCTTTCCTTCTTTAGAGTGAAACTTCTGAAATATAACTTCCTGATTTCTTCCAGAATAGTACATTCGGCCATAAAATGGAATATATCCTTTATCGCTCGCCAGTTGCCTAGTCGACTTGAACCATCTCCATCCCTTCCCCTTATAACAGTTTAAATATAAAATATTACATCTACTATTAAAGAACGGCCTAAGTTCTTTTAATGATAAGCATTCAAAATTATCCTTTTTCAAATTGAATAGGCTTGAGTTGTGAGAGAGAAGCCTACATGACTAGAGCAGTGGGCCGGGTTTAGTATTCTATGTATTGCTGCTGGGAAATTTTGGATGGATGGACTGAAAACTATTCTGACCATCTAGAAATACCATGACCGCCGTGTAGGAAAGGTCGTACTTTTCGAAAATTCTACGCCATTGTTCGAACCAGGACGTAATGGCTTTTATAATCTCGTGAGGTGTAATTCTAGTCACCAAACTCCTCCAAACAAATGAGGAATGGTTCTGCCGAAATTTCTTAGTAGGCATATAGTTAGGCGTATAATTCGGCAACGAAAATAGTTTGCATATAAAAAAAAATCTTTGCAATTTTTCTATGATGTCATAATGATGGAAACCCCATATTTGACCAGCATGGAAGAGGATGGATTAAAATCCGCAAATTGGGATTTGAGTGGGACAACATTTTGAGCAATCAAAGGCACCCATGTCCTTCAAAGGGCTAATTTCACTCCTGATACGCTCTACTTCAATGTATAGACATTGCGAGCTAAAGCGTGAGTACGACACCTAAGTGTTTGTATTCGTTAACCACTTCAGACCTCTCTCCTATGACAAACCACCTGTCAGAAGATTTCAGACGTCCTCCCTTTACGAATTTAGATACCATTATTTTGGGCCTTTGAACGTTTAACGTTAGATTCCATTCCTGGCTGTAAGCTTCCAACAGTTTTATATTATTTTTCCACCAGAAGCATTCTCAGCCATAATAACAATATCTACCGCGTATAATATTCTCTATTTTGAAAAACAAAACTAGTACACATTCTATACAACAACGTAGTGTAACGAAACGCCATCCCCTCCGGGATGGACAAAGCCTTTTGGGTTGGGGCTTTTAATTTAACTAGTTTGAATGAATTTTGTAGTGACCAATTTTGTAAATGGATAAAACTATGCTGGACACTTTACCCCTGGTAGTGGTGCGGTTACGAATGAGGTGATAAAACTAATCAAAGAACCATTAAAATAATTATGAGCTAAATTATTCAAATCCTGTAGTATTTGAAGAACAGGTGCATCTTTGAAACGTGCCGACACAATTTTGCAGCAAAAGTACAGGATTGCAAGTGATATAAGAAATCATAAATCTTTTTTCCTTCTCCATATGAAGTCGTAGGGATTTCTCTTTCTAGCACATAAATTCGTCTATTGTGCCGCTCTCTTCTGATGAAGTTTCTGGAAGACTTTCGATTTTTGTAAGAATTTTATTCAGAGGTATAGTATCATAGTCTTTATAGCTCAAGATCGGTTTGCTCGGGTACATCTTTTCCTAGTTGTCGCAGGCCAGCTGTTGCGTAGGATATATACAGTTATCACTGTCTTATCAGGTATAATGATTCTCTTTTAATGTGACTGTAGTTTATGCTTAGTTTTTGTAGAACTTCTAGTTTGACCCACATTAGTATTAGGCTATTTGATGATCCCAGCTTTAAAAGTTATTTAGGCAGTTCTAGACAGGTTTGGAGGTGAACCCAAAGGCTCCAAAAGCCGGTCTCAAGCTTTGCCACTACTGGGTACGTAGTGGTGGTGGACAGTTTCAAGGGCTGCAGAAACAAACCATTGTCGATGTTTCCTTTTGATTCGTTCTGAGTAGTGTATATATTTTGTATTCTGAACTTGTACATGCTTTTGCAAACCGTTCTGGTCCTTGCACATCTACAATACTGGAAGTTGTACAGTTCCACATTTTGTCACTAATGAGGATCAGTCCAAGTAGTCAGGATTAGTCAGTTCCAAGTAGCTGCTGATACAAACATATTATTATCGTTGTTTCCTTTTGATTCGTTCTGAGTAGTGCATATAATCCGAGTTCTGAATTAGTTCAGGCTATCCTGGAACTCCAAAATGTTTGCAACTTTCCCTCAGACTCACAAGAGCTAAGTGACGTGTTCTATTGAAGTTTGGCTTCGGTTTTTATCCTTACTATATTATCGTAGTTCCCTTTTAATTGTTTCGTTTTGAGCGGTACAGATATTTGTACAAACTTGTACTAGTGCTGCAGTAACTCCATATTGTTCTGGTTCTGCGCTGTTGGAACGCCAGTTCTATACTTTGTCACTACTGACCCTGTGGGGGTCAGTACCAAGTAGCTGTCGAAACCATTACCGTTGTTTACTTTTGGTTCGTTCTGAACAGTGCATATATTTATATATTATTAGTGGTATAAGTCTGAGACGCCGGTTTCACACTTTGTCACTAGTTAGGAAATGAGGGTCAATTCTAAGTAGCTGTTGAAACAAACCTACTATTATCGTTGTATCGTTTGATTTGATTAGTTATGAGCAGTGCATAAATTTCGTGTTCTGAACTTGTACAGAACCTGCTGTTACCCCAAACTGTATACACCCTGTCTTGATCCCTGCACTGATTGAAGTGAGTCGCCGGTTGCACACTTTGCCTACGAAGGAGGCAGTGAGGAAGTGAGGGTCAGCTCTAAGTAACTGTTGAAACAAACCTACTATCGTTTCCTTTTATTTGATTCGTTTTTCCTTTTGATAAAGGGCGTGATAATAAAATTCACCATGTGGGGAAACTGTTGGGCCGGAGGGATATTTCGTCGGCTGTTGGCCAGCTAGTTGGATAACAGTGGCAATGGTCTGAAATTTCCATCCTGTTCCATTTATCAAAACTGAACGGACGGTGTTTGTTTACGACCGGCGTTTGGCAGCGAAATGGAAGACTACGAGTCGGAAGAGGTTGACGCCGTCGGCCTCGGCTGCTCCCTCGACAGGTTCATCGAATGGAAAGAAATCCTCGACATGGTCTCCGTACTCAAACGGGTCAAGGAGGTCGATATCCGTGAGGCCGAGCGCACCTACGAGCGGTTCAGGTTCGTCATCAACCAGTACAAAGAGCAGCCTCATCTTCTGGATTCGCACATAGCTGAAATCCTGGACGAGATCGTATCCGTGGCCATGGACGAGGCCGTCTCGCTCGACTCGAAGCACAGGGCTTTCAAATACATGCACCTCGTCGTCAACGTGAGGGGGTTCAAGGCGGTTTTGCAACACCTTCCACATGCGGTATTTTATTAAAACCATCTTTTATTGAGTAATCAATTAAAGTTTAAACCCTTTCCTTCTTAAATTTAAACATGGACATCCCATTTCGATAGTTTAATGACAGGTGGTCTCCATGAGTAACTGAAACTGCAGACCATACTCATAATTTTGCAACCTCTGCCTCCGATCAGGGTTGCCACTATTCACAAGCATATCAACAATATTTTCTTAATCCATATATGTTTAGAAGTCATAATTGACCTATTACTTATTTCAATTAATTTTACTTATTATCTATCATGATCTTCGGCTTTCGTCGGTTCGAATCCCACTCATGACACTAACTTTTTCATCTCGACCAAGACCATAGATAAAAAGTATATTTATTCGAAATCTTTATTTATTTTAATTTCGGTATTAAACTTTTATTTTATTAACGCATTTTAACCCTTATAATCATCATTGCTAAATTGCCCACAAATTGTTCTCTCTAAGATATCCATATATCCATTGGCAGTCAATCAGGAATTCAGAGCGGAAGTGGCTGGTTTCTTACCAAGTAATGCATATTGGCAGCATATGGATGGCTCGAAAATTGAGGGTAGTTCGGAATGTGCCTATTATGACCCACAGGTCAAATCCGGTCTAATGTTTAAGCTTCCGAATGAGGCATCAATTTTCACTTGCAAATTAGTCTCCAAAAGAGAAACAGAGAAATGATACCTTCTAGACTCTTCAAAGCCAAAACTGGTATGTGCTATTTTGTCAGATAGCAGAAGTGCACTGGATGCTTTTGTAACCCACACAAGAGAGTGGAATTTATGTGGATTCCGGCACACTGCGAATCTTAGGTAATGAGAAGGTGGACCTGCTTACGAAGGAGGCTACATCAAGCAGAGGAAGTTTATATAATAGGCTCCCATATTCAGATTTGTACTGTGTATTGAAAAAAGGAATGGCCATGTTGGTATGAGGAAATATGAAACGGTTTGGTCTACAAAGGGATGTTCCCCAGCGTATTATTGCAAGCTTGGTTTTCAGAATGTAGAGTTAATAAAAAAAATGTACAGGATAGCCAGTAGGTTAAAATCTAACCAAGGAATATGTAAAGCATATCTAAAGAAAATTAATTTGGAGGAAGACAAGTGGTGTGAATATGGCGAGGAGGAAACTTTGGAACACATCATAATGGCATGTCCAAAGTATACTCAACAACGGGAGGATATATATGTTTCAGGAAGTAAAGTCAAATATTAATAATAAGCCGGTAGATTATGTCAGTACATTGAAGTCTCATTCATTGGAGGTGTATGGCACAATCATACAATTTTTAGAAAAATTAAATAAAAGGATATAAAAATTATTTAAAAAAAAAATTGAATTGAATGTGGCTGGGATATAAAACTGATGGAAAAAAAACTATTGCTATTGCTAAATTTTCTATGGTAAGTATATAAGTACAATAGATATTTATAGTAGTGGATGCACTATTGTGCCTTATTTTTATACTGGCTACACTGAGGTTAACATTATTGAAGATGGTTTATGTAATGATTTTTATGCATACCTGTCAATTACTGCGCTCACATTTGATGTTAATGATAGTCCATTTTCTTCATAACCTTAAACACAAAAAACTAGTATTAAAAATAAAATTGATAGGTGGTTTTTGCTGAAAGTGCAGATGATACTTTCAGTTTTGCAACCTCTGCCTTCAATCAGGGTTGCCACCTCTTACAAGCATATCAGCAATCTTTACTTATTTTAATTTGTGTTTTAACTTTTCTTTTATTAACCGAAATTTTCTTCGATAAGTAATGTAATAATAATAAAAGTCTTTATTAGAAGAGAAAAATAAAATAAAATACATTCTTAATTATAAAATAATTTGACCAACATACTCATCGCCCTCAGGCCGTCGGAAGGGTTAATAACTCAACATTCAAATATGTACAAATATATATGCATGTATATATAAAACTGAATGATTTATGTAAATACTGGGACACATAAGAATTATGATATAGTGTGAATTAAAAAAGAAAATTTTTTACAAGTTGTGTAATAGGATTAACATAAATAATTTCATCTTAAAAATTTAATTCCATAATCATATTACATCTATAATTCCTCGCTACTTGCAATATTTCCCTAAAGAGTCAATAACATTTCCGTTCTAACAAAATTCTTGAAACGTTTATATAACCCTATTAAAATACAATAAATGATATTCTAGCAGTGGAGGGCATAAAGCGAGTAAATCATACCACTCCTTGTCCACACCGCTTCTACGATAAGTACACAAGTACAATAGACATTTTTGGTGGTTGGTACACCATTGTGTCTTACTTTTAACCATCTACCCTCAAAGTTGTCATATTTGAAAAGGATTTATCTAATGATATTTATAAATACCAACCTAATCACTACACTCCTATTTGATGTTATTTATTCAGCAATGACACTTTTCTTCATAAACTTAAAAAACATGCTAAACCCATTTTAAAAGTAAAACAGGCTGTTTGCCTTTGATATTATCTATTTGTAACCTCTACTCAGGGTTACCAACACTGACAAGCATATCAACATTGTTCTATTTATTTTTTTGGTCTTTAATTTGACCATTATGTACTCAGCAATGACTTTTCTTCATAAATTTAACATGAGAAACCAATTTTAAAAATAAAACCTAGGGTTTTTATTGATATTTACAATTTTGCTTCTTCTCCCTCTAATCAGGGATTCCACTACTGACAAGCATTTATTTATTTCAATTAATCTAAGGTCTTGGTTGAGATGAAAAAGCATGAGCGAGATTTGAACCCACGACCTTCGGCTCAATACACCTATGCTCTAACCACTTGAGCTATTGTAACTTCGATCCTCCTGGACACCAAACCTTCGAATTTTTCCCACTTTTTGTCTTATTTTAAAATATTGTATTTTGTTTTATTATTTGTCACTTTTTTGTAAATTGTAATTACCACTGCTGCAATTGATAATCTTTTAGAATAAGTACAATATGTTCATATTTCTAGTGGCTTATTTTTACTCAGTACACTCAAGATTGTCATAGTTGAGAAAATGGTTTATCTAATGAATTTATGCATACCTGCTAATTATTGAACTCGCTATTTACAGCAATAACTCTTTTCTTGATAAACTTAAATATGAGTAATCAACTTTAAAAGCTAAATTGACAGGTGGTTTTTAATGATAGTCACTCTCACAATTTGTAACCTCTACCCCTAATCAAGATTGCCACCACGGATAAAAATATCAACAATTTTTACTTATTTTAATTTTGATTTTTAATTAATTATCGCTACTACTTATCACCATTTGCATTAATAAGCATGATCAAAATATTTTCATGTAAATATAAATATGGTTTGTGATTAAGGTTTCTAATTTGATTTTCCATGCTAGAAGTTCTAGGTTTTAATTGTGGCATAGCCCTTGGGCTTGTATTCCAGATTAAATTGGAAAAATGTGTTCTAATGTGGTTCTAACTCCTCATCCGGACGGGTAGTTAAATTATAACTGTTGTAAAATTGAAATCTTAATTAGTTCAACATTAAATTTTGCTAATGCTCTATAATGCATTTTCCAACCCACATACAGGTTTACTAACCATGATGATATGTATATAAACGTTGATTCATAAAAACACAATTTATTATAATATTAATTAATATTAAAAATTTTACATGTACAAATCTAAGCAATTAATTATACCTAAATATTGTATAAACTGTAGGTTTAATAGCCGAAGGTTGTGGGTTCGAATCCTGCTCATGACACTAACTTTTTCATCTCAGCCAAGACCTTACATAAAAAGAATAATTAATTAAAATAATTAATATGGTCAATTAGACCACTAACCATAAATGGATTAATATATGTAATTTTAATGTTAGGTCACAGATTTAGAACCAGTATTGTTGATGTTGGAAGCGCAAGACGAAAAAGATATAGACACGTGGCAGACGAGATATTGCCTTCTTTTATGGCTGTCAATTATAATCAAAATTCCATTCCACATGTCACGTCTAGACCCACCTGACACCGAGGAAAGTTTCACTGTCATGAGCAGGTATTTCATGGTTATAAAAATCCACCTTTTTTGTACTCCAATAATATCTTTGTTAGGCTTGTGAAGATCTGCAAGAAATACATATTAGTTCCTGATTCATCGAAGGACGCATGTGCGTATCTGACAGCACAGTATTTAACAAGGTTGGACACTAAAGACAAATACTTACCTGAGTATTTGGAATGGGCTTATGAAGTATGGAGTTTGTGAAATACAAACATTTCAAGTTTATTAGTACTCATTTATTTATTTATTTTAGTGGATTACACAGAAGGAAATGAGCTGGAATCGGCTAGGACCATTAGCAGCGATAGCTGCCATCCTTAAATATGGGAAACGCCAGGATCTTCTACCTCATGTTGGACCTCTTTTAAAAACCATTGCAGCTATGGAATGGAGAAATGAAAAGTACAGGCTCTGCAGAAAATATGCAATAAAAATAATTCAAAGGATAGGTACATAATCGTGTTTTTCCTGTAAAATTCAATTGTTATAACTTTAATTTCAGGTCTGACATACTTGAAGGCTCGTGCGGTATCTTGGAGATATCAAAGAGGATCAAGGATTCTTCCTGACTTGAGGAGCATGATAAGCAGAATGGGAGATGGCACGAAAGAAAAGCCCAAAGAGAAGAAGGTGGAGAGTGAAGAGGGTGGACTCATTGGAAAAGAAGGTGATGATGAGGATGATCAAGAGGTGCCTCAGGAAATTGATGAAGTGATAGATGAACTGATGCAAGGGCTTAGAGATGAAGACATAACTGTAAGGTAGTGTAACCAGTATTTATTTTGCTGTAATATAAAACTATTGGGAGGTGCTAGTAATTTTTAAAGGATTTACAAGAGAGGGTGTTACTAGTATTAAAGCTCAACGGACTATAGCCTAACCACTTTCGTGTTAAAGCATCATCATTAGGCTTTAGTTTACTTACATCTCTTTTTGTTGAAGTAAAAACAACATAGTTTTTTTTTAAATCCAAATATGTCAACTTTTGTGCCCACAAAACATAATTTGCATTAAGCTTTACCTTTCTGCTTCCATTTGAAGAAAAAAGTAGCTGAAAGTGAGAACCATGCTCCATTAATTTCAAGTTTACTGGTTCAGATGGTTCAAAAGAGGGGATTTAGACACGGAAAATAAGGAATGTGAAGGAAGGCCGGAATCGCAAGAAGAATTTGCAGAATGTGAAGTATTAAATGATATTAATTAATGATTATTTAGAGATCGTGAGATGCACTTTGATGTGATGTAGGTTTAGAAAAACATTTTCTTTGTTGTGCCAGTTGAATCTTTATTGAGATTATCTTCAGGGCTTGGATGTATAAACATTGTTTAAATTATACAAATGAATTTGTACAATGTTGTACACAATATAGAAATTTTAGGTTTAATCAAAGTATTTGTACTCACTCAAAGTGTGTGTTTTCTGTTTAGTTGTGTCAGGTTGAGAGTGTTAGTGAGACTTTAATGTTTTTTGTTTACATGTTTGATTTGAAGGAGTGGGGAAGGAAGTAGAGATAGAAATTTATTTTTCTAGGAGGGGTCTTCTTGTCAGCTCCTTTCACCTCAAAGAAGTTGCCTCCCTCAATTGGAGAAATTTTAGATTTGTGGTACCACCCCAAACTAAGATCCTGTATGATATCAACGATTGTGCTAATGCAAAATACACAGACCTCATTAAATCCAGCTGAAGAATATTTCTTAAAATTTTAAATTTATAAAATAATTTTTTAAACTTTTCTACGAAGGCATCAATTTGAAATTAAAGTTTAATTTACTATCAAAACTTATCCCCTAATATTTAACTTGTTTAGAAAAAATTTGCGTAAACAAATAAAAACATTAGTATCTTTCTAACACTCAACACGACACACAACAGTGACACATCTGCATTTGAATAAGTAAAAATACTTTGATTAAACTTAAAATTTGTGTTCTATTTTGTAAATATTGGGTACATCATCGTATAAATTCATTTGTATAATTTAAACAGTGTTTATAAATCCCAGGCCCTGAGGATGAACTCAATAAAGATCGAAAGGTTGGACGATAAAGAAAATGTTTTTCTAAACCTAGGTCACACCAAACTGCATCTCACTATCTCTAAATAATAATATGCAGAATCTTTGGATTGACTCAATTTCATTACACCTCAAAGTCATGGAATGGTCGAAAAGCAAGGAATTGGATGTACAAATTTAAGTCATGAGACATGGAAACGAGATTTTTCACCTGCGAATAACTGCTCCAAATGCCAAAACAGAAGGGTTGTTAGCATCAAATCGTAACTCATGGTGAAAAGTGGATTCATTATGACAATCCAAAGCATAAGAAATCATGGGGTAAGCCCAGCCTCAATATTCACGCTCTGTATTTGGTGGGACCAGCTAGGTTAGTATATTATGACCTACCATAAACATATAAAGCCAACTATGACAATGTGTTTGAGCCGAGCAAGAAAAAAATGGCTGGAATTTGAGCAGAGGCGTGATTTTTTAGCACAACAGTACCCACCATATGTTGCAGTACAAGTCAAAAACAACTTGAAAACACTCAAATCAAATTTCCTACCCTACCCGCTTTCTCCAGACATTGCTCCTTTTGACTACTATTGTTTCGTTCAATCAATTATGAATCTTGATATTACAGAACACTGTAAATTATCTTTCAATTAATTAAGGTTTTTAGTTGTAATAAAAAAGTCAGTGTCATGAGAAGGATTCGAACCCTCGATCTTCGGCTAGATACGCCGCTGCTCTACCACTTGAGCTATCGTGACCTCGATCCACTCGGACACTAACTTCCCATCTCGGCTAAAAACCTTAATTAATTGAAAGATATTAATTGGTCAAGCAGACCACGAAAACTAGTGAATGGACTGTAAATTATGTTTAAGTTATTGAGATGGGCTCGTAAATTACATGTATTATTATTTTGATATTGATGTAACATTTCTTTTAACAACCTTTTTTAACTTTTTTATATATTATTTACTTATTTATTATTATTAGTGAATATTTTAATACGAGGATATTTCAATTATGATGTTATATAAACCCTCGGGTGCTGACGTTTTTGTAAAAAAAAAACACATTTGTATGTTAGGTTCAAATGCAGGCCCGCTGGATTTGATCCTGGGACTGGACTTGAAACCAACACCCCTCTAACCTAAACCCTAACGACGAATGTTTGCTTGTCTGAGCAGCATTTCTGTTCTTTATGAGAAATGAAAATGGGTCAATTCTTTCATTGCCTCTAAAAACTGACCTTTCAATGTGGAATTCAAATAATAGTGGCTAGTGATGGTCAGTACTTTGAGAAATAAATTTATGTACCATTTTTACACTTTTTTGGCATATGTTAGGAGCCTTTCCGTCTTCACCGACGTATCTCGAACCACAAACCAACGTTTGTCCATCCTGGAGCCCTGTATATGAGATCCTTAAGGCTTCCTTTGGCGTTGTATGGTATGACAAGTACTATGTAAAGCGGCCCATAGACGGTCAATATTATTGTACAATATAGATTACACAGTAATTTGACAGTTGCCCCTTAACATTCAGTAATATTGTACAAAATTTTGTTTGTGCAATGAACTTGAATAGTTTGAAGGCGATATTGAAGTTTGTGCAATATTTTGTGCACTTGTTGATACTACACAAACTGACTGATATCGCGCAATAATGCCAACAGACAGTGCAATATTTTCCAGGTTGTACAATATTTTACAATTAATTAAGGTTTTTAGTTGAGATGAAAAAAAGCCAATGGCACGAGAAGGATTCGAACCCACGACCTTCGGCTAGATACACCGCTGCTCTACCACCTGTGCTATTGTGACTTCGATCCACTTGGACATCAACTCCCCATCTCAACCCCACCTTATGAGTTTTTGAGATGGGGAGTTGATGTCCGAGTGGATCGAGGTCACGATAGCTCAGGTGGGAGAGCAGCGGCGTATCTAGCCGAAGGTCGTGGTTCGAATCCCTCTCATGCCATTGGCTTTTTTTCATCTCAACTAAAAACCTTAATTAATTGTAAAGTATTAATTGGTCAAGCGGACAACGAATTTAGTGAATTTAAGTTGTACAATATATTTTCAACTTTTCGTCAATCATGCAACGTATTGCACAAACTTTCAATATCGTCTACACACGATCAATTAAATTGCACAACCCAAAATATTGTGCAATAATATTGATCGTCTATGGGCCGCTTAAGTCTCTTGGGTTGACGGTGAACCTAGGAATTCCAGGTCAAGAACCGGGTAAATGTAAGGGTGTTGTAGGTGTAGAAAGAGGTCCAGCACTGTCGCTCTGGTCGAGGAGTCGCATTTGAGAATGCACCCCGGCCCTTTTCATTTTTACACAGAAAAGTCCCAATTTTCACAACAAAAAAAAATCCTTTAAAACTTACTAGTACCCCTAATACCAAAACATATTACAATTTCAGATGGTCTGCAGCTAAAGGAATCGGACGAGTAATGGGAAGAATGAACAAACAGTTTGGTGATGAAGTTATAGGATGTGTTCTTGAATTGCTAAGTCCTAGAGAGAATGATAGTGCTTGGCACGGAGGATGCTTAGCATTGGCAGAATTCAGTAAATTGATTTAATTTCTCTCCCTCCCATTTTTCAAAATATTCTATACAATGAAATTTTAGGTAAACGGGGATTATTGTTGCCTTCTAGACTCCCAGAAGTTATACCGTTGGTTCAAAAAGCACTAGTTTATGATGAGCCGCTTGGACACTGCTCAGTCGGAACACACATAAGGGATGCTGCGTGCTATGTAGCTTGGACTTTCGCAAGAGCATACGAAGCGTCTGTTTTCAAGATGTATGTATCAGATATCGCCACTTCTTTGGTGGTCGCATTCTGCTTAGATAGGGAAGTGAATATAAGGAGGGCAGCATCAGCTGCATTTCAGGAGCATATCGGCAGGCAAGGCCAGTTCCCTCATGGTATCGACATACTAACAGCCGCTGACTATTATGCTGTTGGCGTAAGGACCAATTCTTATCTGAACATAAGGTATTTTTGTTTGTTCAAAATCTTCACCAAGAACGCTATATGTTTGGTTTATTGCAGTGTGTATATCGCACAATTTGAAGAGTACACAACATCTATTATTGACCACCTGGTAGAAAGAAAACTGGAGCATTGGGACATCGCAATACGAGATCTTTCAGCCAAAGTAAAACATTCATAATAATATGTTTTTAACTGGTTTTAATGTAATGTTTTTCAGGCTTTGCATAATTTGACAAAATATGCATCTGATTACATGTTGGAAATAGTTTTACCCACTTTGGTGCTCAAGACTAGATCTTTAGATTCTAACATTCGCCACGGTGCTATCATTGCGATAGGAGAAGTAGTTCATGCCTTGTCTCTTCTAGACAATTTAGCTCCAAGTAAGTATTATTAATTTAAAAATTGAAACTTATTATTTATTTTTATTTATATCTACATATTTCTTTTTAAAGATGAGGACATCACAAAAGCAATAGGGGATTTGGTCAGAGATTTAAGGGAGAAGCACATGTTCAAAGGCATCAGTGGTGAACTGATGAAGATCGCATGCTGCCAGTTTATAAACAAGTGTTCACTGGCTAAAATGCCATTTAAAAACACCAAAACCATAGGTACAAATTTATCTTTAATACAAAATATCTATATACTGGCTTTTTTGCTGGCAAAAAAGATTTCTACACATTTTAAACCATTCTGTAAAGGAACCCCTCTATACTAGTAGCAGATACTGCCGTCACTCCCCATCAGAGTAATTCACCCTTATTACTTATTATTACTTTATTACCATTCACATAAACATAAAAATATATTAAATGTCCATATCAAAAATTTTGATAACGATCATTTTAATTTTTTTTTTAATGTCAAAAACATTTCTGGAAGGGTAGGCTAGGCATCAGGTATGGCATCCTTTACTTAGAAATACTAAAAATTGTTTTGTTTAAATATTAATGTTTGATACTGCTGTAGGAAATTCTGCGTTTCTTCGTCCTTTTCTAAGTACTTCTGTTTTTGTTGAAGTTCCCTTCCTCCATTTAAACATGTTTTGGTATTCCATTTTTGGGGTTTAAAAGCTTGTCTTTCACGGATGAATTCGACAATTCCTTTTTTTTTTTTAATTAATTTTTCTAGAATTTATTTTGTCATTTTTACATTATGTTTCTTCTTCAGAAGTTTCTCTTTTGGAGAAACTAAAAATTCTTCCCTCTCGACTGTGTTTGAGTGTACAATGGAAACCCAGCTTTAAACTAATTATTTCATTGTTCTGTTTCCTTGTTTTAATTTATTAATTAATTTATTTGTTATGTGACATGTGTTACCGGTTCCTTGCCGGACCATTGGCAATTCACCCGGTCGCCGGGTACCTGGGGCTCAATAGAGATTTTTTTCCGTGGCTGCTTCGTCTCCAAAAGTGAAACTGTTTTTATTTTTTTCCGCTTCTTTTAGGAAAACAGTGAAACCCTCGGGGTGAAATAACAAGATAACAAATAAAAAAAATTAAAAACACAACAAGAAAGTAAAATATCAATGTCCTCTGTATTCCGAATGAAATGTAAAACAAACAAACAAAAAATAAAACAAGTCTCTTCAAAATTAAAACAAAAAACTGACCAGAAACCAATCTTATAATATAACTTAAAAGATTCTTCCAATTAATTTAAGGTTTTAAGGTGAGATAAAAAAGTCAGTGTCACGAGCGGGATTCAAACCCACAAACTTCGGCTTGATACGCTGCTGCTCTACCACTTGAGCTATCGTGACTTCGATCCGCTCAGATATTAACTTCCCATCTCAACCCCACCTTTTTGAATTTTCCCTCCTTTTTGCCATTTTTCAAATGTGTAATCTATTTGATTCTCGGCGACAAATGAAATGGCCACGGAGAGCTTTAATGAAGGTATACTTCATTTTTACTTATTAAATTCACTAGTTTTCGTGGTCTGCTTGACCAAGTAATATCTTTCAATTAATTTAAGGTTTTAAGTTGAGATAAAAAAGTCAGTGTCACGAGCGGGATTCGAACCCACGACCTTCGGCTTGTTACGCCGCTACTCTACCACTTGAGCTATCGTGACCCTTGTCTTGTAAATTAAAAGTTTATTGTCTAGCCGAAGGTCGTGGGCTCAAATCCCGCTCATGTCACTGACTTTTTTATCTTAACTAAAAACCTTAATTATTTGAAAATTATTTTAATGTCTAAACTGAAAATATATTTATTTTGGGCGAAAAATTCCTGAAAGATTGACAAAGAAGCAGTTGTTGTTCTTAAAAAGACCCTCCCCCCACAGATGATTCATTAAACATAAATAATGTAACCTAAAATTAATTAAATATAGCGTAATAAATTCAGATCCATAAGCTCAGCTTTGTACAATATGAATTTTAGTATATTTTACTTTCTTTTTTTTACTTTAAATTTTATAGTTTTATTTATTTTTATGCCATTTTTTCATGACAGTGCAAAAATTTGTCAACAAATTTACTTTGTTAACAAACTTTGAACTCTGGAGGAACAAATTGGTAGATCAAGAAAATAAAATTATCTGTTAAACATTGAAATGTTTTATCAATTGTGTTAGAGAACTTTACTTACAATAGAGGTTTAATCGAAATTTTATCTTGAGCTATCGTGACTTCGAAAGCTCTCCGTTGCCATTTCACTTGTCGCCGAGAATTAAATAGATTACATGACATTTGAAAAATGGCAAAAAGGAGGGAAAATTCAAAAGGTGCGGTTGAGATGGGAAGTTAGTGCCCGATGGGATCGAAGTCACGATAGCTCAAGTGGTACAGTGTATAAGGTCGTGGGTTCGAATCCCGCTCATGACACTGACTTTTTTATCTCAACTTAAAACCTTAATTAACTGAATTATATTTAATAGTATTAACCATTATTGAATTAAAATTGAATAATCAAAATGAAGAACGCTTTTTACAGAGCTTACTTAATTCTTAAGAAAGAAGTTTGAAAAAATTAAATAGAAAGTAACCTTTACAATTCATTTTACATCTGACTGAAAAGCACATGAATAATTTTAAAACTTGTTTTGTATGCATACCTTGTTGATTTTTATTTATTTTTTTAAATATCATATCTGTTAAACGTGTTGATTATTATGTTAAATATTTTAAAAAGTCACGGTAAGACTTTTTGTTTAAAATTATATTGGACGGACTGTGAGTAATGTCTGGTTGTCCGTAGATGACTGGCAAGAGGTGGTGAACGAATGCCTCTGTCATGAAGTTGGCAACATCAGAGCCTATGCGGCTTCTGCCTTGCCATCTCTATGCCTGGAGTATTACAGCTGCAACGGAGAGGGCGACGTCGGCAAGTGTGCAGAGATTGTCAGGTCCTACACGGAAAAGTTAGAGGCCAACGATGAAATTCTGAGAGTCGGCCACGCCCTGGCTCTAGGTGATTATGACAATAATAACTATGTTTTTATTGTGCTATTAACAAAATTTATTCTAAAGGTTCACTTCCGAAGTTCATGCTGCATGGACTTGTTGACTATGTCGTCAACAAACTTATGAAATGTTCGCTGATCACTCCCAATACTGAAAAGTGGGTCGAAAGCAGGAAGTTTGCAATAAAAGCTATGACTTCAGTTTGTTCGACTGTCGGGATTGAAGACCCAGGTTTGACATTGATTTTTTAATTAATACTACACATAATTTATTTATTTTTTTCCTATAGATCCCAAAAGGTCTTGCCGTGCCCATGTTCTTGATCTTTTAGAGTGTATGACAGAAGGAATGACTGATTATACTAAAGATGATAGAGGTGATACTGGTGCTTGGGTCAGAGAATCTTCAATGTCTGGAATACAAGTAAAAACTTTCATTACTTATTCCCCCCTAATATTTTTATCACAATACATTTTGGTTTTAGTCTATATTACAACTAGTCTCCAAATGCGCACCAGATTTGTTGACACCAGCAATTATCACAAAATGCATGCAAAGGATAGGACAGCAAGCAGTAGAGAGGATCGACAGGACAAGGGCGCTGGCTGGGACGGTTTTCTCTGCACTACTTCATAAGTTAGACAACATCCTTCATCTTAAAACAAAGACGATTGAATAAATTTACCCTTTACAGTTCAAACCAAGTGCCTCATATACCCGAAAGAGAAAGATTGAAAGAGATTTTCCCAGAGGTGGCCTGTAAAGAAGAGATCAACTGGCTGAGCCATAGTGACACATTTCCCAGGTTCATACGTATGCTGCGATTGCAGACGTACTCTTATCACATTCTTTTAGGTCTTGTCGCGTCAGTAGGTGGAATCGCTGAAAGTCTAGTAAGTTTTTAATTAATATAAATGCAAGCATACTAATAAATTCACTAATTTCGTGGTCTGCTTGACCAATTAATACATTACAATTAATTAAGGTTTTTAGTTGAGATGAAAAAAAGTCAATGGCACAAGCGGGATTCGAACCCACGATCTTCGGCTAGATACGCCGCTGCTCTACCACTTGTGAGCTATCGTGACCTCGATCCACTCGGACATCAACTTCCTATCTCAACCCCACCTTATGAGTTTTCACTTGACGTCGAGAATCCAATCCGATTACACGGCATTTGAAAAATGGCAAAAAGGAGGAAAACTCAAAAGGTGGGGTTGAGATAGGAAGTTGATGTCCGAGTGGATCGAGGTCACGATAGCTCAAGTGGTAGAGCAGCGGCGTATCTAGCCAAAGATCGTGGGTTCGAATCCCGCTCGTGCCATTGACTTTTTTTCATCTCAACTAAAAACCATAATTAATTGTAACATACTAATAAAAAAAATGAATCCTTAGGTAAAAATTTCAAGCGGTTGCCTTTTCGAATATTTGAAAGATGAAGATAGAAAGGAAATCGATAGAATTTGTGACTTAGTGTTGCAAATATTCGAAGAACATTTAAAAGTTGATAGAGTCGTACTTTCGATGTTGAATTTCCTTGAAAAGCTATTGTCATCTGCATTTATGAGGCAGGTGCTCGAAGACTCAAATTCCAAATTTCCCCTTGGCGTATTTAATCTGACAAAGAACGCTGTCGCTGGCAGCACCGACAAGTATAAACTTCTCGGCTCTATCGATATTTACTGTTTATTAATACAGGTATGGTAACGTATTAGTGGTATTTAAAAATATCGAACAAACTTGATAATATTAAACTTTTATTTCAGGTTAAAGGAGAAGTTGGACGGAAAGCAATGGGAAGACTCTTAATTCTTCTATGCCACAGGTTCGGCTGGTTGAGAAAAGCGGCTGCGACCAAATTATATGAATGTCTTGTTGTCTACGGCGATGAGGTTTTTAATAATTCCGAAAGACTGGATTCCGCACTGGCATTGCTTTCGGACACGGAATGGGCAATACAATGTGTTGAAGAGGTTCGGGAAGCGAGAAACTCCCTTGCGGTTGTTCTCGGTTTGCCAAAACCACAGCTGGTCAAACCTAATTTAAGTTAAACTTCTCTTCTTAATCAATTATAATCTTACCGCACAATCTCGTATTCTAAAGTACCTAGAGTGCTAACCGATAATAGCTTTCATAGACAAAAGCATTTTTTATGTTTGTTCATTTTTACTTTAAATTAACCTAGCTGTGGAGATTTTTGATCCAGTCTTAATCTTTATGGTAATTATTACATAGTCGAATGACAAAGAAAATTAGTTTTATTGATATTTGATAAACTGATGGAAAAAGACTGATTATCAAAAGAAAAAAAAACCCTCAAAATAACTGTCACTTCTTTTTTATTTATTTAATATTTAATTTTAAAAGTTTTATTGTGTATGATTTTCGTTATAATGCGAAACAAAAGTTCATGTTTTAATGAAAAATTCATTCGCGTTTCATTTACTTACTGTTTACAGTTTAAAAAGTATACTAATAGCAAAAAGTTAAAGCTATGTGTACAAATAGGAGAGACTTTGCGCCCAAATTGATTAAATGCCTTAATATATTTGTTAATAATTGCTTGTTATATAAGTAAATATCTTTTATTAATACAAATTGTTACAATTTTTTAATAATTTAATGATTTAAAAATACTCTTCGGTTTCTTTTCTTTTTTGTTTATATTGTTTAAGCATTTCGAACAAATATTTTTATAGAGAAGAAGAGTAATTTCTTAACAATTGTGATTCTAAAACTCAGTGTTGTTTATTTTTATATTTCATTTATTGAAGGAAAATAATACATACGACATTCCCATTAAGTTGTCTTAGCCTTTTTAAATTACCTCTTCCTAGCTTATCGACCCAAAAACTAAAATTAGATTACAAATGTAAATAAATTTAGTGTGTGGTCGGTATCCTGAACTTTTTATATATTATTATGTCATAACATTTTTGAGACTGCACTTATCTCATCCTCAGAGAATTTTCACGCAGAGTGCTGATTGGAAAATGATGCTGTACCCAAGTACATAATAAATAAATTACAATTAATTAAGGTTTTTAGTTGAGATAAAAATGTCAATGGCACGAGCAGGATTCGAACCCACGATCTTCGGCTAAATACGCCGCCGCTCTACCACTTGAGCTATAATGACCTCGATCCACTCAGACACTAACTTCCCATCTCAACCCCAGCTTTTGAATTTTCCCTCCTTTTTGCCATTTTTCAAATGTCGTGTAATCGGATTGGATTCTAGACGACAAGTGAAATGGCCACGGAGAGCTTTAGTGAAGTATTCTTCATTTTAAATCATTAAATTCACTAATTTCGTGGTCCGCTTGACCAATTAATATATTTCAATTAATTAAGGTTTTTAGTTGAGATATAAAAAGTCAGTGACACGAGTGGGATTCGAACCCACGATCTTCGGCTAAATATGCAGCTGCCCTACCACTTGAGCTATCATGACCTCGATCCACTCGGACATTTTTTTTTAATCTCAACTAAATACCTTAATTAATTGTAATATATTAATTGGTCAAGCGGACCACGAAATTAGTAAATTTAATAATAAATAAAACAATAGTCTAGTTAGGGTTCACTATCCCAGAATATTCAATATTCCTTGGGGTAATTAGGGATTCACGCTAGTAAATTATTATTCAGAAATCGTGAGATGCGGTCTGGTGTGATGTAGGTTTCGGAAAAACATTTTCTTTATCGTGCCAACATTTCGATCTTTATTCAGATCATCTTCAGGGCCTGGGATTCAACACAATATGCAAGAATGGCACAATTACACAGAAGACAAACACTTTGAGTGAGTAGAAATACTTTGATTGAATATAAAAAATATATTTTGCATTGTATAAATTCACTTTTTTCCATATCCTACATGCATTTGTTAAATGTAAACAATGTTTGTAAATCCCAGGCCCTGAAGATGATCTCAATAAAGATCGAAACGTTGGCACGATAAAGAAAATGTTTTTCTGAAACCTACATCACACCAGACCGCATCTCACGATTTCTAAATAATTATCGATTAACGGTCACTAATCACCACACACTAGTAAATTATGCTCACACATTCATTCACATTACCCCAGATTACTCGATATTCTCGAGGTGATTAAGAATAAGCCCTGCCTTTCATGCTAATAAATTACATTACTCTGCAATTCATTCACACTATCCGAGAGTATTCTATTGTCTTCAGGGTAATTGTCTATAAGCCCCTTTTTCATGTTAATAAATTGCATTCATATTTACCCAGAGTATTTAATATTCCTCAAGGTAATTGGCAGTTGATAAACCCATCCATTCATGTTAATAAATTGCACTCTCATTCATTCACATTACCCCCCCAAAGTTTTCAGTATTTTTGAGGTGTTGGGGATAAGCCGTCATTCTAGCTAATAAATTACATCCACACACCACAATTCATTGATACTATCCCCTAGAGCTCGATATTCCTCGGGGTAATTGACGATAAGCTCCTCCATTCATGCTAATAAATTATGATTATTCAGAGATCGTGAGATGCGGTCTGGTGTGACGTAGTTTTTAGTAAAACATTTTCTTTATCGTGCCAACGTTTCGATCTTTATTGAGATCATCTTCGGGGCTCAAAGTGTTTGTTTGATTATGATCGCAATAAAGATTGAGCGTTGGCACGATAAAGAAAACATTTTTCTAAAACCAACGTCACACCAGTATGTCTTGGTATGATGTCTTTTTTACACGATTTGGATGGTTTCTTTCTTACCAGCAGATTCTCCATTCAAGTTACATTGCATTAGCAATAGTTTTTTTCTATTGTTAAGTTGAAAAATTCCAAGATCTCCGTGGTTGAAAACGTTTATTCAATTTAGTAAATTACAAGGCGTTTCAGGGCTCCTGGCCCATCATCAGCAACTAAACATAGAGAAATCTCATGGTATAAGGGGGGGAATGTCGTCGTAATTGTTTTAAAACTGTAATAGAAACATATATTTTATTTTTGTCACTTCATTGGTATACCACATGGTAATGATATTCTTTATATATATATGTATATACCTTCAGTCGCTATCTGCCCTTCTCCGAGTGGTATACAGGGTGAGTAATTTTTTGACGCACCATTGGAAAATTAACGTGGGTATGTTTAAATCTGACTCGAGGCTTATTTCCTTTGATTAATACATTAATAAAAGAAAGTGAGTCAATTTTCGGTGCACCATAGGAAAATCAATGTTGGTGCGTCTAATTATGACTCGGCACATTTTATTTTGTTAGTCTCGTACCAAAAAATAGGCGAGTCACATTTCGACGCCCATTCGTTACAAATTAGTTTTAGTAGGTTGGAAGGAAAATAAACAAAACCAATATTATTAAAACATTATACAAACACAATGTAAAAATTTGAAAAAAATTCTTCACAAATTAATTTGATTAAGGTTTAAGAGTTTTTTTTTTTTCGTCCAATCGTCGTTTTACGATAGACTAGGCTACTATATTACAGCAAATGGAGGTCTGTTCGAACAATTATTATAATGATTTTGAACCTTTTTGATTTGCTAACAAAGGAGATTGTTACATTTATTTAACTTTTTAATTTACCAGAAAAAAATACTCTTAAACCTTAATCAAATTAATTTGTGAAGAATTTTTTTTTTTAATTTTTACATTGTGTATGAATAATGTTTTAATAATATTGGTTTTGTTTATTTTCCTTCCAACCTACTAAAACTAATTTGTAACGAATGGTGCGTCAAAAAGTGACTAGCCTGTTTTTTGGTATGAGACTAACAAAACAAACTGTGCTGAGTCATAATTAGACGCACCAACGTTGATTTTCCTATGGTGCACCGAAAATTTACTCACTTCCTTTTTTTTAATGTTAAAATCAAAAGAAATATGCCTTAAGTTAGATTTAAACACACCCACGTTGATTTTCCAATGGTGCACTGAAAATTGACTCACTTTCTTTTATTAATCAAAGGAAATAACCCTCGAGTCAGACTTAAACACGTTGATTTTCCAATGGTGCGTCAAAAAATGGCTCACCCTGTATAAGTGTAATATCATTACCATGTGGTATACCAATGAGTAGACTAAAATAAAATGTATGTTTCTATTACAGTTTTAAAACAATTTTGACGACATTCCCCCTCAACAAATAAAGGGGGGGTGGAAAAATAATATATATGTATCATTGGCATAGTCCAGGTATAAATACTTTTATTTAAAAAATTGGAAATTACTGATGGGTGTGCCTTCAAATTGTGAATTATACCATGAGATTTCTCTGTTTAGTTGCTGATGATGGGCCAGGAGCCTGAACGTCCTTGTAATTTACTAAATTGAATAAAAGTTTTCAACCACAGAGATCTTGGAATTTTTCACCCTAACAGTAGAGAATATAGATCCACAGACCAACCATGGAGTTGGTAATATAAAACATGAAATAGTTATTTTGTAAATTTGTTGGACGTAAAAAGTGTTTCAAGCTACATAGCACATATTTAATGCAAAACAATCAAGAAAAAAAGGATAATTAAAGAAAAAAAATTTAATCTTTAGCTAATATTCATATGTGCAGAAGAAAACAAACATAATTAAAAGGGATTAAAAATGAACTCAACAATGTTAACGTCAGTAGGAAATGATGTGTTTTATTATATTAAAAACATACGTGGCATTTTGATATTTCTCTCTAGCTGCATCTAGTTTTTCTTATTTAAAGGAATAACAAAACAAAGTGCTGAAATGCCTGTAAAACAGAAATGATTAAAATTATTACGTTATATTACAAAAATAAGACTAATATAAGTAAACATTTAAAAACATTGACACAATTTGTAAAGCTGAGACTAATTAAATATTATTTTAAATATTAAGGCATTTCCATATGTGCGTTATATTGGATTATGTTTGTTCCTTCCCTAAATTTCTTTTTTTTGTTTGATAGATACTTTGTTATTTTGATAAAATCAATAGTGGTGAACTATTTATTAACTATTATTTAATAAATACATTGAAATTTTCATTTTGTTGTATTATTATGATTATAGATATAGATGAAAGCTATTAAAAAATACAAGATATCCATATTGTTTTTATTTTTTGAACGTTTTGGTCTGTTGGCACATTTACAGCAGCCTAGGCTAATTCCTGCCCAAAGTTTCAAAGTAATTCCAAAGAAACATCGGTTGACTTGTGGAGTACTTTGCAGGAATTAACCCATTTGATATGGTGACGATAGGCCTATAGCGGTCCGAAACACCGACACTAAGCACTCCTCGCAGGAAGTGTGTAAAAGGAAAAATAAAAAAGACCATCCCTAAGAAAGGGTAGTCACTGCAGTGTAGGACAGTTTGTCCTGTTTGGTTGAGTATTAAGAAGCTCATCTACACCCCGTTGTTTGTATTCTAATGGTTTGTTGATGCGTGCATTCTCGGAGTTGGAATTAACTTTTATCATAGGTCCTCGTACGGTTGGTTTCCAGGATTTTTTACCAACTCTGCTACCTGCCTTAAAACCTCATACTCTAGACGTGAAATTGCGTCTTGGAACTTGCATTTTGAAGTGGTAATTCTCCCTTAAGCAAATATGGCATTGCATTGTAAAAACCATAACTCCGGGTCCTGTTTCCAGAAACTTGGGAGACGGTCTGCCACACCAGATCCCTGGTTGATTAGTTTTTGTTCTTCTTCTCTCATTTCCAATTAAGTAAAATTTGTGCAGATGTTACAAAAAATTTTAGAAATAATCAAGAAAAATATACAAACATAATTACATACAGAAAAACAAAAAAAAAATTAAGAAAAATGAAAGAAATATTCTTATACAAAAATTACGAAATAAAAAAATGTTATTAAAGAAAGAAAGGATATGTTTATTAAAATATGAATCAATATGAAAATTAAACAGAAATCACATCGGGGTCACCAATTATTGCGTCTTTATTAAGTCGTTCTAGATTCAAGATCACGATGATTAAGATTAAAAAACTAAATACGCAGTGACATCCTTTATTACATAGTATTTACAAAATTTTATTCAAAAATGATCATGAGGACAATTAATATTAATTTTGGAATGGATGTTGCAACATCGGTACCTTGGGGTGTAGACGAGCTTCTTAATACTCAACCAAACAGGACAAATGACTGTACTACACTGCAGTGACTACCTAGGTCCTATGTAGGGATGGTCTTTTTTATTTGTATTTTTTTTCGTTTCCACCGGACCACTGTAGGCCAATACGTCCAAATGTCCAAAAAATAAAAACATTTCGAATTTTTTTTATTTTTGAACACCCTTTGAAATTTTCAACTATTAACGAAATGTATTTTTAATACTAAATTTTATCAGCTTCTATTAAATATATAAATACTCAATTAATTATACATAATTTTTTCGAAATGAAAACTTTGTGTCACAGGCGGGATTCGAACCCACGAATTTCGGCTAAATACGCCGCTGCTCTACCACTTGAGCTACCGTGACTTCGATCGCCCATGCCACAAACTTCTCATTTCGACTACCCGATTTTATTCTAATTATAAGCAAATCGCGGCTTCATATAGAAACACTTTTTATTAACGATTATACTAGATTAGCATGGGTTCGAATCCCGCCTGTGATACAATTTTTTCGAAATGAAAAATTTGTGTATAGTTAATTGAGGAAATATATTTTGTATATTTAAAATATATTTATTTATGTACTTGTTACCTAGTAAGATTAGAGAAAGACCATAATATGAATATTCGCAGTAGTTTTCTTGTAAAATGCCAAAAAGCTGTCCTCCGAATGAAGAGCCTAACCTTCCAAATATCATACAAATGCATGTTGCCATCGCCCTGAAATTTGAGCGTTAAATATTTAAGCAGCTTTTTTATTGTAGACTGGAAAAAAGCCTGAAGCTGAGGAGGAAGTATTGTCATCTCACACAAATACTACACACCTGAGATGAGTTGGGAAAAAGTCTACGATGATGCTGAGTGCTAAAGGAAGGGCAGCTCCTAGAAGAATCACACCAAGTGCAAGCCCTGCCGTCGTCAAAGCCATGGCATGCATTAACGTTACGACTGTGTAACTTGCAGCTCCAATAATTAGACAGCTGACTAAAATTTTTATCCTTGTAATAAAAAAAATTAGAAAATTAAAAAAAAATTACCTATCAGGCCTCTTCTAGAGAAATGGTTTGACAGGATACTCATCAATCCAAAGAATACAAATTGGCAAACTCCGATTCCCATTGTTGTAAGATAAATTATTTCATCTACTACCATTTTGCAAGGTTCGCCTACTTCATAAGCTGTGTTTGATGTCATAGTTTTATTCACAACTACAATAATTTCATCTTTATAATTAAAAACCTGGCAAATAGTTGCATTGTAAACTTCGTGGTCTGTGGAATAGATTGACATTCTGCTTATTAACTCAGGAAGCCACAGCATAATTACATTATATCTATCAAATATTGAAAATAAATTATTAAACTAAATTTCACTTTTAAAAGCTAATATATTAACTTACGACCCGATAAGTCCTAAATTGAGAAAACAGGATAAAATTGTACTTGATAGCAAAGGTGGCGAGAACAATGTAACGGTTTGCCTCCACATATCTTTAATAAATCCAACTTGTGAGGCTTCGTGCACCATGTCCCCATCATCCAATGAAATATCAACAACCTGTCAAGATTCATCGATGATTATAAATAGTCCTAGAAAAAGTTTTATTAAGACGCACAGGATAGGTGTGCGGTGGGACCCTGAAGTTCACAGAATACATCTTTCTCAGAACATGCAGCGTCTCCTGCTTCTGTCCTCTTGTAAGTAAATATTTCGGAGATTCCAGTAGAAAATGCATGAGAATGTTGCAAAGCAACGACGGTATCGCTAGCAGGGCGATATAGATTCTCCAAGGGGTCAGTTCCACACCATAAAAGGTCTGAATTCGGAAATTCAGAGGCATCACAACCCAAGCCATACCTGAAACATTTAAAGTATTTAATTTTTTGTTTGGGAAATTTTACGATTATTTGTGTTTTGGTTACCTGGTAGGAAAGTAGTGATGAGTGAAGCGATAGCAGAGGCAATAAGAAGGGAAGTGGCTCGTTTATCAAAGGCGCAGAATTCACTTATATACACATAAGCCGGTGTAAGGAGGCCTCCTGCACTGAAAATACAAAAGATCTTTCATGTGACTCTCATTCACCTGGTAATTTCAAACGTTTGAATTGTACATAAATCCGTTGGTAAACCATAGTACTGTCAGGAAGTAAGGGTTGGGCGAGAACATGGCCAGAAACGAAAGCAGGGCACAGCTATAATTGCTGTATATTACTATTTTCCGCCTTCCGTAAGTGTCAGACAGGTAACCATATAAATGCGATGAAAATAGCATTCCTAATACGTAAAACAGAAAATTGACAACTTAGAATGAGGTTTTATAGAATAGTTAGCGATACCTGTATAAGCTATTGACGTCAAAACACCCTTATCTTTAGGTGTTAAATGCATATCACAGTCAGTTGCAGGCAATGTGTAGGACAATATTAAAACTACTCCCAAACCTCCAAAAAGGGACAGACCACCTCCCAATATCGCCAGGTAATTATACAGTCCATATCCTAAACATTTCAAAACAAACTTTATGTTCATCGATATATTTACATTTCATTGATACATTTACACTAACCTATTTACAGATAATATATTTATATTGAATAGGTTAAATTAAATATATTTTTTACCCATAAATATAGGTGTTTTTCTGAAAATCCAACTTACTACAAATGTACTTCTAAAAAATTGTGGACTAGAAATTAATTATTTTATATTACCTGACAAAATCAGAGCTTCTTCAAGTTTCACAGCTTTATCATTTGAATTCCTTTGGTTTGACATATCATTCTCTAAAAAAAATAAGTTATGTGTTACAAAAAATTAAATTAAACCCATGACAAATCTGACAAGTTATAAATACTATAAATTCGAGAAGTGTAATAACTTATTTTGGTGTGGTAAATAAAATTACCAATTTTATTTATTTTTATTTTATTTACAATAATTAATGGCTTAAGCTTTTCACATAAATTAAAACAAAAAAAACAGTCAACTTTCTAATATAAATTCATATATAAAACTAAACATAAGTTAAATACAAATAATAATTGAACAACAGTATAATGAACAAATGTGCAAACAAATTGAATGAGATGGACAACATTGTAAACAAGTTTCAATTATGAAGTTTTTCAGAGAATCTACGGAAGAGGTCAACACAGAGAAAAAAACTTCCTTTCAGTTTTCGCCGAGCTTTCGACAGTTTTTATACTGTCATCGTCATCTTCAGGGCTTTAACCTTAGTGGGGAAATAAAAAGGAACATGGTGTCATGGGCACCGAAGTACATTATGTTTTTTGGTGCTCAGCATCTCATAAAAGTCTAAAAAACTAGTAAACTTCCTTTTGTTTTCAGGTACATGCGATCACAGTGTGTTTCTTTATATATATATNATATATTATTAACTTTTCTTACATTTAAAATATTCTACATTAAGATCACAGATTAAAAACAAACCCTCTTCGACGAGAGGACAAAGGCTCCGAGAAACGACCCCAACAAAATGATCATCATTTGGCTAACCGCAATGGCTAACCTCACCAAATGCTTTCTACCAGTCAAACATATTATTTTATGAAAACTCCTATGGTGTAAAATTAAACAAAAAGTGCAACAAAACTTATTATTAAAATATTTATTATTATTAAACAATGTTTAGAGTGTATTTCTATCATGTTCTGACTAAACCATACATCATCAACAGCATCATAGCAAGAATCTAAGGTTATGTGAGAACACTTTATGATAACTGTCCCATAAGTGGTCATGCCAGCCTAAATTACAATTTCAGACTCTCAGGATCACATTTAAGCATATATTTTTACTTGGTCCTAGTTAACCAAAGTAAATTATTTGAATTGACTCATATTTTTCATCTCAACCGCACTTTATATAAAAATTAATCATTTTTAAGTTTGATCCCGTTAAAAGTTAATCCTTCATCCACCATTGATTGGTACATTGGTGTTACGCATAAAATGACTTGTAGTTGAAATTTTTAGCAAGTAGGTGCACAGATAAACAGTGTAAACAACACAATGAACACAACCTATACAACAACAATGAAAGTATTTAAACTAACGACAACATTTTAAATTATAATAATATTTTAAATATACTGTGTATAAATTATACAAGAAAAACTAAACTTAAAGACACTTGATCAAATACTCAATGAGAAATTAACCAGTTTAGCATTAATTTAATTACATTTTTGACGAGCATGCTCAAATAGCACACAGGGGCACATGAAAAATTATATTAGTATATGTGTGGTGACTAGTGACCGTTAATCGATATTTATTTAGAAATTGTGAGATGCGGTCTGGTGTGATGTAGGTTCAGAAAAACATTTTCTTTATCGTTCCAACGTTTCAATCTTTACTGAGATCATCATCGTCAGGGCTCAATAAAGATCAAAACGTTGGCACAATAAAGAAAATGTTTTTCTGAAACCTACATCAAACCAGACCCCATCTCACGATTTCTAAATATATATTAGTATATTAAAACGGTTTAGAAGTTTAACAATAAGACATATTAGTGCTTTGATTCCTTTGCAATTTATTGATTTATAATTGGCAAAGTTCCTTTAGAAGCAATTCCTATTGAGAAAAGGTTTAAAACCTGACCAAAATACTTTACCACTTTGAAATGATTTAAAGCTTGTGGCCAATTTTACCACCTCTGAAGATGGTGAAATGCCAAGACACAACAGGAATAAACCAAAGCAGTCAGAAGACCAAGATGACCAACATGTTTGTGTTCTGCCTTTGTTTTCAACATATTGATTTCATAACTTGATAATAATTAAATTACAATGATGTTTCCTTTAGATTTTTTTTAATTAATAAAAATAAATTAAAACTAACCTTTGGCTGTGAGCTCCATTTCAAAGTAGTCTGCGCATATGACGAGTTAAAATTCAAAAGGAATTTACTACATTAAGAGCTAGCTATCCTCGTGTATTATGTAATACAAACAAACTACTTGGCACGTTGTACAAAAGGTTGTAAATTAGATAAATAGAACTTATATTTATTCTATGATTATTGTTTTAGAAAAACAATGTGTCATTTCTGAAAAAAAGGTGCAAGGCAATTTTTCTGCATATCACTTTTATAGGGAATTATTCTTTTTATTTCCAAGATAAATACAACTGGTTCAGTCAGCATGATTAATTTTGTTTTCAATTTTTCAAAAGCTTTAATACGGTCTCAAAATGAGGCCAGCGTATTTGCGAATACGTCTGGGTTCTGTTATCACCTCTGCAAATGCTTAGAGCAAAACAATGACAAATATAAATGTATGTTAGATACATAAATGTTCTATATTTGACATGAAATGAAAAACAAACATTCTCGAATAATTATGTACTAAATAATCTTGGATAATTTTATATACCATGACATATTTACAAAAGATTCAAGCATGACAAGGCTATACAAACATGTATATTTAAAAAATATGTATATATACAAAATGTAAATATGTAGGGAGTGGAATGGGATCATCAGATAAATTTGAGCATGAAAGCATGGAAATTATAAAATGGGAGAAAGGAATTATTGTCAAGTTAGTGCACAGGTCAGTCACATGGACTTTATTAGAAACCAAAAAAAATTCATTAGACATAATCATAGTTGGGGAGAATAAGGGAGGAAACGAGGATTTATGCATACTAAAGAGTGGAAGGTGGCTTGCATGACAAATATGATGGAGAAATCTGGAAGATATTGGGCTTCCGGGCAAGGTCTGAGCAACACAAGATTCTTGATGGAGAGACAGAAGGAAATAGGGTTAATCAAAAATTGTTAACGGTTATAACAAAGTCATTTCATAAAGGCTGCCAAAGCGACATAAACAATCAATAAGGCAGAGTTCCAACGATTGAGGAGGCAGATGAGAGGACGGCGGAGGCCTAAGGAGAGCCATGCTGGATTTGGAGTTACTCGGTCGCTTGCAACTTTAGAAAGAAGATAAAGTAAAAATAAAAGTGTGTGATATCAAGACAAAAAAACTGCTAGTGAAAAATTTTTGTGGAGTGGTGTTCATTCATAAAGGTTTGTTACACTATACTATACAACTTGTCCAGAGAAAAGGAAACCAAAAAATAACTTTACACTTAATTATATTCTATCATAAGAAAATATACCCTTTTCCTTACTTAATTAGTTGTAACCATTTATAAGATATATTCGATTCATTAATTTGTTATTAATATAAGGATCTTTCATGTTTAACAGGTACAAACTTATTATTTTATTTTATTTTTTATAACCATCATATTAATCCCACAATGTTATATGGTAAACGGAGAAATGGGAGAAGATGTAGATGTAATATTTCAGGGTATGGTAAACTGCGCCCTTTAAGAGTTATTGTATCCCCTGTGCTCTGCCTAAAGCACATCGGTGAGTCCTATTTCATCAAGAAACTTGATTAATAGGCCCAGTTTCAGTGGTTGTAGTTCTTCTATGGGCACATTGTACATCCCAAAACACTTCCTCCTGCGGGCTAATGTAGCTCCGCAGTTTGTTAGTAAGTGTGTTGGTGTCTCTTCTGCTCCCTTGCAGAATCTACATGTGCCATCTTGGATTATTCCAATTTTCTTTAGATGTTCATTTAATCTACAGTGTCCTGTCAGGAATCCTGTTAGGATTCGCAGTCTATTCCTGCTTCCTTTGACATATTCTGTGATTTCTTTCTTGCCAAATTTGGTTAGATTCTTGGATTGTCTATGTCCAATAAGTGAATTCCAAAGTTCGCTCATTTTCTTTTTGTCCTTCTGTCTGAGATATTCGTTAATAGTGTGGATTCCTATGCTACAGAAGGGTTCGGGTCCTATCAGCGGTGTGGCAGCCCCTTTCCTTGCAAGGGTGTCCGCTTTCTCGTTGCCTTCTACTCCCATATGTCCGGGGACCCAGCAGAGGCTGACTTTATTCTGCATACCTAATATGTTTAATTTGGTTTTGCAGTTCTGCACCATCCTTGAACTAATGGTATTTGAGCTTAGTGCTTTGATGGCTGCTTGGCTATCTGACATGATAGCTATATTCTTGTTTTTGTACCCTCTATTTAGATTGAATTGGATACATCTTTCAATTGCGTGAATCTCAGCTTGGAAGATACTGGTGTGCTTTCCCATGGGTTCTGAGTATTTGGTTCCGGGTCCAAACACTCCTGCCCCCGAACCTACCTGTATTCTAGATCCATCTGTGTACCAAAGGATGATGCCATTTTTGAGGGAGGTATTTCCCTTTCTTTCCCATTCCTTTTTGGTGCCCAGATGTATTCAGAATTTTTGGTTAAATTCAAACCTCCTGTTCATGTCATCTCTTGGAGCCATGAGATGGTTTTTTCACAGTTTGTTTCTGTCTCTCCATTTCAGTTTTATTCCTGTTGGAGGTTTCTCTCTAATAAAGTTGATTATGGTTTTCTGTGCTGTCCTTTCTACCATGTGATGTAGGGGGATTAGTCCCAATATCTTTTCCATGCTAATTGTAGGACATGTTCTCATTGCTCCCGTTATGCAGATGCATGCAAGTCTCTGTATTTTTGTGAGTTCTTTCCTTTTGGTTACTTGTTCCACTTTATCAGCCCAGGCTATAGCTCCATATGTAAGTAAAGGTCTTACTTTTATGGTGTACATCCATAACAGGGTTTCTGGCCTACATCCCCAGTTTCTCCCTGCTATTCTTCTGCACACCATCAAAGCTCGTGTCGCCTTTGTGATAATGGAGCTGAAGTGTTTCTTGAATGTTAGTGTTTTATATAGTGTGATGCCCAGACATTTGACTTCATTTTTGATTTCTATCACAGTGTTGTTGAGTTTGATTTCTTTCATTTGATTTCTTTCATTTGATTTCTTTCATTTGATTTCTTTTCCGTGTAAAAGTGACTATAGTAGTTTTGTTTGGATTAATCCCCAAGCCTGCACTTTTACACCATTCTTCTGTGATTTTCAGTCCCTCTTGGATTATATCGCAGAGGGTTTCCTCCAATTTTCCCCTGGCTGTCAGGACTATGTCATCTGCATATCCCTGACATTTTATTCCTGAGCGGTTCAGGGTTTCAAGCAGTTCATCAACTGTTAGGCTCCATAAGAGAGGTGATAATATCCCTCCTTGAGGACATCCGATGGGAGAAGCTGAATCAGAACACAACATCCTGAGACTTTTACGTTCTGGTTGTCTGTTCTAAGTCCTCTTCTTAGTTTCATACAGTTGCAGCTTGCAAAATGATGGGAAAGAAAAGTGAATTTGAGAGTCATCGACATAAAAGTTATAGAGGCAACTTTATGGATTTAGCAAATTATTAATGAACCAATAACAAACAAAGATGAGTTGCTCGAGCGTAGTTATTTACAAATTTGTATAATTAATGTTTAAGTCGCCAGTTCATCAAGATTGTTATTATTATGTTTAATTTCGTAACTTTATCCAAGTGCATTCTATCATCATATGATTTTTAGTTTTTTAATAAAATTTTTAAAATTGAGAATCTTGCCTAATGGCTTTATTCTTTATTTCATAAATTATTCATAACCAATGGGTCACAAGGGATACCTACTTTCTTCTGAAAAGTGGCCTTTGTAATCAAGCTATACTAGACAAAATAAATTTCCTTTTATGACACGTGTATTATCAAATTTCAATACATAATTGGGTTGAAATTTTAAACTTTTGAAAGAGAAATGTTTATTTTCAATCTAACTAAACTTTGCCCCCATGTTATAATATCAAATAAGGAAGCTATTCAGATTATATTGAACCAAACTGTTTAAGATAAATGGCCAGTTAAAAGAAAAAATTGCAAGAGTTTATTTATTTTTTACATTTTGCTGATATCAAATAAATTTAAAAAAGCTATAACTAAAAGTGTCATTAATTACTATTTTTAATTAAAATAGTAACTGAAATTGTACATTATTTGACACTTTTCTGTTATAATAACATAAAACCCAAGTTCTGTTGCAGTGATACTCGGAACAGAAGCATATTAAAACGGTGATGGTTGTGCCATGAAGGGTCACAAAAAAGGTGGGCTAAAGCCACCATCGTGATACAATCCTCTGAAATTACAAATTCAATAAAAAGTACGATTAAAAGGAAATGTCGGCATCAGTGGGCCAGATCGACAGAGAAATTCCTTTGCATCAAGAGCAACGTCCATAGAAGGCCCTCGGAGGATCTAAATCCAGCCATGTGAGATTGAAACACAAGCTTGTTTATGTAGAAAAAAGCTGTTCAATTACTTAATTAAAGAGGGTCAATCTTTGGTTCCATAGGAAGGAATGCCACCTGACATGAGAATTCCTGAGCATGGCTAAGAGAATTTGGGGCAATGTTCCAATTTTTGGACAAATACGACTGTTTTATTACTTGATAGACATTTTGTTGTTTCTTTTTTGTCAATATTGAGATTGAATGTATTTATTAGAGTGAATGTGTCGTGCAAGAGGGCCAATGGTGGAACAATGAGTACCCCCATAACCCTCAATTAGATTAGGTTTGAATTGCACTATAAAAAAAAATCAAATATTCCACCACCCCACTTAAGTGATCAGTTTAACAGAAAAGAATGAGTGAGAATGTGAGTGTTTAATAATTGCATGCATTGGTGCTGAAATTTCCTAGCTGTTGACAGCCTCAGGAGCCTAACTTCGTTGGTAGGACAGAGAAGGACAAGATCTAAACCCAGATGCTGAAATGACAAATTGGGTGATTGATAAATGTGCAGAATAAGCTTATATAAATCCATGGTAAAGCCAATTTTACCATTTTTTTAGCCCCAACCCATATACATATTTAGAAGTCTTAATAGTGTGTAATTTATGTATATATTTGTGAAAGGAGTGGTGCTATATCAAGTATATATTTTTTCAAATAAATTATAGTTGATATATATTGTAATCATTTGTGGTTAGTTGGAAGTATAAGTGTTTTCTTATGCTGCTTGTGCATCATACATAGATGAATTATAAAGTATCTTACATCTTGCTTTTTTAAATCTTTTAAAAGTTTATTTAATTAAAAATCATATAAACTGTAAATCGACTGGCTGGCAATGTTTATTGGAAAATCACCAAGCTTGGCTTACCTTGAAACGTCCCATAGCGGTCACTGAAATCGGAAAGGCGTCTCATTCCAAAGATAAATAATTTCAACTATTTTCACCCAAGACTGTTGTTTTCTTTCCCATTAAGCTATTTTTTATTATTAAACTACTGCCTGATAATTTTCTCATATCCAGATGTTTTCCCTCTTCGAACGCATTTCCAGGACTGTACAAGCTGCGAAGACAGGAAAAGGTTTTTATTTTATAAAATTGAAAACGTTCAGATAGTCAATCTTCGGGGCAAGATAAAATTTCGATTAAACCTCTATTGTAAGTAAAGTTCTCTAACACAATTGATAAAACATTTCAAAGTTTAACAGATAATTTTATTTTCTTGATCTACCAATTTGTTCCTCCAGAGTTCAAAGTTTGTTAACAAAATAAATTTGTTGACAAATTTTTGCACTGTCATGAAAAAATGGCATAAAAATAAATAAAACTATAAAATTTAAAGTAAAAAAAAGAAAGGAAAATATAGTAAAATTCATATTGTACAAAGCTGTGCTTATGGATCTGAATTTATTACGCTATATTTAATTAATTTTAGGTTAAATTATTTGTTTAATGAATCATCTGTGGGGGGGGGCTTTTTAAGAACAACAACTGCTTCTTTGTCAATCTTTCAGGAATTTTTCGCCCAAAATACAATATACTTTCAGTTTAGATGTTAAAATAATTTTCAATTAATTAAGGTTTTTAGTTGAGATAAAAAAGACAGTGTCACGAGCGGGATTTGAGCCCATGACCTTCGGCTAGACAACAAACTTTTAATTTACAAGACAAGGGTCACAATAGCTCAAGTGGTAGAGCAGCAGCATATCTAGCCGAAGATCGTGGGTTCAAATCCCGTTCGTGACACTGACTTTTTTATCTCAACTAAAAACCTTAATTAATTGAAACCTTAATTAATTGGTCAAGCGGACCACGAAAACTACAGAATTAAATTAACATACAGTTGTATTAGCAATAAAAAGTGCTGACAACTTGGCTAAGTAGCAGTTGATGTTTTTAAAAAGACCCCCCCCCCCAGCTAAAAAAACTCAGCTTAAATACTGAGTTATAAAATGTTGAAGGTTGATCACAAAACACATTTATTTAAGTTTTTAAGTACTTCTCAGTACAATATTCCTGACTCATCTTTATATACATTTTCATAAATCTAATGTTATTTTTTGCATAATTCACATTGAATTGCTGCTTTAACTTGTTTTATTAAGTTTAAATTGACTTAATATTTGTGATTGTATTTTTATAATGAACCGTGGATGGAGTTAACAGAATGGGGCGAAACGTTAACTTGTACAGAATTATTAGAAATTGCAAGTAGTATTGTCCGCTATTTTAATAGACGTTAGATGGCTCTATTTACAACACAGGGCAACAAGCCAAACGGGAAGGATTTGATCGAAAGTCAACTTGATTTCATACATGAGGTAGTTCTATTTGGTCAGATATACAACTAAAAAAAAGCTGGTAGACAGTATGAATGTCAGATTTGGCCAGTTAATTCAGACAGAAAACAACTAAAAAATGAGGTGTTTTGGCCAAGTGTAAGCAAAAAAGAAAAACGGGGGCTAATACAAACAATGTATAAAGTGCAATCCTATTTTTTTTATCTAATTTTTTTGGAAAAATTTCACACTACAAAACAGTTTTTGTTACAATCTAGTTTCAGATTATGATTACTGGTAACCTTTTAAGTAAACTTTATATAATTAATTTTTATATTGTTTTACTTTTATTTGTTTAAATAACTAATTGTTTTTAAGTTTAACAATTGTTTTGTTTTTGTATTTTTTATTTTTTTATTTTTACTATTTTCAGTATTGTGTTAATGTTGCACAGTGTAATTACATTGCATTATAATAAATTGTGTTCCTTGGCATTTTTTATTTAGAGTTAATTTATGCCTGGGAAGCCACTGAATGCTTAGTATGTCTATGTATTACAGCGCAACTCTTTTCTGACTTAATCTCTTAAAGTCCACCTTCACATCATCTAGACACCTCAGTCTTTTTTCAGTTGAGAACTGTCTGGCCCTCCCACTATATCTTCTTCAGTAGTCTTGTTTCTGGCATCCTCTGAACATGGCCTAGCTATCTCAGTCTGCCTTTTTTTTTTTAATATGGGCTACATCTGGCTCACAAAACAGCTCTCTGAATTTTTACCAATTCTCCAAATTTCACAGACTGCGCTGAATATCTTTCTGAGTACCTTATTTTTCCATACACCTAGAGTCATTTCACTTCTCTTTGTTACCTAGCTCTCACATCTATAGGCATATAACAGGACAAGTATTTATGGTATGGTGAAAAAGGATACTAGGAAGGGGGTTTGCACTCCCCAGGCACTGCAGCCTTCTGGCTTACTGTACCTTCCTCGTTCCTTAGTTCAGTGCAATGGACTTGATCCTTCTCCTTGGAAGTAACAGGTCATAGACTGTCGCTGCTGCAATTTGATTCCCTAAGCGTTTTCCGTACGTTAGGTTAAATCTCCATTGAGCTGTTGCTTCGCATTCGAAGATGATACGAGTTGCTTTCCTCCTCCTCATTACATAATCTGCAAATGGGATCATCGATGTATATACCCATGTTGTGCAGATGTTTTCTCAGATACCAGTGACCGGTTAGTAGTCCTACCACTCCTCTGAGTTTGGCCCTCTCCAATTGCAGCAGTGCTTTTGCCAGTCTCGGTGAGGGTTGTTTCATCATAAGTTTACTATGTCTACCACCGGTAGAGTTTATCCACTTATCCTTTTGTTTTGTTTGGATCCATCCTATGATGGAGGATTCTATATTTGTTTTTGTATCCCAAGTATAGGTTCAGGGCCTATGTATGGTCTTGCAGATCCTCCTCTGGCCAGACTGTCTGTTTTCTCGTTACCCAAAATTCCCCTGTGCCTTGGCACCCAAGATATCATCAGGTAGTTATTTGTCCCCAGGTTTTGGAGATTTTGGATGCATTCACTGACTAATTTTGATATGATTCTTATACACGCTAATGCTTTAATGGCTGCTTGGCTAGCAGATCTTATGAGGATTTTTTGCCAGTGTAATCTCTTTTAAGATTTTCCAGGGCACAAGCATTGATGGCATCCATTTCCGCTTGAAAGACCAAAGTGTACTTCCTTAAAGAGTTTGATTGCTCATGTTTTGGGCTTGTACAAAAAACGTCTGATCCGGTTCCTTCGTTTGTTTTGCGGCCATCTGTGTACCATATCATTGTATCTGATGCTCTCCTGTGTTCTTCCTCTCCTTTATAGTCCATTGAGATTTTATAGGAAGTCAAGTATATAACTCTTTGGTAGATTTTTGCTGCCTAACAATTCTTTAAATTTCAGGTATTTAAAACCTTTGCAGCATCCGAATATATTTATCAGTATTCTACTTCCCCGCTTCCTTATATCTTTGTTGTTTTCATATCTTTGTTTTATTCACGTTGATACTTAAGCTGGCATTTGCTGCTGCTATTTCAAACTCCTCCAGGAGGCTTGATAAGGTAGTAAAGTTCATGCTGTTATGACCCCACTGTAGATTGTTCCTCTAGGTTTCATCCGGATCTCTTGTATTGCAGTTTTGAGGGCCAGATTAAATAGAATGGGTGACAATAGGCACCCTTGTCTCAACCCGTCAGTGAGCCACTTGAACTGAATATAATAGATAATACAATTTTTTTAATGTTAAACTGACTTATTTTTATTACATCTCCTTTTTAGGGGTTAGACAAAAATTGTAATTATTTTTATAGCATAGTATAAAATAATATGTAAGGTGAACACAAAATAAGATAATAGAAAAACATTTGTTTTTTTAATCTTTTAATTAGTAGCCAGGTACATCTTAGTATTCTGAAATGTACCAGAACGTAAACACATAAAAATTAAAAATTAATATTTAAATTTTAAATTTTATGTATAAAATTAATTTTACACATCAAAATATACTTTTTGACAATAAAATAAAAAAGTAATTATAAAAATTCACATATTTTTACACATTGTAATACAAAAGTAAAAAAAAAAAAAAAGCTTGTACAATAGACAATTATTGAAACAAAATACATACCTATAGTCAATTAATAAAAAATTAACCAACTTTTGAACAATTTTGTTCTTTTACTTTTTGAGTTGGAGCGTTATTGTCAATTGGGGTTGTCGAAAGTAATGTGGAGGTAACTCCAATCACTGAAGAAAAGAAAAATAAAAGAAAAGTGAGTCATAAAATTCAAATTGACAATTTTCTTAAAAACTCACCCATCAGAGTCGCAAAAATTATGTAAAATATCAAATCGCACTGTGTGTACATAATGCTGGCGATTCCCAGGTTGGCCGACAGGACGCCAATTCTTCCGAACATCATTGTAAGACTTACGCTAGTCGCTCGTATTTTTGTTGGAAAAGTCGCAACGACTAAGCCAATGACAGAGAAGAATGTTATGTTAAGGACAGCGACAAACGTTGATGAAAGTGGTACAACGAATTTGGTCGAGAAAAATGGTATCATGATTACACAAGTCGCACCCAGGATTGTCGTTGCAGCTTAAAATCCAAATTATTATTATTTTAATTTCAACCTTTATTTATAATTTAAACAGGGGAAATAACTTACTGATTATCATTTTCTTTCCAACGTATTTGACGGAAATTATAAAAACTACGTGCGCTAACAATGTGCCAGCGTTGATCCACATCATGTTGAGAAAAACTTCCGGCTTCATGACCAGCTAAAAAAAGGAATTTAATTTAATTTTTAGTTTTCAAAATTGTTCAAAATTGTCCATACATCATTGCAGCTTGTTTCCGGCTTGTTAGCATTTTCTACAAATACTTCACAGAACCCTAGATCTCGCCTTCCATCGGACAATGTGGCATTCGGTTCACTTTGCATTTCCACCAATGTGAACATCTGGGGTAGCCAAAGTCTTAGTACATTCAAACTATTAAAATATATATACATATATACATGGCAATGTAACAGGAAAAATATATTTTATAATAGTTTTTGTCTATTTGTTAACAATGTACAATATAATTTTATACTTAAAATCAAATATTGGAATAGGCAAATACGATATACTTTTAAACAGCTTATAAATATATCTATAAAACTTAGGAAATCTCAGGACAAATTGCATATAGAATAAAATATTTTGTACAAAAGGAAGCTGTGTAAGTCAACTGCAGAAAAAAAAACCCTGCAAACTTCAGCCTGAATCTGAACCACTTTTGAGATATTTGATATTTTATTATGTATATCAATATTTCAAAACCATTCCTTATAAAATTTTAATAATTCCTAAAATATTTTAACAATTCAATTTTCCTAAGGAATTATTTTTTATTAATGAGCAGTACAATAATTTCCTGAAGTATGGTTAGCAAATTTTGATACAACCTGTTTAATGTGTTCTGAATTGATTGGTTTAAAAAGTTAAAAATAAAGTGATTTCTTTACTTTGCTAAAATGTGAATTGTATGTAAAAATAATATGCTAATATGAGCATATAATCAGATAGATTCAGCCTTTGCCTGTACAATAGCAATAAATTACTAGATGTCTCAGTATTCCACCATCTTTAAATTCATTTATTTTTGTCAATATTAGCTTTTAAATTATTAAAGCTGATGGTAAGCTTTCTAATTTAATCATGAGCAAATATAAATTACTGGCATGCAGTTGAAAACGTTTTTCAGAGTTTTTAGTTTTGAGATTTCTTCCTGTCGCCTACAGGGAGATAAACTTGTAATTTGGTCTTTAGACGCATTTCAGCGTTTCACAATCTTCAGTGTGTCTAAAATGTCAAAAATATCTGAAAGACCAACCCGGCGAGGTCATACAGACCAAAATGATCAGTAATGACCAAATTACCTGCACACAATGACAAAATTCATTTAATAAATTGCTGACGTTGCTGGTATAGCTTCAACATCCTTCGTATTGACTTTCTTGGGAAATCGAAAGGATTAAAAAAATATTAAAATTAAAATGGGATATTTTTCTATCACCTAAAATGGCCAGTTTCAAAAATTGCATGTAATCTTTTATATATGTAGGGTTAATACATTTGGTTTTAAAATATATATAAAAGTTGAGCTTTTCACTCGTTTCATTTTTAATCCAGCATCTTTAATTAAAGAGCTTTGCCTAAATTTATAGCTTAATGTTGGGTTTTAAAGATATTTGAACTATTAGAATAGCTTCCAGGGCTGGCTATAAATTAACACGTTTGATTGCACAGCATGAAACCTTGAGTACATTCATGTTTAAAGTACATCAGATTATTTTTTTTTAGATCAAAGAATATTTTATAACTTTTGGTATACTTGTTGAAAGTGTTGGTCTACAATCGGTTAACACTTTAAGATCTAGCACTGAGCCAACTAGTCTTGTTCCTCACTGAAAATGGCCGAAGCTGAATGGCGAGTCAAAAACAAGCTAGGCGGATCCAGTGTTAATTCAACATGTGTCTTAGTTTACTTTAAAATTAAAAAAAAAAAAAAAAAAACAGTTGCTTACCATGCCATGCTGCCAAATTGGATGAAAAAGAAGAAACATACTCTACGTACATATGGTGGTTTTAAAAGCACAAGAGCCTGGTTTACACCATCTTTCAGCAAGGTTAGAAAGTCTTTCTCTTCTTTGCTCCTTTCAATAGCCGACAGCCTTCTTGCATCGTGCAGCTTATGGATCTGAAAATTATTTATTTAGATGATGTCCACGAGGAGAGAAAAAAACGACTTACGGGATACGTATGCTGGGGTAGGCCAGTGTTGATAGTGTAGATTTTCTGAAAAACGTTAAGCGCTTCCTCTTTCCTTCCATGCTCCATTAAGAATTTCGGGCTTTCAACGAAACAGATCGAACAAACTCCACAAATCAGAGAAGGCAGGCCACAGGCCATGAGGAAAATCCGCCAAGATTTTACTTCGAAACCCCCGAATAATTGGATGTGGATGTCAAGAGGGATCAGAACCATTGCCATTACTGTTAAAACAAAATATTTTAATATAATAGGTAAATCGTTTTTAATCGAAATCTTACAAGTGGAACTGCTTACTTGGTTGAAAAATACTTCCTACTGCGCAAAACATCCCTGCCAAGAGGACAGCCATGTCACGTCTTTTGTCCAGAAACACTTCTGACAAGTATGCCATGAATATTGAATAAGGACCACAAACCCTATATATTTTTGAATCATGTTTTCAATACTGTATAATAAAAACAATTACAATTTATCCCTATTTTTTTTATGTACAGGTACCAGAAAAGAAAGTAAAAAAATATATAATACCATTTGGTTTTGTTAAACTTACATGACACCACTAAAAAACTTAAATAAAAACATAATGGCAAAATTAGGGGCCAGGCTTGATAATAGGTTCATGACCGCATCCAGGAGAAACCCGTAGCAAAGCAAGTGTTTTCGTCCGAATGCATCGGAAAGAAAACCCCAAAAAAATGCGGATAAAACCATACCTGAAAATTGTAATTACAATTAAGTCTTAAGCAATAAAACTTAAATTTGATGTCATACCGGCGTAAGGGGCACAGTTGATCAGGCCTTTTTCAAATGAAGACAAACCCAGCTCACATCCGGCAACGGGTAGAATAAACGAAACAGCACCGGTGACATAGGCAGATGAGCACGAAGCAGGAACAGCGATCAATAGCAGAAAATAATTAAACTTTCCATACCCTGAATTTTTTTTCAAATTACAACCATTATCAGTTTTAGTTTTAAGCTAAAGTAAAATGTAATCATGTAAAATGTAAATTTCTACACACCTGCCTTTGATATTGCTGTTTCAAAATCAACCGATTCTTGTCCAATGCTAGAACTTTCTGCAGATATACCAAAAAAACTATTCATTTTTTAAATAAACAATAAATAGACAATATTATCATTTTATTTATTCTTATTTGCTAGAGAATGAAGCCAAGAATTCAGAACCAATCAGTATTTAAGCATATTAAGGTAAATTTTATAGATTTTTTTTTTTTTTGGTAGCTATATACCCCACATTTTTTTGTAACTTTGATCTGTTACTGAATATTAACATTTACGTTCCGTACATAAATATCAGAAAAAATGTATTGGAACATTAACTATAATTTAAATTCAATTGTAAATTTAAAAACTAGTGCGATGTGAAAAATTAAAACAGTTGTTTTATTGGATAAATTGTGTGACGGAGAAGACTGAGGTGGCTCATGGGTTAGGTGCCACGTTAGTGGTTCTGGGTTTAAATCATAGCCCATGGCTTTTTAATTGAAAATATATATTATATTTTTTTAAATGTAAAATGATCCACACCCAATGGACAAGTTGGAAGCCGTTGTTAAAATGTGTGATATAATAGACTGAAGATTTTTAAATTAACGCATGAAACAAACAAGTCAAAAAGTAAATATTTCAAATTAAAATAAAATTGGCAATTTAATAATCAAAATTTTTCATTAAAATGGTTTAACAATTAATGTATTTGATTTTGAATAATTAGAACCCCCTGAATAAATACAAAATTATTTAACTATTACTAAAACAAAAAGGAACTTTTAATTTAATGCTAAATCAGGTAGATTTGTATGTGCTGTATGTTTGATTATTTTTGATGATTGGTAATGAAAAACCATTACGTTTTATTGGCAAGCGTTTATGAAAAATTTTAGAGTAATTATATTAACTAATCAAAGTTTAAACTAATAAAATAATTTTTATTTAGAAATCGTGAGATGCGGTCTGGTGTGATGTAGGTTTCAGAAAAACATTTTCTTTATCGTGCCAATGTTTCGATCTTTATTGAGATCATCTTCAGGGCTCAAAGTGTTTGTCTTCTGTGTAATTGTGTCATTCTTGCGTGTCGTGTCGAGAGTGCCACACACAGAGTGACACGACACGAAAGAATGACACAATTACACAGAGGACAAACACTTTGAGCTCTGAAGATGATCTCAATAAAGATCGAAACGTTGGCACATAAAGAAAATGTTTTTCTGGAACCTACATCACACCAGACCGCATCTCACGATTTCTAAATAAATATCGATTAACGGTCACTAATCACCACATATAATAAAATAATCATGCTATCCAAAAAAAAATTCATGTTGACCAATCAAAGTGTTAAAAAGAAATAGTGTACAATTAAAAATATAAACTCAAAAGTTGATTTATTTTTGAAGAAATTCTCTTGAATATTGCTTGGCATTTGATTGGCTTTTAGTCTGCATTCAAAATATACTTTTTTAATTATTTAGCAACCTTTAGACATTATTTTACACCTTTCACCTTTGCTGCAATGATTTATTTGTTACCGGGATGATTATTTACATGTGAATGTATCAAGTTTGTTCAATCACAAATAGCCATTATTAGAAAGACTCAAAAAGTATTATAATTTGTTAATATAATATAATCAGACTAATTTGATTTTTTTAAATACACTTTTATTGATGTGTTTTATTACAAAATATTGCATAATTGCAAAGGTATAAGCTTGTTTTTTATTGTAATGGTTCTGTACATCGTATGGCTGAAAATCCCTTCTGTCCTTAAAAGACCTGCCATCAATGCAATTTGTCAATTAACGATCAATCAATTGACTGACCTTCTTTCATGCATCTTCTTATATCTTCCACTGCTTTGTTGTAGGCCAGGGCGTTGCCGCTCTTGGCCTCGGGGAGTTCGATATGCGAAATTTCCACCTTTTCCCTCATCGTCCTTTTCACTCATACCCCACCACACTTCTTCCTCGCACTCTACTGAAGGCAGATGCAAATGATTTTTGAGACTTTATAAGTTAAGCGGAGCTATAAAAAAAAAAAAAAGAAAGGAATTAATAGAAAAGAAAATAGTGGCTGAAGGAATCAGGTGAGATAGTAGAATAAAAAGAGAAACAATTGTTTTTACCGTGATTAGATAATTTCAACATTCGCACAAGGACATCGAAAAATGTAATTTTTCCTCGATAATTTAATCTTTTTTAATTCAGGAAATTTCAATATAATCATAGAAATCTCTGAAATAAAAGACACAATTTATTCCTATTATTTACTTAAGTTTTATAAACATTTTCTGTAAAAACCAGACTAATATGTATTTCATTATATATACTTATTATATACTCAATGTCTTATTCCTTAAGGTACGGTTGGGTTAGCCAAGAAACATTTATGATCAAAATTATTTTAAAAAATCATTCTCTTAATGTGTCGTAATGTTACTACATACATTTTATTTATTATAATTCATTTTGTTTGTATATTCGTGTCAATTAGGCTGTGGGTTTTAAGGTAACTGACAATTTCATTTTTTTATCCTGTTGCCAGCCTCTCTATCTCAGAGTCTTGTCAGTCAAGGATAAAAATCTTCATATAATAAACACTAAATCTTCATTTATATGAAAATTATACATAGTTAGCCAAATTGTGGAAGAAGCCCTTCCGTTTATACTAATAAATTTACATTCACAATTTCACTCACTCTACCCCAGAGTACTCGATAACCCTCGGACTCTTTAATTTCACACTAATAAATTATATTCATTTGTTACAATAATAAAAAATAAGAACTGTTTCTCATTCAACGTTATCATTCAAGCCAATAAATGTATAAATGAATCTCTTTCTCAATATTCCTTGTGATCTATCCCCCCTCCATTCTTGCTAATAAATACATTCATTCCAATAAATAAGTTATAGATAAACATAAGCACACAAAGAAGTTAAAAACATGACTGAAGTATTAAAACAGTGATCTGGGCCCCACGATCTGGGTGTGACCCAAACGCAAATAAATACGACCTACCCCTGAACACCTCCACAATCCTGGGATTGATGTCTTTTTTTAACATTAAATTATTATGATATACTTCTTTTGGACAAGCGGATTCTCCATAGATTTTTTATTGTACTGGCAACTGTCCTTTTTATACCCGCAGGACGACAGTGTGATAAGGGTCGTGTGGTATAATCATGCTAAAGTAACTAAAACACCGATTTAATTTAGTTTCAGAAGTCTTGTCTTTTAAAAATTCAACTGTAATAACTATTGTTTTTTTAAATCTTCAATTGTTATGTTAAATAATTTGTCAAATCAACATAAAATGTAGACATTAGATAAAATACGTTTTTTAAACTGATATTTACTAGATTACTAAAGAAATATAAACAACGCTGTTGGCATTAGGATTGAAAATCCTTTTGAAAGAAATGTAAATTTGTCTCTTGTATTTCTATTTGTACACTCTTGTACAACCAGACAGACCTCTCTTAAATTAATAATTCTTTCCTTAAATATGTCACATGTATGGAATAAAAACCCTTTCAGAAAATATTGGACTTCTTTATCTAGTATATACTGGACAGATATGAACAACAATGGAAACAACTCTTATTTAAACATAAGCGTTATATCACTGTTTTAATATTTTATCTAGTAATACAAGCACTTTTTATTAGGATACGGTAAAACTTCGGAAATACAGGTTTGTTGACTAGTATTTTTTCCAAAATGTTTTAAATGCATTAATATTTTTAATATTTCTGCGCTGATTTACATCAGTTTATCATATTTTTCCGTAGAAGCTAAGAATACAATGGAAAAAAAAGAAAGTTGAAAAATTTAAAGAAACAACATATCAACATAGCAGGGCAGAATATTCCTCCATGATCCTTTACTCATACAGTCTACATCAAACTAATCAAATTGAGTAACTAAAGGCTCCCTCACAGTACATATTCCGTCTAATATATACATTCACTCTCAATTTATAAAAAAAAAAAAAAAAGTCCAGGGTAAGACCTTAGTTCTATCCATCCTGCCGCTAGAGTTAGGCTCCATGAACAGCCCAACATTCAGCCCCTCTGACTTACTCTTAATAACAATATTTTCTTTCCTATTTACATTCTCAATTAGTATGGAGTACTTGGTCGTCCATCACTCTTTCATACACTATTTACCCTAATCTAATTAAAGGTCTATTAGATACTAATGCATACATTCACACTAATAAATACACTTACTCTCAATATACTAAGAAAAAACACACAAGGACTGCTTACAATAAAACCCTGTTTTCAGAATATTCCTTCATCAACCCTCTCACACTACACATTATCACTAATATATACATTCACTCGCACCAAAGAAACCCAATACAAGATAATTGTGTATCTCGAGTTTTGGTAGCTAGGTCATTCCGCCCCTCTGCAACTTTACTGAGGAAAAATACGTAGGAAATCGTTTATTACAGAGCTGCTTAGATTGTTTATGATCAGGTTTATACACTGGGATAAATATAAAATTAAAGCAGTAGTAGTTCAAATAAAAATTTCTTATCACTATTTAATAAGTCTTGAAAATAATAGTGATGAATTGACTTTTTTTCTTTTTTTTTTAAACCCACCGATTCTGCCAGGAAAAGGTAGAAACATTAGAACATGTACAATGCGACTGCAAAGCATTAGCCTAAAAACGTTAAGCCTCTTTTGAATGGTGATCATAGAAGGAAATTAGCTAAGAGAAACCCTGGAAAGTGCTCAACTAACTTTAATGTATGAAAAAAAAAAAAAGGCTCAATTCTGAATTATATAGGTATCACCGTTGGATCTTGTACATTGCAGAGAAAGGGAGCCTAAAGTCACCAGTGATCCCAGAAATAATGGGAAAACAAACCAAATTATTTTTTGCTGTTGGACTACTGTTTTGTTCAAACAAATGGATTTGAAGGGAGGTCCTTTGAGATTCAGTACTTGCTTTCTAAGGGACAGCTTTTTATTTAATTTTATAATTTTCTTAATTAATTTTGTTTGATTTTTAAATGAAGTTAAATGAAAATAAATGCAAGACATTTCAAAACATGATTTTTAATTAATTGTATATATAAATCAATAAATAAATAAATATTATTAAAAAATAATCATTTAGGGATCAAATTTAAAATATACTAGGATCAGTGGAAAGAGAAATTTCTGCTGAAGAAATTGTATTGCAGAGTTTCATATTTATTACTTTATTAACATAATGATTTCCCATTTCATTTTATTAATATAATCAGTTAACGAAAAATAGATAAAAAATAATTTTTTATTCGTAAATGAGAACTTTTTTGCCTAACCTTTCGGAATTACCATATATGTACTTTTGAAGAGAGCTTGATTTCTTTTCAGGGTCATGATATGTACCTCATGTACACTCTTACTTCAGCAAAAGCGACCGGGTCAAGATTTCCCATACAATTTGACATGCCTGATGAAGTTCTGGAAAGAATCATCTGGAGAAAGAAGTTACCAAATGGAAATGATGGTTTTTTAAAAATATTTTTTAATTTGTTTTTCTATATAAATGTCCATCAAACAACCCATATTACCGTGAACCTCCTTTTCCCAAACCTATTCCTCCTTTCCCGCGACCGGTCATGTTATAGTTTCACAGTCTATAGTTGATTGACGTCGGTCACGGCCAAAGGGGAAACAGAGAATTTATATTTAATTGAAAGATATTAATTGGTCAAGTGGACAACGAAACTAGTGAAATTATAATATAATGCTGAACTGTCATTGGTCTAACTCTCCTCCCTTCTACGGAGGATTCGCTCACTTCCAACTACTGATCGCTTTGCGCAAAAACATTGAATTAAGCATACAATTTTTGTATACATTGGTTCTATTCACAGATTTAAATTAATATTTTATTAATAATTAATAAAATAATTTAATGAATTTTTAATTTGGCAACAGAATTGCTTAAAAATTTAATGGTTGCACATCATACCTATTCCAGTAACATCAACATGGTTGTAGCATTGTGCAGGTTTGTCGCAAACCTTAGAAAATTGTTCTGTACAACTGCTTCCTGGCGACATTAGTCCCCAGGAGGGGTACGCACACCCTGCAAGAAAATTGACACAACTCAACAATAGAAAATTTTACAGGAGAGGCAGATGGAAGTTTACTTTTTTTATTTATGTTTAAGTCCACGCCATTGTTGGCAATAAAAACTGTCATGATACATCCATACTATCTTTCGTTTCTCCAAGACTAAAGCGAAAACACAAAACTTTAAAATTCCAGCAGTTCTACCACTAAAAAACTACCCCTTTTTGACTTGTGACACTTTTCTTCCATGATATAGGCTCTCAGTACTTTAAGTTTGTTCACTCTAATGATAATTGGGGTCAATGAATGACTTTGAGTATTAATTCCTTTGTGATAATAACAGACAACATACAAACCTAACAAACAAGCATAAGAAAATTATTTGTACAAATGATTTAACAATTGTTTTTCATAATGTGAAATTATTATAGGGCCTGATGATGACCTTTAAATGGCAATTGGCAGTAACAACTGAATTTGCTTTCTTCTTCAAAACCATACCTTGATCCAGAGTGTTCGCAAGTAAAAAAATGGTCAATACTTCTAGCATTGAAAACTAAAATGATTCTAAAATTTGCATTACTTTGCTCTTACAATGAAAAGAAAAATGCAGCATAAGAACTACGAATGCTTTTATATTCAGTTAAGGACATGCAATCTTTTTTTTTCTCATATAATGTAATTGTCGTTATTCAGTATTTACAATATTTTGATTTTCTGTAACATTTTTGACCTGCAACTTTGAAGCTGAACCTTCATGCTTCTGAGATTTGTTAGTGAAATCTGAAGAGTCAGAGCTATCATCATTGTAGGTCATACTTTTCTTCTCATTGCCTGTTATCAAAGTGCAACAAGAAGATCCAATATCCATAACACACTGCTCTAAAGCCAAGAGGTGGAATTTTAAAACTGATAGACTTCATTACCATTATTGATGGGAGTTTCCTTCTTGTTCATTGTCAATGAATTTAGTATCAGTTTGACCAGTCAAAGTCATTTTTACAAACATTTTATATAGATATTGATGTGTGTGTGTGTGTGTGTGTGTGTGTGTGTGTGTGTGTGTGTGTGTGTGTGCGCGCGCGCGCGCGCGCGCGTATGTGTGACCCTGCACTGCTTACATAAACTATTTAGGCTAGACTGTTATGGAAGTTTGCTGTATTTCTTGTGAAGAAACCGTAGAATTTGATTTGGCTTTTTTTTTCTTTTTTTTTAAATTAAAATTGTATTTAGTTGTGGGAACTCAGATCTTAACTAAATTTAACTAAACAGAATTCCAAGACACAACAATTTCAAATAACACCAACATGACACCACAAGAATAGCACCACACTTTACGCCCTGAAGATGACGCGACTAAAGGTCGAAACATCGGCAAAAAAATGAAATAGGTGTTTTTCTAAACTACATCATTCTTGACCACTCCTCCTCACGAATCCAATAAATTAATAAACAGTAGAGTTCCTAGATAATTTTAAGATCATCCAGAGTTCACTAATTTCGTGGTCCGCTTGACTAATTAATAATTTACAATTAATTAAGGTTTTTAGTTGAGATGAAAAAAAGTTAATGGCACGAGAGGGATTCGAACCCACGACCTTCGGCTAGATACGCTGCTGCTCTACCACCTGAGCTATCGTGACCTCGATCCATTCGGACATCAACTCCCCATCTCAATCCCACCTTATGAGTTTTCCCTCCTTTTGCCATTTTTCAAATGTCGTGTAATCGGTTTGGATTCTCGACGACAATTGAAAAATGGCAAAAGGAGGGAAAACTCATAAGGTGGGGTTGAGATGGGGTGTTGATGTCCGAGTGGATCGAGGTCACGATAGCTCAGGTGGTAGAGCAGCGGCGTATCTAGCCGAAGGTCATGGGTTCGAATCTCTCTCGTGCCCTTAACTTTTTTTCATCTCAACTAAAAACCTTAATTAACTGTAAATCATCCAGAGTGCTGAACTTTTTAACAACTTGGCAGTTAAATCCAAAAGGACTTACCATGTTATATAACGAGAAGAATAAATGCTTGAAAACACAATAAAGAATTTGCTTTTCATGAAGTAAATATTATATGCTCAAGTTTAAAAAATATAGTGAATATGTCTTGCCTATAAATTACTAAAAAGAAAAATACTAAAAAATAATGTCTAAAATTTATTTAGAAAATAATCATTTACAACTGTTATAGTTCTTGGAGTTCCAAATCGATAATTTTTCTTATGATATGATCCACATTAATCTCTTTAACAACATCTTTAATTATTTCGTCTGTCAGCCGTGTTGTAATACTATAATTTTTGTTATCATTATTTGTGCCGACAATTATAAGCGTTTGTCTCACCTGTTAACCATATTATTCACATTTTCATCATACCACACACTTTGAGACTTGAAACTCTTGAATGCCGTACGGTAATCACACACCACATCTCTGTTCTCCAATTGGAAAAGTTTGTTTGACTCTGAAATAGGAGAGGAAGGTCTAGAAAGTTTGAACTGCCTCGATGGCTTTATGTCCTCATTCTCACACTTGATGTAGACCAATTTGACATTGGAGGGAAACTCGCTCTTTTGCTCTACTATCTCTTCTTTTCTGAAACAAGTTTGCTCTATAATTAATAATTATGACGGATTTAATTACTACCAGCTGTACTTCTGCTCTTCGGTTTTAGCCGCCAGCATTACAGCATTCCGGCAGTCTATCAACTCTTGGAGCTTGGCTTTAGCAGGCTCAGTATCCTTCCAAAGTGAGATCAGGTATATAATTTTTTGTTAAATAAATTTAAAATTAATACATAGAAACATAAATTGGCAAAAGTCTCTATCAAAAGTTTTTTTTTTCTTGTAATTGGTGTTATTTCTGGGCTCAAAATTATTTTTTTAACATTGAAAACATACTTGTTTCATAGATTCTTCTGTAATCAAATCACACTTCACATTTTTTTTAATTTCCACGTCACTCTAAAAAAAAAATTAAAAATTTCAATGTATTGTTAACATTGTAAAAATATGGAATACCTCTGATTCTTCTGGAATGATTTCCATCATTGTTCGCACTTGTTCCTCTCTCACTGACCTGCTGTGTCTTCTTAGCTCAGACCCTTCCCTCTGCTTGACCTCCATCTTGAGCAGTTTGAGTTCTGACGGTTCTGCCTGGAAACTCAGTCATCAAATAATAACCGAGATGGGCCAAACATTAAAGCTCACAGTTTTCTCACAGAGGAGCTCGTCCCTGGCACCTTTCTTCCTCTTCCGCCTTGCTATTTGAAATTTGGCCAAATCTGCGGCTTTCTCTTTCCAGGTCAGCCTATGGGTTCGGTACATCCAGAGGTTATCCTGCGGCGCATTGCCCGACTTGATCTTCCTGGATGCCCTTTTCTTTAACATCTTCGCCTCCGCCTCTCTTCTATCATTTAGACGGTCTATCTTATCCATCAACTGATGACAAGCTAGATTGACATTCTAAAATATAAATTAAATGAAATTTATTTACCTAGTTTTTAACTTTTATGTTATTACACTGTGGTTATCCATTGTGTCAATATTGATTCCATCGTAGTTCGGTAACATGGAGGTTAACTCAGAAATGGATTCGATAAATTCTTTCAACCAACGGAAAGACTCTTCACTAGAACAAGAAGCAAGTAAATGCTTCTCCAGTGCCTATAGCAAAAATAAAATACGTTTTAATAATGTATTAAATTACTTTAAATATTTTTGGTTATTCACACGCTAATTAGTGCATAATTATACACAATTACAAATGAAGACATTTTGTTATCTCTGTTATAATTAAGGACAAGTATATTTGCCCTCATTTCTGATCGCCTTTTAATATGAAATTTTGTTATATCTGGCTTGACAATTAAATAAAAATCTAAATATATTCAAAAAGATTTTACTTGAAGAGCTTGAAGGACGTTTTGGTGTGCGGACACAAATTTTTGCATGATTATAATAGGTCTTGTCTTCAAGATTGTCTCATTTGACAGTATTTTCTTAATGTCGTTAATCTATAAAATACAATAAAAAATTATAAAAAAATAATAACAATAATGATTCATGATGAAATTAATAAATTTTAACCTGGCAAACCAACTGATAGTGATAATTGCCTTTGAACCTTGATGTGAAAGCTGAGTTTCTCTTTTTGCTTCTCAAAATGTCAACTTCCTCCCGACTGATGTCCAAGGGTTCATCGTTCAAGGCCTGTTCAATTCCGTTAACAGTGAGGACTATCTTCCTTCTCAGGTCGTCAAACTTTTTGATCAAATTCTTCAATTCGGCGTTAGCAAGGGCTTTCTCATCTCTTTCCTGGAAGTACGAATTGAAATGTACTATTGAAGATACGATTTGAACTTTGGACTTTACCTTTTGAATTGGGGAGGATTTGGTTCTCCTCAGAATAACTACTTCTTTTTCTTTAATATCTAGAATATCGTTACTTATAGGCTGTTCCATTCCACTTATTGGCACACTCATTTTCCCATGCAGGCCTTCAGGCTTTTTATGTATATTATGGGATTTCCTTTCAAAGTTTGCAAGTACGTTCTTATCTTTCATCTGAGAATAAGAATTAAAAGAAGTTCACAATTTCATTGTCAATGTTTTTATGTATATGTCTGTGTATGTGTGTGTTAATGCTTGTTTGTATTTATTTATCACACCTGATTATATTCTGTTTGAGTTGATATTTCCAACTTTTCGTCTTGAATCAACACAAGTGATTGACAACACTTGTCATTTTTCAGCTGTGCCTGTTGTTTTTTTGTTAGGAACTTCTCCCAATCCTTAGCCTCCTGCTTGCGCTGCCGCTCACGCTTGACTTGCTTGTAAATCTCATTGAACTCATTGTCAGATATACACTTAAATAAAATTGAAATTAAGATTTGTAGGTAAAAATTAAGACGGTTAAACTTACATCTCTAAAAGTATAACTTTTCAAACCAATACGTACTCAAATGATCGTATACTTTTATAAACTCTGGTTAAATATATTTCTTATATACGACCTTATAGCTAGCTATTCAAATTATTAACACAAAATGAAATGTAAAACCATATGGTTAAGAGTTAACAAAAAAACATTACATTTATTCAATCTGTAAATATTTATTTTTAGTGTGTCTATTCTTTAAAGAGTGACAAAAGCATGAATAGTGTTTTCTAATTTTATGTTAATAAATTTCAAAATTATTTTTCTGTCAGATATGAATGAGAATATGATGAAAAAAATTAAAATCCTTTTTGAACTATATTTGTAAATCCAGTGAAACACGAAGTTCTAAACGAAGCTTCTCTAAAGCTAGAAAAAGATAGTGTTTTATAGTTGTTTTGTATGTATACAATAAAAGTTTTATATAAAAATTGTTTGCTATCTTGAAAGTTAAACAATGAACTGAAAAAATTGAATGGTTGAATGGTTCAAAATTGAAGGAGCACCCCAGCTGTTGATCAATTGAATGAACTGCAACAGGTAATATTAATGCTCTGTCATCTTTTCCCATTTCTTACATTTCTTTACACGGCCAACTTATGAAACCCATTACGGCCAAAAGGCTTATTGTTGCAAATATGATTTAAATAATGTACAGTTTATTAAGAAAGCAGAACATAATTTCCAGGGGAGTTGAAACATTATCTTGGGAATTACTTACTGAAAATCTGAAGTCCTCACCGGAACTGTTTACAGTTGACATGGGGCCCAGAAAGAGAAAAATGGTATATACTCAATATAAAACAAATAGAAACTATATTTATCCATAAAAAAAAACTCAACAAAATAACCTAATAATTATTAAACTCTTGCATGTGTTTTTATTCTAATGTTTCAAATGTCCAGTTGTAAATTAATAGGAAAAATTGTATTTCAAATGATTTTCCCCAAAATTAGTTAGAAAAGTTAAGGTCTTTAGAGTTTAATTGGCTATAAAAGCCAACCCTTATTTATAAATTTAAATTAATGCACCAGAAATTATATTTTTTTGTTGAAGCTACATTTTGACATCTGGAACTAAATTAACATTAACATTCCTTACTTTAAACAGGAAATTCATAAAAATAATGTTCTTTCAATTTTATTGTTTTTCATTTTTAACTAAACATTAATTGTAATTAGTAGTGCCTAAATATGGTTTGCACCGTATGACACCGCTACTGTTTTGTTGTTATTCACTTACTGACAGTTAAATTTGGATGTAAGGCGTGAAATGACCTGAGCCATTAAAACGCCCTTAAAAATTAATAATAATAATGTTTATGTAACAACAAAAAGAAATATATACAAAACAAAGTAAATTAATTATACACTATGATAAATACCGTCTGGCGACTAATTTAATCTTTAGGTATCATTAAAAATGAAAAACTACAATTTGAACAAATAAAAAAATTATTAGTTATAAATTATTGTAATTTACAATATTTTTACAAAAAGATTTAACTTTGAGACAGAAGTTTCGGCTCATTCGAATGAGTGAGTGTTTTCACGCGCTCAGTACCTGGTCTGGTATTGTCTTTTTAACGGTCTGTTAAATTTTTCAAATAATTCTAATTCAGCCATCCGGTCGTTAAAATTATCAATTATATAGATGAGCTCTTGACATGCATTTTTCATTTCCTGAAAATATAATTTTGTGAAAAATGGCGACAAAGTACATTTGAATTATAGTACATTATAATTTTTGAATGTTTTTTCGTAATATGATGGTAGGTTGTATAAATTGCTAATCAACTCGGTGAAATCCCTCAGCCAGCAGAACGTTTCATTAACTGGGTATGTTCCAATCAAATGTTTTTCTACAACCTTAAACAATAACAAAAAATAATTATTATGCAAACTAACACCTTCTAAATGATGGAAACCAATTTTTAAGAAATGAGATTTACAACTCAAAATAATCGTTCCATAAAAAATAAAAAGAATTCAAATGCAGCAATTTACATATAAAATAAAAAAAACAAATCCTTGATACATGTAATAATATTGGATTCTATCATTTTGTCACACTTCTTAGGAAAATATCTAAATTATTACTTGCAATGCCTGGAATATGACTTGGTGAGAAGACAATAATTTTTCAATTACTTTTAAATTTGGTTTTGCTTTCTGTAGAGTTTTGTTTTTGAGAAGTTTTTCAATGCTTTTAATCTACAACAGTTAGACATTATTTTTCAGGCATTTTTATATTTTTTGAATTTGTTACTTGGCAAACAAGATGGTAATGGTAGTTGCTCTTGAACCGTTTTGAGAAGGCAACATTCCTGACTTGGTTTCTCTTGATGTCTATTCCATTTTTTAGGAAACTATCATAAGGATATTTGGAAAGAACATCTCCAATGACTTTTAATGTTGTGATGATCCGGGCCTGGAATCTCTCAATTTTGTCAACTATAAATTTTCCTCCCAATTGTTCTCTAAACTTATATGATTCCTGAGCTTGCTCAATTGTATAGTTTTCATGCATATCTGAAGACACATGTACAAATTGAATAATGTTTTGGCTTGGATTCTTAAGGGCCACCTGTAAGGTTTTTGGTTTTTGTTTTGGTTTAAAGCAATGCACATTTCATACTTACTTCTGCTGTATAAATTTCTTTAACATTGGGATCATAATGTGGGCGAATTAGTTCCACCTGTTCATCATTCTAGGCAAAAATGAATTTATAAAACTGCTGCCTTATTTCAAATAGTGTTAAACAGTTCGTACAAACAAAATTGAATCTCCTTGTGTTGTTGTCTCTGGTTCAGACTTGGGATCATTATGATCAATAACAGTAACATTAGTTATTGTTGAAGCATCTCTCCCCTCAACTTTGTACTCTTGAGCCTGCTGCTTCTGCATAAATATCTCCCATTCCTTTTCTTCACGCTTCCTCTGCCTCTCCCTTTTCACTTGTTTGTGTATAGCATTAAACTCACTATTTGATATATACTGAAAATAATGAAATGTAAAAAATACAGAATTATTCTAAAGGAGTTCATTATATTGAAAATTCTGTGGATGAAAATCCCTTTCTTACTGTAAATTTGAATGATGATTCACTGTTTGTCTTCTTTGGGCAGACAGTGACGTCTTCAAGCATATCATAATCACTGTCAAGCATCAACTCAGTCATTAACTCACTCATATCATTAAATTTTCCCATTCTTCATTTGTTAAATTAATGAGCCGAAATTCTTCATTTGTGTCTTATATCTACCAAAAATAAAATAAATAAATAAAAATTTCTAACCAAATTAAAATGAAATAGCAAGTGTTTTTTTGTCTTTTTAAAAGATTGTCTTTAAAAAAATAAATAAAAAAACACATGCTTTGGAACCAGTTAAATGCAAAAATAATGTTCTGAACAAACTTGTGAGTATAAGTCTTCTTCATATTGGAATGTACACCATTATGTACATTTGAAAAAGTCTAACAAGTTAGGAATTTGAGTAACATTTTGGATTGATAATTTACTTGTTAATTCAATACACATGTTGTTAAACATGTGGTAGAATAAATACACATACTGGTAATAAATATCCGTACATTTTGCTATGGTTTACTACAAAGTTATGTATCTAGTCTCTAGAGAAAAGATTGCAGAACAAGCAGAAGTCATAGTTTTAGGAAAAGAACAGCTAAAACCTAGGTGCAAAAAAATCAACAACTTAGCAATCAATTCTGTTGAGAAAACAAAGCAGCTAAGGCCTAAGAACAAGGCTAAGGCCCCAACTTCCAGGCATGACCACGTGATCCAGCCCTCTGAGGTTAAAAATGTAATAAATAGCATGATTAAAAGAAGCTGGCAGTATTGATGAGCCAGATCGGCAGAGAAGCACTCATGTAACAAGATCCTTGACAACTATCAGCGTGCACACAATAGTAATAAGCTTATCTAAATTAGGGTTGTTAAAGTATTTTCATAAATATTCCATCATCGGCCCTAAACACGCACTGCAGGAGGGGTGATGGTGATGCTATATTATATATTAAATATATCATCCTCTTGCCTCACCACTCACACTAATAAAAGAAAATTGCTACTGTGCCTGAGAACCGGTGGCATGCCTACACACAACCTGTAAGGATCCGCCAAACTTCTATTATACACATTGAGCAATCTTTCTCTGCACAAGGAGCATCTGCTTTTGCTAAAAATTTTAAAAACATTCCATAAAAACAACACTATAACAAAAATTCCATAATAAATAATTACCTGAGCGAGTGCATAATAAATGCAGTTTAATGCTGGCACATTCAAAATATTAAGTATTCTAAATTAAAATGAATTTTACTCTTATAATATTACTATCCGCTCTAATGTTTTAAAATTCAATTAAATATGTATTCACTTTCTTTATAGTCAGGGCAGTGGAAGAATATATATCTGGTCAGGATTAAGATTCTCACATTTGCATAAAGAAGTACAATGCATTGGAGATAATGTAGAGAATGAAAGTTTGTCAATGACATAAACCAAAATAAATTTGTGATATGTTCAAAAATGTGTTAATTTGTCTTTTCTTTTCACGTTCCCCCTAAAAATTTCTGATTGCTATTGGTTGCTAACAGCAACGAGGTGTAAAACGACGTGTAAACAACTTTTACTCTACTTGAAAGTAGAAACTAGTATATTTCAAAGTAGTATCATTTTTTCGGGTTGATTTTGCATCAGTTGAAAAAGACAATACAATCTCTCAACTCCGTTTAAAAAAATACAGTTATAAATACAGAAATTAAGAAAATGACGTCGTGTCTTGTAAGGAAAGTTATAAAGACGCAAGCATAAAATTTGAGCAGGAAAAGGCAGTTTTGCATGTAATATAAGAACTACAAACAAATTTCGAAGACACCGTATTTTTTTGTTCACGGTTGCTGAGCTGAGACGGAAAACTAGGCCCTTCAATGACCCGATCGATTTTCTAAATGAATCTCCCTCTATTGTTGATCCACTCTACTGTCATGTGTACAACTATTCAAATTGTTTTATGATAAAAAAAAACTTCTGGCGCAATATACTGCTATTCTGTCAACGATGGCCACGAGGCCGGTGTGACGGGCATGTGACTTGAGATGATGGTGATGAGCATTCATCAATAACAGCCGACTTCGCTAGAAACTTCAAGTGAGTATTACACAGAACAAAATCCCTTTACATAATATTCAAAAGAAGTATTTTTGCATGTAATCCGCATGAAAGTTTGCGAGAAATTTCGATTAAAACCACAAATAATAAAATAACGCTAATTATTTCATAATATTGTGTTCTTCAATGAAGTGTTTGTCCTTGTCCTCTTGTTACCAGAATTGAAAAATAAACTTAAATATATCTTTCTAACTAAACTTCCAAATCAAACTGATTTTAGACTTTGATATGAAGTTTTTCTAATTTTTAATTGTTTAATTCTGGTCCATATTAACATTAGTTTATGGCATTTTGAGCAATGAACAACGTTAAAAAAACATGCAGACAACAAATAAAAATTCCCTGTAGCTTGATGTGGGGACATAAAGCAAAAAATAAATAAATAAAAACCATAATTCTTAATTTATTGTCATTTTAATTTGCAATTTATTTCCACAAGAAATTTCCATAAATAAGTAAATTTTAAATATAAATTTTATTCAATAAAAAAAATCTTGTCTAAAAAAGAAAAATTGAAAATAAAATGCGCAAAGTTCCAAAGACATATTTTATTCATTCTGTACTGAATAGAATTTTTGGCCTTGTTTGATGTGAATCTATTTTTTTTTTACATCTTCATATTCCTCGGAGGAATTGGAGGTGGCCCCCTTCATTCACGTTAATTAATTACATTCATCCACCAGACTTTGTTCACACTGTGCCAGAGTACTCAATATTACTCAGGGGATTTGGGAATAAACACCTTCATTCAAGCTAATAAATTATATTCACACCTTCAATCACATTGCCCTAGAGTACTCAGTATTCCTAATATATTTCAAATATTCTTTCTATCTATAGTCATGGTTGAGACGAAAAAGTTAGTGTCACGAGCAGGATTCGAACCCATGAATTTCGGCTGGGCTAGCACAGTCAAAGGAAATAATTAACATGGTCAATTATGGTCACTACAGTGACTAATACTAATAACTAATAACTACAGTTTCATAGTAAGTATAAGCTTGACAGGGGAACTTAGTGTTTTCTTTCTAATTGGCCTCATCTCTGGTTGTTTTTAATATAAAATCATAATGTTGACAACTGATCATCATTTATACCAGATATCAAAAATTTCGAAAAGCATAAAACTTTTCTCATCAAAATAGACTAATACATTGACAAGAAATGCATCTAAATCATATATTTTATAATAATAAATAACTTGATTATAATACGTTGTTTTATTGTCAAGAATAATTAATGTTGTAAAATTTAAATGTCCCAAGCAACCTCTAGCATCCAAAAACACCTTGAATTTATCAAAGTTAGTTGCAAAAAGTTAACAAACTAGAAAAAATGTACCCAGCATGCATTTACATTGAAAAACAGCGATGCCCTGAACTGTACATGGACAGCAAGGAGCTTCAAGTCAGAAACTTAGTACTAAACCAAGAAAGCAAACTGATGTTGCAACTTCAAACAAGACTTAAGAAACAACAGCATAACAGAAGACACGGACAACTGTGAGGACTATTAAACTCATCCGATCCTGCTTCCAAAAGTTCAACATCAAGCTCTTGATCCATCTTTTCCAATCCTGAGCCTTAAAGGACAATGGTGTCGAGACCTCATTGCCCCTTAATCCCTCATATTGAGTAACAGCATTGGCTGGTTTCTCTTAACACATGTCTGCCAGGGGAAAAAAATTATAGTAATGTGTATTTTGATATATATAGGCTACAAATAAATTATTTAAAGATTTTAAAAAATTAAAGTAAAAACAACTAACACTTTTAGATTTATGTAAGCATTATGGATGAATAAAAAATTAGATTGTTAAAACTCTTGGTAAATAATGCACAACTATTGGTTCTAGTAAAACATAGCCACTAGTAAAAAATAATAACAAAACTTTAAAAAATATGTTGCCCCTTCCAACTGAACATAATCATTAAAATAGTGGAATAAAAAATTATCTTGTCTATCATTTATTTCACAAAATTAATTTTGTAATACGTTATATTTTGTGTATAAAATTGTGTAATTTTTTTTTACACAATGAACTACATGGCTTTCAGAGATGAGGATAAAGTCAGATATTTTCAAGCAACTGCTTTTGGCTATTAGAGTATGCATGAGACAATTGGATCGACAGCCAGTAAATGTCAAGACAATGTTTCCATGACACGAGAAATGCCATCGCGAAAGCCGGCTGTCATCACGCCTAACAAACCGGTTCTTCCACCTATACCGCACTACACTAAGAGTTCATTCATATCACGAAGCCAAGCATCGCCGGACATAATCGAAAAGCATTTCTTCCTAACTAGACCTCCGTCCAGTCCACGTCTTCAAAAACTTGTGAGTGGTAATGAAATAATTTAATCATAAATTTTTTGTTATATATTTTCCAGTGGATTATTTTCCATAACTGGATACTACTACTATTTAATAAAATAATCATTTTTTAATTTTATTTTAAACCGAACTACATAGTATTAATAGATATTTAATTCATAATATTGTATATGGTATGAATTAAAATGGATCTTCAGTTGGATGAGATTTTAATGTGTTTTACATACAATAAATTAGCTACTTTGATTTTTTCTTCTTTCCTTTTTATTTTCTCACTATTTCCAGAAAATAAAAAGGAAAAAATTGGCTATTTATTTGAAACAAATCAAAGTTGACATTTGGTGAGTCATGAATAACAAATAGGAAATAATCATTGAATCATTGGGAAAAACTGTGGCACAGACACTTTGGAAGACGTCATTCACTTGTGTAACAAGTATTTACACAATTATTACAATAGTTGAAATTTTTCGTTTTAGATTTAAAATGACAGACGATGTAATTAAAAATATGGAATATAAATATATAGAATATAGCAACCAGGTTACCATTATGCCCAGATGTTATAAAAGAGGCTTGTGCAGTTAAAATCAATACTTGTATGCCCTAGTACACCTCAAACTAACTGGAGTCAGCCATAACCACATGTACTCCTATATTGAGTGGCCTTGTTTTCAGTGAAACTGTGCTTTTTAAACGTGGAAAAACGTACTATTTTCTTTTTGTGAATGCCAATAATACCATTGACGGACTTTTGATAATGCACTGTAATGCATTAAAAAATTATTTAACTTAAAAGGGTCAGCTTTCATGTGAAACTGTGATGATAACGTGCTTTTAAATAATGTTTTATGTAAAAATGCCTTTTGTCAGTTAGTTTTTGGAGAAAAAATTAATTTTTTTCATTGTTTGTAAGCAATAAGTTGTAAATTTACAATTAGAAAAATGGCATCTCAAGTTTTGCTTAAAATGCCTGTTACTTACAATTCTGTTACGGTAAATAAAATAATTTAAATGACTAAATTGTCTTCAATAATGAAATATTGTTAAACTATAATTAATTCTTATTATCAGATTGGTAAAAAAGGAGCAGAACCCACAGTCAGAGCAGAGCCGGTTCATCTGTCTTGCATGTCTTCTGAGCCCCTTATGCGAATCAATCAACTTGAACAAAATATAAACTTTTTGCAAGAACAACACCAGTTAATGTTGGCAAGTTTACACCAGGAAATTGAAGCGCTTAGGCTAAGAAACAGAGGTAAATGTATACTTATTTATTTAGTTTTATCTATGTAATTTTTTGTAATTATTATTATATGTATCTGTCCTTGCAGATCTTCAGTTTCAATTGATATTTGGGTCTGCTGGTGTTAAGGTGGTTCAGAGCAGTTCTGAATCTTCACCTGATGATGCAAAGCCTAAAGTAGATTCTCATTGACATTCTGTTGTAAATATTGTATATACAATTTAATCAATGTGCACATTTCTAGATTATTTTGTCCCCTAAAGAAGTAAACAACAGATCACTCCAAGTTGAAATGCTGGAGAAGGAAGTGTCTGAATTGAAAGCGTCTTTGGCCGAAGCAAACAGTAAAAATACCAGACTATTGCAGCTTGTCGACCACCAAAAAAAGTAAGCTATTCTTCAAAACAAGACAAAAATATAATTGTAATGAATGTACTTTAATTTTGTTATGTTTTTTAAAGACAGTTAGAAGCACCAGTAAAAGAAGGCAATGAACAAGAAAGTGTCAACCGGCTAGAAGATGCAGAGAATTTAATCAAAAAATTAGTAAAGGAAAATGAGGAGCAACGCAAAGAAGTAAGTATACCTTGTTTTTCACTTTTGGCAACTTTTTTAAACCATTGGCTTTTAGATTCACTCGATCCGAAGCCAGCTAAATAAAGGAGGTGGAAATGGAAGGTACAGTGGAGGAAGAAGAGGAGGTGGTGGAGGCGGTGAACACCATCGCTTTCCTCCCCTACAAACCCAGAACTTCTGGGGAAATGGCTCACAAAAACATAAAACTAGGTAGGTAACTTTTAGACATTTTGACAGTTTCGGAAAAACTAATATGATCAATACACATTTCAGCCCAGAATATCATGGAGGAAGGAGGCCATTAGACCACGAAGTAGTTGGTCAAGCAGCACCGACTCTCCCTCATTTAAATAGATCGTATAGTCAGTCATCCTCAAATCAAAGGCATAAATACTATAGGTAATTACTTTTTTAATACTGCATATTAATTAATTAAAGAGATTAATATGTGTAACATACTTAACATTATTCTATAAGCTGTATTAAATTATTATAGAAATGTCTAAACTATATTGTACTAGCTTTATAAGCCAGTGTTGCCCAGGGAGATAAAACTCTGTGTTGCCTAGGGAGATAATAAAAAGTGTTATTTCTCTTTTTTGTAAATCCTGACCCTCATTATTTGTTATACACCCATTTTATAGTCTCTAACCCCCCCCCCAGCACTAATAAAAACAAAGTGTGAAAGTTTCACCGAAATCAGTTCAGTAGTTTTTGTTTTTACAATTAACCCAAATTCACTTTTATATATAAGTTCGTTTTGCCTAATGTACTGGACTTTAGAAAACAACTGAAATGTACCAATAGATGCGACACACTAATACTTCGGACCTTCTAACACTTTCTATATATAGAATATTAAGTTTTGTTTCCTTGTCTAATAACTTTTTTTTCATATTTGTTGTAGTAATGGGAACCACTTCTACCGAGGCAACAGCAGTGAAGAGGGCGATGGTAGAAGGCGTTACCGAGGAAGAGGAGGAGGAGGTAGCGGTGGAGGACATCACAAAGAAGAGAATTAATTTGATGATGCTTTGTTGACCTGATTGATTTTGATTCTCAACTTACAGATCCTGATAATCAATTAAGAATAAATATTTAAAATCTAATATTTTCATAGTATTCAATTTGGAGCAAAGATTTCTTTATTATTACATTGATGGCTAGATGTAAATGTTACCACTAAAATTTTAAAAATGACCAATTGGAGTTATAATTTGTTTTCATTCTAAACAAATATTATCGATTTTAGGTTTGCATTAATTTTAAGAAATTTTATTCAAAAGCAGATCCATTCTCTAATATTTTTTTAATAAATTCTAGTGTTCTTGGGCAAAATTTCTCTGGGACAATTTATGGCATATGTAAGAGTTTTAATTGCATTTAACATTTTATATCTTGTTTTTGTTTGATATAAAGAAATTAGTAATATATATTGTAGCCCAATATACTTGCTTTAGCTGTGTCTTCTTACTTATTCTAAGTGGTTAAACTGTTACGAAAATAGTGTTTCATATGTATAACATTTTTCAGATTTTGATGCTGTGCAGACCAAATTGAAATTCACACAAAATTTTTTAATAACTAAAAAATGTGCTTTTGTTTTATGGGGTTTTCCTTTTTAGATAATAAATATTGTCTTGTGGCATTGGTTTTAAAAGTAGTTTTACATTGTTGAGATTAATTAAGGGCTTTAATTATTTGTAAGTCAGCAAATTGAATCGTTGTAAAATTAGTTTATATTGTACAGTTGAGTTAAAGTTAATAGATATCATTTCTCCGCACACGAATATTTTCTAACACATTATAGAAAGTTATTGATATTATTCGTTATGTTAAAATCATTGAAGATGTAGTTATTTCTAATGAGAAATGTTGTTTTGTTTGTATATTATCCAAAGTGTTTTACTCTTGACTAAACGATGCCCTAATATGATGAAAATTAGTAACATTACTCTTGATATGCTATGTACATCAATGTAAGCATTTTGTGATTGAGAAATATAAGAAAACTAGTTCTATTCTATTTCTTTCCTTCAATACCGCATTAATAAAATATATATATTTAAAAAAAATACTAAAAATAGAAAACTTCTTAGCAGTTGCATTTACTCATAGGAGTAGTCACCGGGGATTTTGTATTACCCTAGTGCCCATCTGTACCTTCATACTACAAACATGTATTAACCTAGACTACTTTGGTATGTCTATGAGGTACTTGATATTCCATCTCAGACTCACTCACATTCAACTGATTTCGCCAATAAATACAGTCGCATCCTAATGAAAGCCACATATAAATGGGTTCCTATTGTATTGACTTCATGTATTCAAATAATTTTTGTCTACCTTTACTGTTAGGGCCTAATAATTTTTTGTTGTAGGATATGTTGTACTTTGTAGTAGTTCACAGTCATGAATTACACGTTTTGTGTAATAATTCTAGTCTTTTACCGATAAGGAGGTGCCCATGGGTTAACCGTGTATGGCCAATCCTCAGGCAGGTCAACACTATACTATCCCAAATAATTACACTTTTTAAATAAGGTTTTGTCTGAGATGAACATGACACTAACTGTTTCATCTTAAACAAGACTTTAGATAAAAATATAATTAATTGAAATAATTAATATGGTCAATTATGACTGCTAAACACATATGGACTATTCTTTTTTTTTTCTTTTATTTCTCCATGACCAAAGTTTCACTAAGCATTTTATATCCCTTAATTTTTTAGTCTTATACATCCAGAAAGTTCAAATAATCCCAACGATTCTTTTCATCTCTTTCATCCGTTGGGCAATAATTTCTTAATCTGTACAAATTTTCAAGGCTTAATTATAATATATATTTAATTCATTTTGGATAACGTTCCCACCCGTGACACATATTTCGCCTCAAATTTTAATTTTTAATTAATTGTAATATATTTTACTTACTCTTATATATAGGTATAATTATTGGAGTTATTCCTATATTTTTTATGACAAATATGGTTATTTTTTGTATGAAATGACGAAAATTTACGTAGGGAACCGATTGCGTTGATTCGTTACAACTAAGCCTTCAAGATTTCATCTCAATAAAATAATTTTATTTAAAAGTGGTTCTATTAAAAAACCTAGAATTGATTAATAGGTTCATTTTTCATAAAAAAATATTTTACAATCTCAGATTTAAACGAAAATAGAGAAAAAAATTAAAAATCTTTAAACACTTCATTCCTTTCCCTTTCTGGATCATGTCAGCGATGCCACCATTGAAGTTTGTAACCTAGAGATTTGCGAGCAATTGGCATTTGGGCCAAAATCGACTGGAAAATCTAGAAAGGTCGTTTACATTTTACCTGGAGAACTTTCACGGAGGAGAAAGAAAACACGAAAATACAATTGAAATAAAACTAGTGTTTTTAGATTTGAGTTCGTGATTGTACCCCTAACATAAACAAGTTGGTGTTTGGTCATGGTTCTTCCGTGTTAAACGGACCAGCTTGTAATTTCGCATTCGTTTTAAACAGCTTAAAAGCCCGTTTTTCGACATTTCAAGGCTTAAAAGTACTTTGTATTCCTGAAGAGGACGAGCAACTTTTAGAACAATGGCAGACTTCATTGATTCCGAGGCCGAGGAGAGCGAGGTACTGAAATTGTATTTCTTTTGAAGAACGGGCTCTTCTTTAAAGTGCTAAAATGATGATAAAACTGCGCAAGTTTGAAATCCGGACCCCTTGAGGGTCTCGTACATGTGAAGATGATGCCCTGAACAATATATCTCAGTACCTTTAATTTGCCTTTTCCAAGATTGATTTTTACACATTGACATTGTTTTCAGGATGAGGAGGAATTAGACACTCGTGAGAAGAAGAAGCTCAAAAGACTGAAAGCGATTGACAGTGATGAGGAAGAAGAAGAAGGTAAATAAAACCGAAAAACTCTACGTCTACTTTCACCAACACCTGAGCCTAAACACTTTCCATTTGTAATGAGATTTCTTCTTGTGGACTATGGGGTGATGAATGAGTAGTTTTTCCCATCATTCTGGTCTGCCTATCCTCGTTTTGATTTGTCAGACGAGGCTTCATGCAACCATCACCGTGTCATTTCTGTTTAGTTGAGTTTTTATCATAAGTTCTTGAAAGGTAAGAGTAGGTTGGTGGAACAGCAAGGTTGAGAGATCAAAATGATAAGAAACAACCAAAATTCAGACTTACTTTTTTTACGATTTTCTTCATAGGGGATTTTATAGTGTGCTAGGGTGTCAATCAATGGTTCTTCACAGATCATGGGTTCAATTTTCACTGCTGTCCTTAGAATTTCAATGATCCTAGTGGTTTCCACTGTTGTAAACTAGTTTTTATTTAAAAATTATGTAAGAGGAGAATTAAGTGATACTTTTGCAATGTGTGATGTGCAGATTGTGATTGCTTTTCGCTATAAAAGGATGAGATTTTTAATAAAAACAATTTGCATCAGGGATTGCGCTGGAGGGCTAGTTTGGTTTGGGATACTGGATAAAGTGGTCACTTGATCACATCATTCCTGGACTGTGGCAAATGTGAGCTTTTCCATAGGTCAATATACCGTGTAAATGGTTTTTACCTGCATCACCTAAAGGCAGCCTTCAGAAAGTAAAAGAAGGAACAGACTGTCTGTTTGGGTCCCTGTTATGTTAAGTATAATATACTCTTATATATATCGGTCATCCCTAGTGTATGACTGTGTGTAAAGTCATAAAAATAAAGTTTCCTTTAAATTAATCAACTAAAGGTGGATCCATCAAACGTGTGAGCCAGTTTTTCAGGGTCACATAAAAGCAACCATGTCTGATAGGAAAACTAACAGGCTGAATGTTGCAGAGTTGAGTACATATTCTGTTATTTCTGTTGTTGACACAGTTGAGCCAATGGCCAATTGACATTGCATCAATGTTTTGTTAAGCTACGTTGTTGCATCTAGACCCACTTTCAGATACACGAATGAAATCTGTACAGTTACAGAGAACAAGTATGAAAATTATGATGTGATTATTATTCTTGTAAAAGACGGGTAAAACTGTCTTAAAGCATCTATACACTGTCAGTTTACTTGAATCCAGGTCAGAAAAAAGATAAACAAGCTAGCTGGTTTTCTACCTACTTTCACCATTTTGTCCTTCACTTGTGCCAATTTTCTTTTCTACATGGGTGGCAGAATACTGCCAACAAAAATTTGTTAGAATTTTTCCTTTTGGTTGCACCTTTTGGTAGACTCCATCCAGTCCTGTAACTATCACCTATATGCTGATGACTCCCAAATATACATATCCTTCCGATCTTCACTCAGCCATTCTCAAGATCCAAAACGACCTAAACTTCATCAACGAATTCACATAAAAATTCCCTAGTCCTTAATCCTCTGCCATAATTATCAGGTCCAGGCAACTCCTCAATTCCCTCCCCAGCATCCCACCTCCCATGCTCAATAACCATCCCATTCCTTCTGCTCCTTGGTTAAAAACCTAGGAGTAGTCTTTGACCTGGCATTCTCACATTTCCCAAATTTCCCGCCATTGCATTGCCTCCCTCAGCCTGTTTGTCGGTCCTGGCTTCTCTTACCTTTCTCCACCCGCATACTCCTTGTATCTTCCCTTATACTTCCCTTCTTCGATTATAGCTGGTTGGCATACGGTGGTCTCGGGTGTCAGGGTTGTATTCCCAACTTTCCTGGCTCTTCCCCTCCTTCCGAGCACAGTAGTTCCTAGGTTGCTTTCTTTTCCAGTCCATCCACACTCGTCGTCCTCCTTACATTATCCAATCCCTCCAATTCAATTCCTCACACTCGTAACACCCGCTCATCCCCAATCGACCTTATCCTTCCGGAACATACCTTCGAAAGATCCTTTCTGATCTGAGCCCCTAAACTCTAGAACTCCCTTCTCCTTTCTATTCATCACGCTGCCTCCTTTTCCTCCTTTAAATCCCACCTGTATAATCACCTCCTCTCCCTCCAAGCAGAGACCTCACGTAAACATTTGTTATTTTTGTTTAATATTTTTGTAAATTTCTCTTCTCGCCTGCCTTACTGGTATACATTGTATCAAGATTTCTATCTTTTTTTACTTTTAATTTCATAGAAGGAACTTCCCTTATTTATATAATGTCTTAAGACAAATAAATACAGGGTGTCCTTGTTAGATGGCCCAGTTGAATTTCTCTTGAACCAATGACACTATGAAAAAAACAAAAAATACTTGTTTAATTTTTTTTTAGTATAGTTTAAAATTATCTTTTTTGTAAAAAAATTCCAGCCCCAGTTCAACGTCAAAATTTCAAATATGACCCTGTACATCCTGACACATTGTTTGAAAGGATTTTTTACGCTGAAAACATTGGTGCAGTTGAATTTCAAATTGACCAAAAAATGACAGTTAGAGCAAAAAGTTTGAAAAAACGCATTTTGCATTCATTTGTTTTGTTATTAATTCCAATAATTTGCTTCTTCACTAAAGTAAATAATAATTGCCTTTATTGTTTATATTCTGTCCTTGTTTGTTAAACTCACATTATGAGATCAAATCTTAATTCCTGGAAGTAAATAAATTTTACACTAGTACCTATTTGTTACATTCAGAATGAACATAAGAACACCTTTTTCCGATCAACTGCGAGTTGATATGTAAAACTGCTTTATTGATAGTTGTGGTATTGCATGTCGTGCAGTCGAGTTGTACTCCCAGAAATTTCCTGATTACCCTAGAGTAAACCAAGAAATGTTAATTCGTGTTTTGCAAATTGAGGAGATAGGAATCTGTTGCTGTTCCGTCACCAAGAAACAGGCAGCATAATTTCATTATGGGAGGTTGAAGACTGTGACAAAGTATAGAAAATGCTTGTCGATCCATCTCCCCTGACTCCTTCCTCTGAGTACTGGTGAAAAGTGGTTAAAAAGATCAAATCTTTGTATCTTTACACAAAGAAGGCAGATCGAACATGAAATGTGATCAATAAATAACAAACAGAATAACTTTTTTTGTTTTACTTTTTGCCATAACTTTGCCATTTTTTGATAATTTAAAATCCAATTGCACCATTGTTCTCAGTGTAGAAAATGCTTTAAAATGATATGTCAGGATGTATAGGGTCGGATTTGAAATTTTGAAATTGAACTAGGTGCCTTGTATAATTTTTCTCCAAAAAAAAAGTAAACATTTGAAACTAGACTAAAAAATATTACAAACATATTTTTTGTTTTTTAATAGTCTCATTGGTTCAAGTGAAATACAGCCTGGCCATCTAAAAAGGATACCCTGTACATATAATTTACCAAGTTAATAGTGTGAATGATACATTGTTTCTCTTCATAAGTAAACAAAATTAACTAATTTTTTTCAGATGATGAAGAAAAGATAAGGGAGGAACTGAAAGACTTAATTGATGACAACCCAACAGAAGAAAGTGAGAGTGAGGGTGAGGATTCAGAAGGGAGTGAGGGAGGTGGGGGTGAAAAGCGGAAAAAACATGAGGACTATGACGATCGGCTTGAAGATGAGGATTACGATTTGCTTGAGGAAAATCTGGGGCATAAAATCGAGCGAAGAGTAAGGGTTTTAGGTTTAAATTAATATTAAGGCTTTAACGTGATGGAAAATTTTAATTTGTAGAAAAGATTCAAACGTCTCAGAAGAATCGAAGATGAAGAATCGGAGGATGAGGGTGGGGAAGATGATGGTGAGGAAAGAGATGCTATTGCCAACGAATTATTTGAAGGTTCTGATCATGTAAGTTGAAATACTAAATATTTTCTATTAATACTGAAAAATTTGATTTAATGATTATTCGGAGATCGTGAGATCTGGTCTGGTGTGACGTAGGTTCTAGAAAAACATTTTCTTTATCGTGCCAACATTTCAATCTTTATTGAGATCATCTTCAGGGCCAGGGATTTATAATTAATTGTTTGAATTTTACAAATACATGTAGAATGTGTAAAAAAAATTATGAATTTATACAATGCTAGAAAATTTTAGATTTAAACAAAGTATTCATACTCACTTAAAGTGTTTGCGTTTGTGTCTGTCGGTTTCACCTACTTCTTTATTACCTTTCATACTAAATTCTTGTTTGATATCTGAAATCAATTCTTTCGTTATATCATTATCCTGTGTTATTTGCAATTTATTTAACATAACTTCTATCAAATTATCTATAATTTTTGGCGTCCATTTTTTCTTTTTCTTCTTGTATAATTTTTGTTTGCGACCAAGTATTTATCGGTGATTTTTGTGTAGAACTTTTTTTATTTTTTCCCATTGTTACTTAATTATTTTATAATCAGCAGTAAATCGTAACACTCTGACTAATTGAATGGCCAGACGCTCTGTTACCAATATTTGTTATGTTAGGGCAGTGGTTCCTAAACTTTTTTGACCCATGGACCCTTTTTATAGTCAAAAATTGCCCACGGACCCCCAAGTGAAAAAGCCACATACATGCATAATATAAAAATTACAAATTTAAAAAAACGTTTTGTTGAAGAAGTATTTTTGAAATTATAAATTATAAATATATATACATTATAATATTAATTACTTTTGTTTAAAATAAAATATAAAAAATTAATGACTTGGATTGGACTTGGACTAAAAAGATGAACGCGATGAGATTCTTTGGTGATGAGGTTCATAACGGCACTGAATCCATGATCTACCAAATAGGAAGACGGGAAAGCAGTCAGCAATGTCTGTACAATAACCCATAATGCAGGATATAAAATTTGGACCTGTTTTTGTAACCAGATTTGTGGTATCCTTGTTCAAACATTGGTTTAAGTTCCTCATTTGTGGATATTTCAATTAGCTGCTCCTGTATTAGTATGGATTCATCGATGTTTGGGATCTGTGTTTGTCCACATGCAAAAGGGTTCAACACCCAGTCGGGAATATCTAAGTGAAGAATGTCTTTGGTTCAGGTCTGTATGAAGAGCCGTTAAGTGTTGACAGTAAGCAAGCAAATCTTCATCTCTAATTTGCAATTTCGAAAGATTTGGAAACAGAGCATTCTCCTCTTCCCAAGTTTTGTTTGTAAAGAAAAAGTCTTGCAATAAACGCAGATATTACACTTTTGGTTTTGATTAAATTTAATTGGTCACCTTCTAGTTTCAAATTAGTTTCATTAAATTTGGCAAATAAATCAGACATATAGGCTATGTCATTTTTTGAGTTAATTAAATTGTGTCGCAAATCAGTGTCTTTGGTTTCCAGGCATTCCAACACTGAATCAAAGAGCGCATAAAATCGATTTAAGCATGCACTTTTAGATAACCAACTTACTTCTGTTTTATATTATATTATTTTATATTAAACCTTGTGCGGACCCCCTTATGTTGTTCAGAGACCCCCAAATCAATTTTAATTTTCCACGGACCCTCTCAATGATACTGGGGACCCCTAGGGGTCCATAGGGACCACTTTGGGAACCACTGGGTTAGGGTAAAATTAAATAAAATAAATTCCACTAATAACCCTTTTTCAAACAAATCTTTGTATAATTAAAAAAATTAATATTAACAAAACATTTTCAATCATATAAGTATAATACATAGCTTCTGTATATATAAAGTCAAATAACTTAATTAATATATGTGGTGATTAATGACCGTTAATCGATATTTATTTAAAAATCGTGAGATGCTGTCTGGTGTGATGTAGGTTTCAGAAAAACATTTTCTTTATCGTGCAAACGTTTCAATCTATTGAGATCATCTTCAGGGCCTGGGATTTACAAACATTGTTTACATATTACAATTACATTTTGGATGTGGAAAAGTGAATTTATACAATGCAAAATATATTTTATATATTCAATCAAAGTATTTCTACTCACTCAAAGTGTTTGTCTTCTGTGTAATTGTGCTATTCTTGCGTGTCGCGTCGAGCGTGTCAGTGAGATTTTGCTATTTTGTGTTTAAATATATTGGATTGTGAAGGGGTGAGGAAGGATGTTGGTATAGAAAAAACATTTTTGTATAAGGCGTTGGCTTCTTTGAAGTGAAAGGAGCCGACGAAGGGAAAAAATGTGTCGGCAATGGTTCGGCCAGATTATCCTTTCAGGAATATGTAGAAAGGGATTAATTAATATAAAAATAACAAAAAAGTTTACTTTTGTTTATATATAAAATAAAAATAAAAAAAGAAACAAATGAATAAGGTACCTCTGGCCAAAAGTCTGAGCTCATAAAATATTATTAGAAAGAATTAGACTATGTAGAAATGTTTTATGTGCAGAAGGTGATGATTGTTTTATATGTTATATTGTATGTTTTGTGTGATGTGATGATCATATATGTATGTTATCGATATTGAATTTGATTAATGATATTGACGTTGGCAGATAAAGAAAATCTTTTTCTAAAACCTATGTCACACCAGACTGCATCTTACAATCTCTAAATAATCATTGACTAACGGTCACTAAACAACACACATATTTGATTTAAGTTTAATCTTTCTGTTGTCTTTCTTTTTATATTATTCAAAATTGTTTTTTTTTGCTGCATTACAGGAAATTGAGGAAAGAGTGAGTACTAAATTGAATTGAATGCTCACATGGGATTAAATTGCTTGCTTAAATAAATATAGACATTGTTAAAATACTTTAAATGTTTTAGGATGATGACCGTGCCTCGTCAAGAGGTGCTGCTCAAGACCACTATGGTGATGAGGAGGATGAAGGAGAATATTCAGATGCAGACGACTTTATCGTGGATGACGAAGGCAGGCCCATTGCTGACAAAAGAAAAAAACGAAAACCAATATTCACAGATGCGTAAGTCAGAAATGTATCTTTATAATTTCTTGAGAATATTGTGAGAACTATTTTTTGAGTTCGCATGCTCAAAAAGTTTCAACTTTTTAAGTGGTAATTTCACCAAATATTCTACATTCTTTTGAGCACTCCACAAATATTTTTCTGTAGTAAAGGTGAAAATGCCAGTACTGTGATGTTTGTTTAAGGATGATCATGCTATTATATTATTGTTATTTTATTTATTTTTTTAACAATTTATTATTTTAGGGCTTTACAAGAGGCTCAAGATATTTTTGGTGTAGACTTCGATTATGAATATTTTGAGAAGTATGGTGAGGATGAATATGATGAAGATGAGGAGGATGAAGATGAATATGTTGATGAAGAAAGAGTTGAAGATTCTGGAAGGAGGTAACTGACATATACTGTTTTATCGTTGTACATACTATAACATACTGTTTTTATTTAACAGACGAAAACAAAAAAAAGCAGCTAGGAAAAAGACAACTAAAAAGTCTATATTTGAAATTTATGAGCCTAGCGAGTTGAAGAGGGGTCATTTCACAGACTTTGATAACACAGTGAGAAATACCGACATTCCTGAGAGAATGCAACTTCGAGAAGTCCCGGTCACTCCTGTTCCAGAAGGCTCGGACGAACTGGACGAAGAGGCCGAATGGATTTATAAACAGGCGTTCTGCAAACCAACAACTTCAAACCAAGTAAGCGTTAAAAGTTTGAAATGCTTAATGTTTATGACTAAATAATTCCTTTAATCAGGAATGGGGCTCAACAGTAGACACACAAGGAGGGCCGAAAAAAGACCCCCAGACAATTGGGAAAATAAAGAAAGCTTTAGATTTCATGCGTAACCAAAATTTTGAAGTTCCTTTTATTGCATTCTACAGGAAAGAATATGTCTTTCCAGAACTGAACATCCATGATCTCTGGAGAGTTTTTAAATACGATGCTAAGGTATTTTTTTTATAAGTATGTCATCACACTTGCTAATAAATTTTCAAAGACACAATATTTAAAAGAAATTGTTTTTAAATAGATTTATAATAAGCTCTATTATTTGTCTAGTGGTGCAGAATGAGATCGAGAAAATTAAATTTACTTAGTCTTATGGAGAAAGTTAGAGAGCATCAATCTGAAGTGTTGATGAAAGACATTAATGCCCAAATCCCAGATCATGTCAGGGTGATTACTGACGAAGATATCGACAGGTTTGTTTTAAAATATGACTTTGTATTGTTATTTTTGTTTAATTCATTTGCCCCCAAAGGTTGAAGGCTGTCCAGACACCGGAAGAACTAAAAGACGTACATGCACAATTTCTTATGTATTACGCTGATGACATCAAGGTCATGTTAGAAAAGAAGAGAGCTCAAGAGAGAGAAGCTGCTCGAGCAAAAGCCAAACAGATACAAGTGAGTCAAAATACCAATTTTTGTTCATAGTCCCAAATTCAAATTTGAATACAAATTGAAATGTAATTGTTTATTTTTCAGATAGATGAAAATGGAGAAAAAATTGAAAATGAAGATGCTGTTGCCGAAGAAGAACCACTTCCTGCCGAGCCGATAAAACACAGTATACACTCCGGACCTTACGCCATTTGTCGAAGAGCTAAAATTGGTAAGTTTTAAAATGTTTCTTTAAAAGGGTCTTAAGTGTAATACATAATATCTAAATTTCAGGTGGTATGGCCAAGAGGTTTGGTCTGAAGCCGGAAGAATTCGGCGAGAACCTACGAGATAACTACCAGAGACATGACGTCGAGCAAGAGCCAGAGTTGCCGCTCGTGGTTGCAAAGGAGTACACATCTGCCAAGTTCTCCACTCCTGAAGATGTGCTGAAGGCAGCTAAATTCATGGTCGCCACACAGCTAAGTCGAGACCCACTTGTTAGGAGCTGCATGAGAACTACATTCTTTGAGAGGGCGACCATTAACGTTAAGCCAACCAAAAAAGGCAGCAAGGAAATAGACGAAAACCATCCTTGCTACAGGTATTTCATAAAACAATAAAATCCCCTTTTAAAAATTTTGTATTTATAAAATATTTTCAGCTTGAAATACATCAAAGGGAAACCAGTAAGAGATTTGACCGGTGATCAGTACTTAAAGTTACATCTAGCCCACCAAGACAAGCTCATCAACTTGACGATTAGTGATCATATTGACGGACATTCTACGACTTCTTACATTGAAGAATTGAAACAACTATATTACAGGGTATTGTGTTTTCTAATTATTTTCCTTTATGCAAATTTAAAAAAAATGATTCACAGGATGAATTTATGCAACATGTCCAAGAGTGGAATAATATCCGGACTGAATGTGTTGAGGTTGCTATGAAAAAAATGTTGATACCAGAGTTGATCAAAGATCTCCATGCAAAACTCTTGGAAGAAGCAAAGGAGTTTGTGCTTAGGTCCTGTGCTGGAAAACTTTACAATTGGCTTAAAGTAAGGTTTTAACAAAATATATTCATTTTATACTTCAGAAATTACTTAAACTGTGAAAAACTGTGGTTACAGTAAAACCTCCATTATCCAGACCCCAGGTCATACATAAACTATATATACATGTATAGATTTTGCAACAAGCCACTTCTGATTCAAAGGACACAATCTTTTGTCTTGTTCCTATGAGACTCCCACTGGTCTGTTTAATTGAACATTTACACCAAACCCTTCCCCAATTACGGGCATCGTTCCAGAACGATGCACTTCTAGAAAAACCCCGCTTTCAAAGCTTGTAGGGTGGGAACATTTTTAGAATCAAATCGGGGTCACAGGCCTTCAGTATTGCTATTCGCTTTGTCAACGGTGAAGACCGTTTTTTGATTTCACCTTGTGGAAATTTTTTATTATTTTTGGTTTAAAAAAAATTTAATCAACTTTTTTTCGGACAGTAATACACAGACTAAAAACATTTTCACTCAACCTGAAAACTATAACAAAGAATTGCAATAAAAAAGAATACAAAACAAACACCATCCAGAAACTTCTAAAACACACACACACAGATGGACAACATTCACATACACAAGAAAAGAAACATACAGATTAACGAATTTTTTCAACAAACCTCGGGCCAAAAACGGCACTAAGGATCACCAATAACAGGTAAACTGCTTAAAGGAAACATAGACATAACTGACCCACTAGACAATAATGGTGTTTATAGAATCACATGTTAATGCGGAGACAAATAATAAATCAGACAGGCTGAAAGGAAATTAAGAGATCAATTTAAAGAACATCTCAGACAGACAACAAAGGGAAATAAAATTACGCTGCACTCTTAATACATCACAACCACAAACCAAACACAATAGAAACAAACATGACTTTAATACACAACGGATAAAAAGGACGAAAACTCAACGTACGGAGAATCTTGAGATATACAAACAAATAATACTTAAATACAGGAAACATATAAATGTATGAACAAACATTCACTCACTACGTCACACCATAAAACACTACATAACAAAAAATGAACTCATTCAGAAGAATACAACATCAAAACCGACACAAGAAACAGACAAAAACAAACAACGCACAGATAATAACTGACGACGGAAATAATCGTCATTACAGCTGACCACCAATGATATAAACCCTACTCAAAGTGTCAGACAGTTCCTCACTGAAGATGGCGCAATGCCGAAACGTGTTTGAATAATTCAAAAACACATGAGTGGAGACACACCTAGTGACTCTATTAATTAACACATTAAAACAAATGCCATTATCCAGGGGTTTTTGATTTTTAGTGGACTTTCCTCCCTGTCATTACCATGGATAATGAAGGCTTTTTACTGTATTTGGTATTAAAATATTCAGATTTTATAATAAAAATAAATTACAATTAATTAAGGTTTTTAGTTGAAATAAAAAAGTCCTCCTTTTTGCCATTTTTCAAATGTCGTGTAATCGGATTGGATTCTCGACGACAAATGAAATGGCCTCGGAGAGCTTTAGTGAAGTGTACTTCATTTAATTCATTAAATTCACTAATTCCTTGGTCCGCTTGACCAATTAATATATTACAATTAATTAAGGTTTTTAGTTGAAATAAAAAATGAGGGAAAACTCAAAAGGTGGAGTTGAGATAGGAAGTTGGTGTCCGAGTGGATCGAGGTCACAATAGCTCAAGTGGTAGGGCAGCGGCGTATCTAGCCGAAGATTGTGGGTTCGAATCACGCTTGTGCCATTGACTTTTTTATCTCAACTAAAAACCTTAATTAATTGTAATATATTAATTGGTCAAGCGGACCACGAAAATAGTGGAATTAAATAGTAATAAAGAAGTAAATTTATTGAACTTTATACATTTTCATTTTTACATTTAAATGTACAAAAGACAATGGGCATTAGTCCGTCTGCCAGTATTCAGGTTTTATGTTTTGTAAAATTTATATTTATTATTTATTTTAGATTGCTCCCTATTCAGTTGATTTTGGTGATGATGACGATGAGGATTGGGATACAAGTAAAGGGATTAGAGTGATGGCGATTGCTTTTGTCCCAGATCTCAGTCAAGCTTCATTTGCTTGCTTGATAGCTCCAGATGGTGAATGCACCGACTATTTGCGTTTGCCTCATTTACTGAAGAAAAAGAACTCTTTTCGCGAGGACGAGAGGCTGGTAAAAGAGCACGATTTGAAAGCTTTAAGGAATTTCATCTCAAGCAAGCGCCCCCATGCAATAGTCATTGGAGGCGAGTCGAGGGACGCTCTCATGGTGGCAGCCGACTGCAAGGATATAATCGGCAATCTCGTCGAAGACGACCAGTTTCCTTTGATCCCAGTTGAAATTATGGATAATGAGCTGGCAAAGATCTATGCAAACTCTCTAAAAGGGGAAAGCGACTTTAGGGACTATCCTCTATTGCTTCGTCAGGCAATATCACTCGGAAGGAGGCTTCAAGACCCTCTTGTAGAATTCTCACAGCTTTGCACAGCAGATGATGAAATCTTGTGCCTACGATTTCACCCTTTGCAAGAGCAAATTTCCAGGGATGAACTTTTAGAAACAATAACATTGGAGTTTGTGAATCGAACAAATGAAGTCGGTGTGGATATTAATGAAGTTGTTTCCACTCCTTACTGTGGAAATTTAGTTCAATTTATTTGTGGTCTGGGGCCCAGGAAAGGAGCGACTCTAATCAAGATATTGAAACAGACCAATCAAAGATTAGAGAACAGAACCCAGCTAGTTACAATTTGCCACATGGGCCCGAAAGTTTTTATAAATTGCGCTGGTTTTATTAAAATTGATACAAATGCTTTAGGCGACAGCACAGAAGCTTATGTCGAAGTTTTAGACGGGTCCCGGGTCCATCCAGAAACATATGAATGGGCACGGAAAATGGCAGTGGATGCTCTTGAGTACGACGACGAGGATGCCAACCCAGCCGGTGCTTTAGAAGAAATTTTAGAAAAGCCTGAAAAGTTGAAAGATCTTGATTTAGACGCTTTTGCTGAAGAATTAGAAAGACAGAGTTTCGGCAATAAAAGTATTACTCTGTACGATATTAGGTCTGAGCTCAACCATAGGTACAAAGATTTAAGGGCACCTTACAAATCACCTAGCCCAGAATTATTATTTGGCATGTTAACTAAAGAAACACCAGAAACTTTTTACATAGGAAAATTAGTTACGGCAACAGTTACTGGTATCTCTCAGCGTAAACCGACTAAGGAACAGTTGGATCGTGCCCAGCCTGTGAAGGATGACGAAACCGGCCTTTGGCAGTGTCCATTTTGTTTACAAAATCATTTCCCCGAACTGTCTGAGGTGTGGAGTCATTTTGACACTGGTCCTTGCACCGGTCAAGCTAAAGGTGTCAGGGTCCGGCTAGACAATGGAGTCACAGGATATATTCATATTAAAAATCTTTCTGATAAACACGTAACCGACCCCACACAGAGGGTCACCAAAGGGCAGCTGATACACTGTCGTATTATCAAAGTCGACGTTGAAAGATTTTCCATAGAAGCGTCATGCAAAAGTTCTGTTTTGGCTGACAAAAATCATGAATGGAGACCACAGAAAGATCCATTTTATGACTTGGAAGCCGAGGCAAAAGACATGGAAGCCGAGGACAACCAAAAAAAGAACAAACAGAAGCTCACGTACATAAGGAGGGTTATAGTCCATCCTTCATTTCATAATATTTCCTATGTTGAAGCCGAGAAACTTATGGCCACAATGGAACAAGGTGAGGTTATCGTTCGGCCCTCAAGTAAAGGTGCAGACCATCTTACAGTCACGTGGAAGGTGGCTGACAACATTTATCAACATATTGATGTAAGAGAAGAAGGAAAAGAGAATGCATTTTCTCTAGGGCAGTCTCTCTGGATTGGCAATGAAGAGTTTGAAGATTTAGATGAAATAATAGCAAGACATGTAAATCCAATGGCTTCCTGTGTTAGGGACATATTTAATTTTAAATACTATAAAGACACAGAAGGCGGCTTGAGGGACAAAGCTGAGGCCTATTTGAAGGAAGAAAAACGAAAAAACCCAACGAAGATCCATTACATTATATCTGTAGCGAAGGTATGTTATGACAATAGTATGCATTAGAATTTTAAGTTAAAAAAAAATTATTTATTATTTTTGTATTGAAAGCTCAGTTTATTTTTTTCCTCACAAGGGAGCATTCTTGGTCTAACTTGCCAGTACATCCCAACACCATCCTTAAGGTGGCCATTCACGACCGCTCCTAGCAGTCTACATGGAGCAACACTGTTCCAAAAACCACGTCAGTGGCAAAACTGAACTGGCCTGCTGGGCTGTGTCGAATATTCGACCAGTCCAAACTCCCATCGCGCCACTCCAAAAATCTATTGGGCTACGATGGCATGGCGTGTGTGTGAATGGGTATACATAACGGGTGTGAACAGTGGAATATTGGAGCACTGGCTTGGTCATGAATGGGAAAACCCGCGTTTTTTTTTTTTTTTTTTTTTCGTTTTTTTTTTTTTTTGCGCAGTCTCCGATTTTCTGTCACTGAGCGAACATCTCCGTCGTACATTCTCAAAAGTCAAAAATGTTTATTCTTTATTGGCAATGACATCCAATAGAGATTTTATTGTTGAGGTGATTGAATTGTATGAAAGTGTTTATGGAAAGTGGTGGACAATGATTACCACGATAGAAATAAAAGAAATTTGGTCGACGTTTTCAAAACAAAGGATACAAATGCAACAAGAGATGCGGTATTGATAACCCCTAACGCTGAGCAGAAATCATAGTAGAGAACTTAAGTTCTTCGTAGTTCAACCCTGTAGCTAGAAATCGTAATGTGGCTGCCAATCTTTCATGTAGAGAGATGATTTCTCTCATGACTGTCTTTTGTTTTCTAATCAAGGGGGTAACAAGCTGGAGTAAATATAAATAAGGCGTTAATAATTTTTTTTTTGTAAGGTTTTGGTTGAAATGAAAAAATAATGTCATGAGGGGATTCGAATCCACGACATTCAGCTAAATACGCCACTACTCTAACCACTTGAGCGATCGTGACTTCGATAGTTCGATCCACTCGGACACCAACTTATTTATCTTAATCAATCTCAACCTACAACCTTTCAAATTTTCTCTCTTTTTGCTATTTTTTGGTGTCCGAGAGGATCGAAGTCCACGATAGCTCAAGTGGTAGAGCAGCAGCGTATTTATCCGAAGGTCATGGATTCAGATCCTGCTCGTGGCACTTACTTTTTCATTTCAACCAAAACCTTACAAAAAAAAGATTAATTAATTGAAAGAAGTAATTTGGTCAATAGAACACTGAATATAATGAATAAATAAGACGTTTCATCCATCCTTAAATAGTACCTCCAATCAGCAGGTTCAAGGGAAAGATCTTTCATCAAATTGATATGGGTATTACGGCTTCTGTTCAGGAGCCACTTCTTACACCATTTCCTCTTCGATTTTTCCTTTTAATATATAAATAAACAGAACCTTAGCAAGAGAAGAGATCGTCATCCATTTTGAGAAGGTAATTCACTAGATGACATTCGGAGCGACTGGCTGTGGAGCGGTCGTAAATGCCCCCTCAAATTTCAGTCCCTCCAAATGGAGCTATACAGCTTGGTGCGGTTCCATTTGGAGCGATCGTGAATGGTCACCTTTACAACCAACTACCTATGGTACTGCAATTTTATCACCAACTCCAATCCTACCCAAACCTCCTCTAGTATCCAAACACATCTTGAACTCATTGAAGAATGATGTAAAATGTGGAAATGAAATTGAAAGAGGACAAATGCACCCAAATTACATTCATGCATGTACAAACAGCCTTGCCCATACATTATCAGTAAAAAACTGAAAAGGAAAATACTTTGGGCTATACTTAGACCTTATACTGACATGGAATCCTCACCCATGACGCAAGTGATAACTGGACAACTACGAAGACGTATAAGACTGAAATCAGACATGATAGTGAAGAACAAACTGTCAAAACAAAACATTTATTTGACCTATTTAGTCATACGGAGCGGAACTTGGAAAGCCATTTAACATCCAACAAGCATTCCAGTCAAAAGTCATCAAAAGAATTCTCCAAACTTATTATCTCCAACTTGACTAACACTCCCTTCTTCAAAAAATTGATCCTTTCCTGCTTCGTCGTGTTTCATTCCAATCTTTCAACCCGTCCTAACCCTACAATTCAAGCCCCCTCCATTTCTTCTTATCCCAAGAACCCTGCATATCGCCTCGAACACAACACATTGGCCTTGAGACCTCCTCGCCTAATAACAAACTAAGTGCCATTTTATTGCCTGGCTTATCATAACACGTCTTATGGGTGCAGGACTGGTAATATTAGTGTTTTGCCTGGGATTTTCAGAACCATTTGTAATGTGTATATCAGGATAGAATAAATATTAGTTTTTTTCCATCATGCGTCCAAACTGGCGGGCACAAGCGCAATTCAGTTTTGATGTTTCATTATTCTTCAAACCTAAACTATCAGTTGACAGTTCCATCATGTTTTTAGACCAGGTTTTGGACCATCAAAACAGTCCGAGAATTTTACTAGGGACTGGTGCTTTTGCTCTTGAATCTTACTCTTACAAGGGACCGTACTTAAATGTGAAATAAAATACAAATATGTATTTATTTTTTTGAACAAATACCCTTGTAAAAATGTAAAATAAAAGTATTTAGTTACTCATAAAAAATAATAGATTCTATGCACAAATGTACATTAAGAAAAAGTCCGATGTTTCCCGCTTAAACTGTAGGAGTATGAGATTGAAAATAGCTCCAAGATTCCATCAGAGTTGATGTGTTCAACAATCAATCAGGCATGCACAGTCATAAACCGCAGATTAGTTGGCAATTGTTTTTTGATTGGCTAATGGAAAAAACCTATTATATAAAAAAAATAAAAATTTCTCTAGCTACATACTGTTTTTCTTAGGAATTTGATCTTTAATTTTTAACTTGTAGAAATTTGTCTATCAGAATAAGTTAATAAATTTCCTTTTAAATTTTAAACAAACAATTAAAACTTATAAATTTAAATAAACAGAAATTTCCTACAAAGCGTTTGCCAGACCATTTAGAACAAGGGTGGATATGTACTCACTATTTCTAGTCAATTCGCAGTGGACCGAAGCACTCTATTTTATGGAATACAACACTTTTGAGGATCGCACACTTCTCTTGTCTCTCATCTACATGGAATCTTGTTCACTTATCCGACTCGACTGTCTCTTCCCTATTCTCTTTTATTTTTTTTTACTCTAAGCCTAATCAAGGCATCTAAATCAGAACATTGTCACTTCGAAATGAATTGAAATGTCACTTATATATATTTAAACTTAAATGCATATTTTTGTTTTTTGACTGTATTGGATTTTTTTTCCAGAATTATCCGGGTAAATTTTTACTGTCATATTTGCCACGAGAGAGGTGTAAGCATGAATATATCACAGTGACACCAAATGGGTTCAGGTTCAGGAGCCAAGTATTCGACTCGGTTAACTCACTTTTCAGGTGGTTCAAAGAACATTTCCAGGATCCAGTGCCAGGCACACCAAGCACACCACGGTCCAATGCTTCCATCCGTACTTCATTTTCAAATACACCAGGCAACATAAATATGGGTGATTATTTTTGACTTATTCTTCTAAATATATTGTTATATTTTTAATTAACCGTGATTGATTTATATAGGTATGAATGCTGAAGCGATTCAAAGAGTTGCTCAAAATATGCCGAGCCACATGCTCCACAGTCTTTCACAAGTTGCAAGCCATACGCCTTATGCTCACACCCCTGCTGCGTACTCAATCCACCAATACCCAACGACAGTATGCGAAAAATTATTAAATGTTTTTAGATGCAATATTATTTTTATCTGTGTTATTAGCCGTACACGCCGTCTGGCCAGACGCCTTTTATGACACCGTACACGACCCCAAGATACGGGCAAATGACTCCTGGCCACCATAGTACAATATCGAGTCATTCGTTGGCAAGCCCACAATCGACGTCGAGTTCAAATCAGGTACAGTCCCAGGGCGTTTTTCTGCATCCTGGCTCCGTAACACCCTCGTACAGGACGCCATCGCAAAACATACCGAACAACTACCAAAGGGGACAACCACAACTTGGAGCGGACGATTGGAGGAAAGCTGCTCAAGAATGGATTCAGCAAAAACGGGGAGAAAATACGCCGACCAACCGTACTCCCAGGATGGACAATAGGGGCCCTTCTAGACAAGGGTAATTTTCTTATGATTGAAACAAATTTACTGGTTAAATTATTTGAACTTATGGCTATTATAACCATTTTTTTTTTTCATGTAAAAGTTATATAGGATTATTTACTTAATTTTTACAGAATGAGTAGAGATGATAAAAGGACTACACCACGTTACAATGACACAGATTCTCCTAGGCACATGAACTCTCCTAGGTTTCACCAAAATCCTTGGGGAAAACATGCCATGCAGAATCAAGGTAATGTCTTCTTCAAATCTGTCTTCTTTTTTTCTTTCTTTTTTTTTTCTTTTTTTTTAATTTTACACTGTTTTTAGGCGGTTATGAAGATAGATATGAACGGACTGGGAAATCTCCTAGGCTGCCTCCAAGTCATGGAAAGTATGATCCATTCGATCTTGGCACTAAATCGCCGCGATTTCCTTCCGGCACGCCAAGATCCGGTCGATCTACCCCAAGGACGATAAACAGTCCTCATTCCATGTCACTGGGAGATTCAACTCCTCTTTACGATGAGAACTGACTTTAATTTATCAATATTTTTTAATTTACTTCCTTTTAGATGTTTATAAGAGAGTAATAAAATTATATATATTTTTCTTTCTTAGACGCTTGAGGTTATCTCTATTTAATATTAAAAATATATATATTTATATATATAAGTTTATTTTTTATCATTTATATATTTTACTTTGTTGTTTTCCCTCTCGCAATATTATTTTTTTTTAATGGTGACCTCAGCTCAATATTAATGTAATGGTTTTTATGAACTTTAGTTGTGAATCTATTTATAGTTATTTATAAGAAAAATAAATCTTCCTACATAAAAATAACAATTTTTGTTTTATATCATTTGAACTACCCTGCAATTCATGCTGAGAGAAAAGAAATCTTTCAAATAAACAAGGTCATTTCAAAAATAATTTAATTGTATCAAAATGTAAATAAAAACTGTTAAATACACTGAATATTAAAATATCACATCTGTATTATTATCTAAAATTAAAATAAATAATCAAAAATAGTTAAAATACATCTTAAATCTACTTGTTATGTGAATCGACATAACTACCCCACTGTCATAATTTCAACTCAAATCTTTTGTATAGAGCACAAGTTGGTAAAATTACAATGTTCAATACTGTCAACCAGTATTTCCTTCATGAGCCGAAGTGGGCAAAGACCTTTCGGGCAACCAGGAACTTGCACAATCCTCTCTTGGTGCATCGTCAAGACTTTTAGCTCATCCCCGCACCTGAAAAACCGCTTAGAATTAGAATGCGAAATTCAATCGAATGAACATCGGAGGTGTAAAGTTTAAAACAATCCCTGAAAGAAACAGTACATATAGTGAGTTCTGCTCGTCAGGAAAACTATTTATGTAGCCCATTAGAAAATTTATGAAGCAACCGACCTCTCAAATATATATTTGAAATTGAAATAAAAACACTAGTCCTGAAAAGGAAAAAATTTATTTGTTCTATTTCTTAGAGACCTGTTGTTTCCTATTTGTTGGTCAGGAGTGGTCAAGAACTAATATATTTTTAATTTACTCCTGAGTTGCAAGTTAATGAGACTCAACAATACAAACATCCTTAAAGACAATCTTACTTATTTAAATGCAATTCACTCAAGCTGGTGGAGTACTGGATAAGCGGGGAACACACCCAACGCCACCCGACACAAATCCAATGTCCAATTTTCCATAAGATTGTATTACCCCTGTGCACATCTGCCCGATGCCACACAATGCTACCCTACTCTATGCTACGCAATGCAACTTTCCTCACTGTATAGATTTTCATCGTGTACGTCAAAGACAAAAGAACTGGACACTTGTTTAATTTAACATAAATGAAATTAAGCGAGATCAAAGTTCATGAGTTTTTATTTAAAAAAAAAAAAATAATAATTTTAATGGTTTGGCAGAAAATTGATCAGAACTCCGGAATACGATTTACTGATAGAAAGAATTTAACTAACAATTTATTACATAGTTTTGCTCATAAAATGTAATTGAAATTTATAACACGGTTTTGCTCATAAAATTTAACTAAACAAAATGTATTACACGGTTTTGCTCATAAAATTTAACTAAACAAAATGTATTACACGGTTTTACTCATATAATTTAACTAACAATTTATTTCATAGATTTGGTCATAAAATTACACAATTTTCGTTGATTAGCATCAGAACCAGTCACTTATATTTTTAAAAAGGATTGAACCCGCACTCAATTTATCATTCATCATTTCTAATTATATTTTTTGTAGTTTATTTCGAACTATGAATATGTAATTTTGTTGTTATATTAATTACATGTTTATTTTAATGTAAACCAAATGGCAGAAAATGTATCAAAACTTTATTTATATCTAAAATATATCATAACTTTATTTAAAACAATTTATTTCATGGTTTCGCTCATAAAATAACACCATTTTTGTCAAGTAGCGTCAGAACCAGACACATATTTTTATTTCAAATTATATGGATTGTTGTCGTTATATTAATTACAACATCCTTTTAATTCCTCATTTTAACATAAATTAAGTGAGATCAAACAAAAATTCATGAGTTTTTATTTAAAAAAATTTTTTTTAATGGTTTGGTAGATATTGATCAAAACACCAGAATACCATTTATTGATAGAATGAATTTAACTAATTTATTACAGTTTTCCTCATAAAATTTAATTAAAATTTATTACACAGTTTTGCTCATAAAATGTAATTAAAATTGATTAATTTAGGGTCAATCGGGTATTCTGCTATAACCCTCGCACACTACATTCATAATAAATACATTCACTCTTAAAATACGCTAAAGATACAAAATGATCATTACTAAATATAATAAAACAACAGTTTCTCCATGAAATTAGAAGAAGAGACCCAAGAAAGGACTTACTGTCAAGCACAATACCTGCATGCTCTCTATATGGAGGCAAGGAGTGGCAACCTCATTTATATGGGACACATTTAACAACTTTTCTCAGCATGCAGGACATATATGCCTCAAGTAAGTGTCTGTATGTCAACCTCGCCTTTCTTAATCAGGTGAGGATGACCCTATACGAGTCAAGTAAGCCACCTATCGACAGTGCCTTTGATATGCAAAAGCTTCTCCGCTGATCCAGCCCACTGATGCTGCCACTTTATTTTAATTGTGTTTTTTTATTGCATTTTTAGCATTACGATCATGGTGTTTAAGACTGGAGGTCAGTTTTTGTTACCCTCCTGACATAATATGTGTCTTTCTGTATTCTTAAATTGGAAATTAGGAATATCGGTTCGGTGTAATGTAAACATTATTTTTTAACATACTTACCATTTAATTTCATGATTAATTACAATTATAATCTTACCTATAAAGAACGAAGACAACATTTGCCCCAAAAGTGTCTATAAAAGAAACCCTCCATTTGCGATTGGACCTAATTTTCGATGCAGTGTCATGCATCAACTGGAACTCGTCCTTGTACAGGCCTAAGTGCGACAGAAGTTTCAGTACTGTCCCAGAATGGGTGAAGTAGAAAGTTGCATTGAATCTGTCACTGCTAAAACAAGTCCAAAAATTTAATACTTGTCAAAAATCTGAATTTCAATGACAAACCTTAATTTTGAAAATATATCATGTATCAGCGGGCAGGCCTGTTTGTGGTTGATATCAAAACCGTAACCGTCTTTCCAGTAATATTTCAACTCTTCCCCATACTCAATGACCTAGATAAAGAGAATAAACTATTAACGTAGTTATGCTTAATTGAAGTTAAACTCCCATTTTGTCCAAAATTACTGACTAAACTGTTTTGATCAAATCAAAAATCTCACATATTACAAAGAGTTAAATACCTTGAAATCTTTTTTGTTAAAAACAGAACACCACGGTGATCTTTTGTACTTATTCCACGCTGTCTCGAAGGAACAAGCAAGGTATATATGATATACATCATCTGAAAACCAATTAACCTGTTAATAAATAATTTTGTGGCAATATTTACCATATACCAACTGTACGGGAGGGTGTAGTTGAGCCCTAGCCTCTTTGAAATCCTTTGGCAGCTTTCCAGCGATTCAACGCTGTTTTTTAATTTTTCCATTTCTTCTTTTGAAGCTGGATTCTTTTTAACTGCTGTTCTCCATTTGCTGCACAGCTTATAAAACTACAAAAAGTGTTTATAAGATGTCTTATATAATATATAAATATAAATAGATATAAATTACACATATTGAGGAGGGGATCAATATGGCCGAGTGGGTCCAACTCGTATTTACCATGACAAAGGCTTGGGTTTCAATCCCGACACAGCCCATGGAATTTTAATTGAGAATAACATGAAAAAAAATATATATATATTGAAAAGTGGTTTGACCCCTTGTACGCAAGTTGTCTGCGACAGGGTAGTTGGTTGTTAAGCTGTACTTTTTTTTATACATATTCAGGGTAGATTTACATAGCACACTTTGATTATTTTAAATCCATTACATTAATAAACAATATGTTAATTAATTTAGGAATTGAATAATATATATTACCCTCAGCACAGGGTCAGCATAGATTGGATCTGGATACCAAACACGCTTACTCTCCTTTCTCCCGAATAAGCCCATCGTGAAGTACTTGGCACTCTCCCGAGTCCTTTGCGTGTCAGTAAACCTAAACTACCATTTAGACATATAAAAACATTAATATTAGTATATGTTTTAAAGTGGCAATTACAACTGTACTCACATAAAAAGTGTCATTGTCATAGTGTCTGTCCAAAAGTGATGGAAATCGATTTGAAATTCGCTCGGCCAGTTCGATCATCTCATCTTCGCCCTCATGTGTTAAAAATTTCTCTCCTTCACTCTCAAGGACGAAATTCCATCTTTGAATGTTTTTCAAATCCTCTTCACATAGTATTTCTACAAATGAAGTCGTGTTAGGATCAGGCAATTGTAATTTTATATCAATAAGACTACAAACTTGACGATTTGTTAGATTCCTTGCTGGATGAGTTATCTTGTGTAAAATCATTTCTCAGATGATTTTTAATGTTGTTCAACCTTTCCGTTATTTCATCAGTAGCCTTCTTCCCTGGTGTTCTTGTCCCATGTCTAATAACTCCAAGAATTTTAATTGGTGTGCAACCTTAGAGAACAAATTTAAAATCAAAAAGATGACTAAATATTTATGAGTGAGAAACAACCAAGCTACAGGTTTCAAATCTCTACATTTAATTCAAAAGTGGATAATTAAGAAGAGCCAACTATTCAAGATTGTGATTTTAAGATCATCCATCTTCAACCACCATCCCTAACCATCCCCAAAGTTTAAACATTTGGAACTTACTATACTACTTTACAACAGCAGAGGTCATATCAACCCTCAGAGTATCAGTGTTAATGCAAGGCCACTAGATACGAACCCGGGACCTTTATCTTACAGTGATGAGCACCATGTCGACGCCTTAACCATTGCACCACCGACACCCCTCTATAACTTAGTGTAAGCAAGATAATTCAAATTGAAATAACAAAGTGCGCAGACAGGACAAATTAGTGAAGAAGTCAGGACAGATACTTCTAGATCCTCAAAGAATAAGCAGAGACATTAGAAAATGTCCTATGCATCATGCTATAAACATACGCACTACCTGAACAGGTATGAACAGAAAAAAAATCGAAAATAACAGTAACAGCCACTGAGTTGTTGGAAGGTTTAGCGGTTCCCCACAGTTCTCTTCCGTACGTCCAAATCGGTTGTAGTAGTATTTTGTAAATTGTAAGTTTGTTTTTTGTCGATAGTTTAGACTGTCGTCCTATAAGTCTGTGCAGTAGACCATACCGTCTGTTTAGGTTTTGTCGTGTCAGTCGTGCATGTTCATTCCACGTTAGTCATGAATCTAGGTGGAACCCAAGGTAACAAACGCAGTAGGATTTGGGGATAGGAACGTTGTTGTAGTAATCGTGAGAGGAGGCTTGCTTCGGAGTGTACATGTGACATGATCGCTCTTGCTTTCGTTTATCTTCATTTTCCATTGTCTACACCAATCTGCTATACATGAGATATGTTCCTGCAGATCTTCCGAAGCAACCGCAGGATCGGAATTGGAGGATAGTACAGCTGTATCATCGGCGAAGGATGCAAGTAGGGTGGTAGGTTTAGTGGAAATATCTGCAGTATAAAGGATGTGGAGGATTGGTCCGAGCACACTGCCCTGCAGTACTCCCGTGGCCAGAGAGCAGTATTCGAAGTAATCTGATCCTTGTCGGACCCTAAAGAACCGCTCTGTTAGATAAGAGTGGAGAATTAGGTAAAGAATATTTGGAAGGACACGCTTTAATTTGTACAGGAGTCCCCTGGGCCACACGCGGTCAAACGCTTATGCCGCATCAAGGAAAGCTCCCTTACAATATTCTTTGCGCTCAAGGATGTCAAAATTAAAGCTGTGTAATTCCACGTACTTTGAGTACGTGTACTGTTGTAAAATTGGCTACTTGCCGTTGATTTAATAATAATAATAATAATAATACCAAAGAAAGAAGAGTAATAAAGGAAGCCAAACAAAACTCGCTAAAATATTTAATTTCCAATTTAACACCACGTATGGAATCCTCGGATATATGGAGGAAGATCAGGGCAATTTCGGGCAAAAGAAAGCCCCAATTATGCCAATACTTTGCAGAAGAATGGTCATAACAGAACCATTTCAAATTGCTGAGCGTATAGCTCATCATGTTGAATCCGTTTCTAATTCCAGCTGGTATTCAGAGCGTTTCAGGCAGATAAAGGAGGAGGAAGAAAGAAACAATTTAAATTTTGCAACTGATGAAGAAGAAGTTTGGAACACTCCCTTCACTCTGGCTGAACTGGATCTTGTTCTGAATTCGGTGAAAGAATCTTCTCCGGGAAGTGATGAAATCACGTACTCCATGATTAAAAATCTATCTCCAGAAGGAAAAGTAAAGCTTTTGGAGTTATTTAACGAAATATGGGGTGCGGGATATTATCCTGAAAACTGGAGGGAGTCGGTCGTGATACCCATTGCTAAGCCGGGTAAAGATCCTAGCCTCCTAGAAAATTACAGTGTCACTGCAGCCAACATTCGTCAGCCAGAAATAAATTCTACCAGGATCTGGAGAAAGAAGGAGTAGAACACCCAATTACGGAAAGTAGAGCTCTATTCAAAAATCCCAGTGTGTATAACTTGATAATAAAATTTTTAAATGTGTCTGTGAAAATATAATTTGAACTGTTTAAAAAGTATTCTTTGTAACATGGCTGCTTAATTGTTTGATGAAAAAAAAAACCAAAAAAAACCATCACACGGTCTCTAAATAATCATAATATTAAATAATAAAATCAACCCACTACAATTTTAAAAAAAAAGAGATGGATGCAGACGAGGATCTCATCTAGATCCATTTCTTCTTTATGTAGGTTTAACACCCAATGGATTTCTAAAAAATATCTAACAAACTAAAATATTTGTAGTGTCTTGAATTTATTAAAATTTAAGGTATGACCTTGTAAATCTGTAATAATATTGTCATGCCAATTTTAGTCTTTAATAAATACAAAAAATGCACATCCTAAGATATTGAGAACTGATAGTTCCTAGTGCTTATTATTTATTTTTTTTACCCTTGAATTCCACAGGAGAGTCTTTTTTGTTTGCGATGATCCTGTAAGGGGTCTTGGTCGACAGGTGCCGGAGGCCTTCGTTTTCCAACTTAAGGCAAGTTTCTGGGTCGCCACCGACGCATATTGCGACGAAGAGGACGAGACCGAGAACCGCCCGCGTCATCTGAGAAACTGAAGGCCGGCCAAATTCTCCGAGCGAGAATATGGAATTCGTTCGGCCAAAACCCAAAAAGTCACGATAACCTCCCTGCCAGGTATTACTGGAAGCAGAGGAGCCGTGTACTTTCTAAGTTATATTTGTTTAAATAGAAAAACTTAAATTTTAAACGTTTTCTTTATTAAAAAAAATCAATTTTGTTTAGGTCGGCTTTTTATTCCAACATGTCAGGTAAGAGAATTTTAACGGTCCGCCAACATGCCACAACCCAATTATAACAGAAACAACCTCCTCTATTTTCTGTCAAAATTTAGAAATACAATGATAACGGTACAGGTTACTCCAGGGATTTACCTTCCTCTCTCAGGTACATAAAAAGGAAAGCGATATTTCTTCAGAGTTGGATTGGGCGTTAAGTTGTCGCTTTTGATCCTCGAGGAAATGAGCTTCTAGTGGAAAAAGCTCTTGGTGAAATGGCCAACCAGATTGATATTATAACTACAAGCCTGGAAGCGTTGATACGTGAGTAATTAAATTATCCATTTTGACTCTTTAATTTGGATTTTTATTTCTCGATTGTAGTTTGTAGCGTTGTTCTATTCCCTTTCAAAGTTTCAAATTTGAAAGTAGTGTTTGTCAGTTTCTAAGTAATTTCATCGGCCTTTTTTTTTTTTTATTGACTACAAGCTTCACCTTCCCGCAGGCCTTCAAAAATTGTTAGTATGGAAACAAAAGAATTAGTCGTTTAATTTCTCCATTTATTAAGCCTATTGTCTCAGTCATTACTTAAAAGACTACATAGTTTCTCACTAAAATTGCTTACCAAGAAATTAAAGATAAAAGCTTTGTTTAGTTGTTTATTTATTTTCTTACTATCTCAGCTTAATTGTTTTCCTTTCGGTCTTTTCAACTGAACTGTCTTCATTTCAGTCCACTTAGCTTAATTGTCTTCATCTCTGCTTTCCTCTGGTCAACTGTTTTTTTTTTTATTGTCTTCTTAACTGAAGACAGCTTAACTGTCTTCATTTCAGTCTTCCAAGCTCAGTTGTCATCAGCTCTATCTTAACTATCTGTCTTCATTTCTGTCATTTCAGCCTTCCCAACTCATTTGTCTTCATCTCAGTCCACTTAGCTTAATTGTCTTCAGTTCAACTCACCTCTGGTCAGCTACCTTTGTCAATGTTTTCAGCTCAACTATCTTCATCTCACTGTTCCCAACTCATCCGTCTTTTTCTCAGTCCATTTAGCTTGTCTTCAGCTCTACTTTCCTATGGTCAACTGCTTTTTCATTGTCTTCTCAGCATAACTGTTTTCATCTCAGTCTTCTCAGCTCAATTGTCATCAGCTCAATTCTATTTTAGTAAACTGCCTTCGTAATTCTTTTCAGCTTAACTATCTTCATCTCAGCCTTCCCAACTCATTTGTCTTCATCTCAGTCCACTTAGCTTAATTGTCTTCAGTTCAATTCACCTCTGTTCAGCTACCTTTGTCAATGTTTTCAGCTCAACTATCTTCATCTCACTGTTCCTAACTCATCCGTCTTTTTCTCAGTCCATTTAGCTTAATTGTCTTCAGCTGTACTTTCCTATGGTCAACTGCTTTTTCATTGCCTTCTCAGCATAACTGTTTTCATCTCAGTCTAACTGTCATCTCAGCTCAATTGTCATCAGCTCAATTCTATTTTATTAAGCTGCCTTTATCTGCCATCTCAGCTCAGCTGTCTTCAACTCAGTTTTCCAACCCTGCTGTCTTCATCTCAGTCCACTTAGCTTATTGTCAACAGCTCAACTAACCTCTGGTCAATTGCCTTTGTCAGTCTTTTCATCCAACTGTCTTCACCTCAGCCTTCTTAGCTCAATTTTCCTTATATTAGTATTCATCTATTTATCACCTAAACTACTTTCAAGTTGCTTCTCTTTTCTTTCTCTTAGACTTGACAGTCCTTTTTTGTTCTTGCTTCTAGACTCTCTTAACTTAATTGACTTTTCATCTTTTTTTGCTTACCCCCATTTTGAATTAATCTTGAGGGAGGAGTGCCAAATGCTGAGAGAACCATTCCCATTGCTGTGGGATCGTGATGTCACATTTTTCTTCATTATCATTTCATATTAGTGGCATTTAGACCCAACGATTCTGGACCCTTATTATTTAATTGCTAATATGTATTTATTTAAGGTGTTAAATGTATTGACCACTTTCTTACTCATGAATAATTTGGATTTCCAGATTATTGGATCTCCATAAGATCCAGATTATTCATGAATATGTATTTAGCTGACTTTTTGATTTAATGATTGTTCATTCAATTGAAATGTTGTATATAACAATTTATAAAAATTATAGATGTGATAAAAGTACAAATAGTATTAAAGAGCATATGAAAATAAGACTTCTTCCAAAATTAAAATTCAATCGATCACTTTGTATTTAGTAGGGTGATGAATCATAAAACAGATTTATTGCAGAAAAGGATGATTTAATTTTTTTAATGTTCTTTCATTTTAAATTCAATATTTTCAGTGGAAATAATATTGTACTGTTAAACTAATTCAAATTGAATGGTTAAATTATAATTAATTATAAAATTTGTTTTTTGTTGAAATCATAATGTATTGATTTTTAGAAAGGGCCACTAACGCTGGAAACCAAGGCCCTGACACTGCTGCAATTGACGCTTTCTGCGGCCTAATAAACAAGGAGCCAGAGTGCATCCAGGTAGCAGCCAAGTTCATAACGGCCAAAGTTCATTCACTTCAAGAATGGGAGGCCTTGCAAGCGTTGCTGGTAAGCCTCCAGTTACAGATCAGAAAATTAAGTTACTGCTTACCAACCTCAATAGTCTTGCTTATTGCTTATGTTACCTAGTTGTTTCTAAAGTTAGAACTTCTTGATATTTCCTCTTAAACTGTTAATGATAATTACTATTTTTTAAACTGTGATAAGCAATGAGATGTTTATTCTGTATGCTGAACAAACATTCCTTCATCAAAACTTCTTGTTGTGATAATTTAATTGTAATGTTTTAAGTGTTGTTTAGTGACCAGTTCAATAAGTCGTTTTAATAGTGAGAAACCACCTTTCACTTATAATTGTTGGGGAACCCTCACCTGCAACATACAATAGCAAAAAGTAAAATATCGCTAATGACAACAAGAAGAACCCAAGGCAAATCTTGGGGATTAAAACTGAAAATGGCCATTGGCTATACTCGGCAATAATAAGAATAGCCTATGGATCACTAATCTGGTGGAACAAAGCTCAACAAAATGTAGTTATCGAAACATTAGGCACCATACAAAAACTATCAAACCTATGTATCACAGGGGCAATGAGAACAACCCCTACAAATGCATTAGAAACTCTGCTAAACCTACCTCCACTGGAAATATTTATACAAGGAGAGGCTAGGAAAAGCTCATTTAGGCTCCAGAAACAATTAAATTGGAAAGGAACTAAACAATTCGGGCATACAACCATAATCAACAAAATCAGACACCATTATTAGAAATGGGGACTGACTGATCCCAAAAACATTCTTTACGACTTCCTACAAAGTCACAACGGACTATAAGGAGAGGAAGAACACAGGAGAGCATCAGATACAATGATATGGTATGCAGATGGCTCCAAAACGAAGGAACCGGATCAGGCTTTTTCTGTACAAGCCCAAAACATGAGCAACCAAATTCATTAGGGATCTCTCTCTCTCTCTCTCTCTCTCTCTCTCTCTCTCTCTCTCTCTCTCACTCNCTTCCCCCCCTCTCTCTCTCTCTCTCACTCTCACTCATCTTTTATCTTAATTATCATCAGCTCAACTCTCCTCTAGTCAAGCTTTTTTTCAACATCTTCTTGACTCAACAGCTCAACTCACTCTCTTCATCACAGTACTGTCAGCTCAATTGTTTTTTGGTGGAACTCCACTTCCGCCAAAAAACGTTTAATCAGTCTTCTCAGTTCAACTGTCTTTAACTCAGTACACTTAGCTAAACTTGCCTCTGGTCAACTGCCTCTTCTCAGTTCAATGGTCCTCATCTAAGTCATCTCAAATCTACTGTCTTCATCTCAGTCCTCATAGCTTTCCATCAGCTCGACTCTCCTCTGGTCAAGCCATTTTTACAATATTCTTAACTATCTTCTGTTATCATAGCTTAATTTTCATCAGCTCAACTTTCCTCTGGTCAACTGCCTTTTTCACAACTTCTCAACTCAACTGGCTTCACCTCAGTCTTTTCAGTTCAACGTCTTCATCTCACTCTTCTCAACTCAACTCTCTTCGTCCCAGTCTTCTCAATTCAACTGTCTTCATCTCAGTACATGTAACTTTATTCAACTCTTCTCAGCTGAACTGCCTTCATTTTAGTGCTCTTATTCAGCCCATCTCTGTTTAGTCTTTTCACGTCAATTTCTCTCAAGGCCTGAATGTAATATTTTTATTAAATTAAAATTCATCATTATGTTAACATTTTCATCTATATTTTTCTTGTATGATTTTTGGCAATTCTCAGCCTTGTCAATGGCCCGAATAAAGGTTCATTCATCGGCAATTAAATAAAAAATGTGTTTTTCTGACATACATCTAACCTACCTTTTGTTGTTAACAACCACTTTTTTAATGTTTTATGTTTAAAATAGTAACATAGTTAAGTAGTACTATTTTATGTAAAAATAGTAAAATAGTACGTAGTAATAGTGGTAATTTTAGTAGTTCAGAAAAAAAACATTATGTTAATTTGTAATTACAGTTATTGGAAAATTGCATGAAACGCTGTGGTAGCGCATTTCATGCTGAGATAGGCAAATTCCGTTTTTTGAACGAACTTATAAAACTAGTTTCTCCGAAATATCTTGGTGCTCATACACCAGAACCCGTGAGACGGAGAGTTCTTGAGCTTATGTACACTTGGACGATCCAGTACCCAAAGGAAAGTAAGATCAAAGAAGCTTATGACATGCTTAAGAAACAAGGCGTTATCCAGGTTCGTTTATAAATCAGATAATATATTTATTTTGTTATCGTAAATTACAGAATATTTTTTTATAATGGTGAACTTTCAGGAGGAACCGCCGCCTTGTCAGGTGCTTAAAGAAGTGAGTACACCTAGGCAACAAGCTTCCATTTTGCAGGATAAGCAGTCACAACAACTCTTACAGAAATTACTTCAAAGTAAAAATCCTCAAGACTTACAGGCTGCAAACAAGCTTATAAAATCAATGGTCAAAGAGGTATTATTATTAATAACAATTAAAAAATTGGTTTCTGATTGATTTAAGTAATTTTATTAGGAGGAGAGGAGAGTTGAGGAGAAATGGAGGGATAAACTGGAACTTGAGAAAGTAGGCAATAACTGCAACCTGTTGAATGAAATGTTAGACAGTTACCAAGTAGGGGTGAGCAGTGAGCAAGAACTGGAGCTGATTAAGGAGCTCTACACTTCATGTCAAAATTTAAAAATTGGACTCTTTAAACTCGCAACTACTACAACTGACCCTGCTTTTTGCAGTAAGTTATCCAATTTATTAGCTTTTAACTCTATAAATTAATTAAAACTTTCAGCTGAGGTGTTGACTGTAAATGATGAACTCGATGAGGTTTTTGTCAAGTACAACTCATTAATCGTGGATCAAGGCCCAAGCAGGAAGGTTCAAACACCTGCTAAAAAGCAAGAGAATATTCCTTCACTTCTTGACCTGACTCCAAGCCCAACACAGGAAGCGATTTCTACTGTCCCTGTTGACAATTTTGCCAGCCTTTGTATGTTTTTTTTTTTTTTTGCACAGTTTTGTGTAGCAATTATTTATGTGTATTTGTTGCTTTAGGTTTAAGTTCACCTGCGCCTGCATGCCAGACGAGTCAGCCATCTATCAGTCTAGATGCGTTACGTGATGTGTTTAGTGAGATCGTAGAAAAACCTGCCCCACTTTTGAACAATCAGCCAATGTGTGAGTTCAATTTTTTAATTCAATGGCGTAGACTGTTTTTAAATTGGAGCAGCCATTTTCAAATTATTCGTAAAAAATTATTTCCGAACATTGGTTTTCGGAAAAATGAAGTCTTGTCCAAATTTGTCAACCAAGAACCAATTTATCTATTTATCATTTTAATTGATAGATGATTAATTGCTCATAATACAAAATGGTAAAGAAAATTTTGTCAACGATTTCTTCAAATAACTATTCAGAAATCATGAGATGCGGTCTGGTGTGATGCAAGTTTCAGAAAAACATTTTCTTTATCATGGCAACGTTTCGATCTTTATTGAGATCATCTTCAGGGCCTGGGATTTACAAACATTGTTTACATTTAACAAACACATGTAGGATGTGAAAAAAGAGAATTTATACAATTTTTTATATTCAATCAAAGTATTTCTACTCGCTCAAAGTTTGTCTTCTGTGTAATTGTGCCATTCTTGCATGTCGTGTTGAGAGTGCCAATGAGATATTGCTGTTTTATGTTTAAATACGTTGGATTTTGAAGGGGTGGGGAAGGATGTCGGTATTGAAAAGACATTTTTGTATAAGGCGTTGGCTTCTTAGAGGTGAAAAGAGCCGACAAAGGGAAAAAAATGTGTTGGTAATGGTTCGGTCAGATTATCCTTTCAGGATTATATAGAAAGGGATAAATAGGAAAAGGAAAACTAAATTGTTGAAAAATTAGACTATGTGAAAAATATTTGATGTGTGGAATGTGATGATATATGTATGTTATCTATATTGAGTTTGATTAATGATATTGGCGTAGCTGCGACTGAGTTTATATGTATCCGTTCTGCAATTGATGCTGTGTTTATCTCTGTTGATATAAACCATTTCTAAGAAATTACGTTTAGGTTTGTTTTGTTCTGTAATTAATGCTGTGTTTATCTCTGTTGATATAAACCATTTCTAAGAAATTACATTTATGTTTGTTTTGTTCTGTGTGTAATATTTTTGGATTTTTGAAGTCGAAATTATGTTGGTATTCAAAATGGTGGGTAGCGAGTGCTGTAGGATTTTGCTTGGGTTTTTGCAATCATAGATATGTTGCTTTACTCCCTTGTCCAAATATTGGGTTGTAAGTTGCCAGACAGTTTAAACAGTTGATTTTGTAGATTATGTCAGATTTGTTTGTTATTGGTGAGGGATCTTTAATTTTGGAAAAAAGTGTTTGAATTGTTTTACAATTTTTGAAAGCTATTTTGAAGTTATCGGACGAGAGAAATGTGTTTAATTTATGTTATAGGCCGTGAATAAATAGCATGGAAATTTATGCTGGTTTGTTTGTATTTGATAGACTTAATGTAGTATTATTAGTAATAGTGGATGGTGTTAGTGTTGAGTTGTAGTTGATGATTATGTGCTTAGTGTAGAGATTGTTATGGAGGTCTGTTTGTATATCTTTATGTTCTTGTGGTGAAATGATTCATGGCTCAGGGTAATCATTCTGTGAAGTAACCCTTTAGCCGTGTTTATTATTGTATGAAGAGGATGGTGAGATGTAAAGTTGAGGAAGCGATCTGTGTTTCTTGGTTTTTGATACCAATCTGTGATTAATGTGCCATCTGGTTGTGATGAGTGTATCAAAAAATGGATTTGTTTTGTTGTTTTCGATTTCATGTGTAAATTGTAGGCGTGGGTGATACATATACATATTAAATGTATCTAATGTAGTTTGAATTTGATCTGTGGGAACTGCTGTCAATACATCATCTAGTGTGTAGAGGTGTGTAGAGGCTAATGACCGTTAATCGATAATTATTCAGATATCGTGAGATGAGGTCGGGTGTGATGTAGGTTTCAGAAAAACATTTTCTTCATCGTGCCAACGTTTCGATCTTTTATTGAGATCATCTTCAGGGCTCAAAGTGTTTGTCTTCTGTGTAATTGTGCCATCCTTGCGTGTCGTGTTTGAGAATAAATATCATCTAGTATTTTAGTGAGGAAGGGTAATGTGAAAGGAAGTTGTGGTATGACTGTATTTAATAGACCGCATTTCTGAATAATTACCGATTAACGGTCACTAACCACCACACATTTCTTCAAATAACATTGACCAACAGAATGCTCTAGAGTGGCTCATTACAGTACGATTAAGTCTTGTGCAAATTTTGGTCCACTTTTCCCAACATCAGAATCAGATCTACTTTTTCCTGTAATGTAGACAATAAGTCAGTCAGCATAAAAATCATGGTTTAAGGATTGGTCAGCGAGTCAGACTCTCGAGTTTATAGATCCTGTGGTCATGGGTTTCATTCCCACAATCGCTCCATTCATCCACCCATTTACCCAAAAATACAATGATACAAGCCCATAAAAAAATTGTAATTAAAAACCACTGGAATTGTTGGATTCAGCATAACAAACCTTTAAAAACTGTACATTAATGAGTATGTTGCCATTTGAAATAGTGAAATTAGAGAATAGAAAATAGTGCTCATGAGAAACTAGAGAAAAATAAAAGTTTACGTGTCTCATGGTTTTTCCTAAAATATCCCCAATATACAATAATTAAATAATTTTTTTAAAAAAAAGGACAAACAGAAATTAACTCACCTTATATATAAAATAGATGTTATATAATAATGTGAAATTGTTGGTTTTAGGTACTGTCACAAATTTTATGCCATCGATGAATGACAGTTTAATGTATGTACAAAGTGCAATACAACCAAATAATGCTCAAGGTAGACAAAATAAAATAATTATCTAATGACTCAAATTAAAAGGAAATTTAATTTTTAGTAAATGACATACTACCACCGAAAGAGTCGGTGAAATCAAAAGGTTTCGAAGAGCTGGACGTTTTAAGCGAGGCATTGCTTAAGCAAAGCTTAGCTAACATGAAAAAGTACGTTTATTGCCTTTTTTTTATTTTCATATATATTCACAGGTGGTTATTTTATAGACCGTTGGATGAAGAGGTGAAGGAAAATGGTGAGCGCAACGGCCAGAGCCCGTTGAACTCATATCTGGCAGACGATATGATGCTTATTCTTGGTGATAATCACATTAATCCTAGTGAACCCGTAAAAGTTGAAACAAAAGCCCAGACAGAAAGTGAGATTATTAAAGGAAAGACAAAAGAAGAAAATGGAGTTGTTTTACAGCCATTAGGAGATCTTAAAATAACTTTAGAATCTATTAAACACAGTATGTTCTTTTTCTTAACTTATTTTTTTTTAAATATAGTTGTTAATAATGTTTTGTTCTCTTAAAAGGTAGTGTGCCACCATTCCAAGTGTTGGATCAAAAAAATGGAATCAGCGTGGCACTATATCTAGCAAAAGATTGTCCAAGAGCAGATGTTTCAGTTTTTGTGGTTACAACAAGTAGCAAAAATGAAAGTCCTTTAGAAAACTTCTTATTTCAACCAGTGGTACCAAAGGTATTGAGATATATTTTATTTAACTGTTCAATTTTGATAGAGATGATAAAATAGGAATGCCACTAAAAGGTTGGAAATTTACAGCTCATTTTTACATTAGTTGTGATGCAATTTTAATATTAGCAAAAAAGTAAATGAAATTTGTTGCTTTTGAAATTGGTGGAATTTCAAACATAGATATAGTGTGAAGGATGAATGCTGAGTTGTATATTTTAAATGAATCAACCAGTGTGGGTGAAAATGTGAGAGGCACTTGTGCCTTTAGCCACTTGCCTGGACGAATGAGTTGTCTGTGTGTGAAGGGGTTCAGGTGGTTGATTCCTCCTTCCTCCATGGTTGAACATTGAATCAACTTGCCTGAGGAAGACCTTAAGTGTTTAAATTCCATAAAAATTACAGACTATTGTGTAGATATACTTTCCTAAAGGTAGATTGGGGATGAGGCCAGGAAGACAGAAACAACATTTATTTTCTTGTCGAGCTTTCGGCAGAATATATCGCCTTCATCAGGACCGGCTATCCGTTATCTACACACATGTACCTGTTCATATAATATAACGATTTTTTTCGAAGTCCTGATGAAGACGATATATTCTGCCGAAAGCTCGACAAGAAAATAAATGTTGTTTCTGTCTTCCTGGCCTCATCCCCAATTTATCTTTAGGAAAGTATATTTAAACTGAGAAGGCTGATCAAACACCAAAAAAACTATTGTGTAGACTATTTCAGCCAAAATTTGATTTTATGTTTCTGTATTATTTTAGTTATAATTTTTAAAACTTTATTATTATTATTTTATGTTTTAGTGCTGCCGACTGAGGCTACTGCCACCTTCAAGCACTACCCTACCGGCATATAAACCGTTTCTACCACCATCTGCAATCACACAACTCATGCTTATCGCATCACCAACCAAGGTAATTTTTTCATTGCTTATCCCCCCCCCCCACCTCAATCTATAAATATTTTTTAATTTTTATTTTCCCGATAGGAACCCATAAAACTGAAATATGTCGTTAGCTACACAATGGACGAGGAAACTATTACAGAAATGGGGGAGGTCGAAGAACTTCTTATGAAGGAAAATTAGGTCTGAGTTCTGCTTGTATTCAATCTAATAGTTATTTTTAGAAGAAAACTTTAAAGAAAAGCCGTCAAGAGTTGAGGATTCAACCAACCAGGCGGCAAAACCATGGCTATGTAAATATTTACAAACAAGTGTCATAATAAAGTGGACAGATCATAAATTAGGGATTATGAAAATTGTGTGATGTGATAATTGTTACTGTTATATTTTGAAAATATATTTATTTCAATTTTAATTCACATAACAATTGATGGATACCATAAACTAATGGTAATTATCTATTGAAATTTATCAACAGCACCCGCAGAAAGTAATTATGATTCACATTAAACACTCGATGTAAACTATTTCACCAATGCTTCTTGTGATAGTGCAATGATATTTAAAAAAATATATCAATGCGGAAATAGTGTTAGAACCAATCATAACAGTCGCTTCATTTAGATATTCTATGTAAATTAATAATAAAAATAAAAGCAATAAGACCCAGTAACATACAACTTTACAACTAAAATCTAAATATTATTTTTCAAAAGCCCAAGAAAATATATATACTTATACTTGAAGAATATATGTAAGGGTATTTTAGATTATGTAAACTTTGATATCATAAATTTAAATTAACTAAAGAGTCAATTTGATATATCATTTTTTGTTATAATGAGGCTTGTGGTGTGATTTGTGGTCCCAATCATTCAAACTGTAATTTAAAACTCTTTCTGCATTGGTACTGCGCTTACTTTTCATGATACTTAATACTGTTTATGTTTAAATATTTATTTTTTGTAACCATTCAACAATGATTAAAGTAACAAACTTTTTATTTATTTTTAAAATAATAATGGAAAAATTGGATTTTAAATACAATTTCAACAATAAGTGTCTTTGTGCATTCCTTCCCAAAAGCAGTGGTGAGGGTTGAACCCCCCCCCAAAAAAAAAATACGCAGTGTAACTGAAAATCTTTTCCCAAAAATTTTTTTTTATCTGTTCAACTTTTATACTAGTGCAGGTGGTTAACAGAAGAAGAGCCATCTGCTTGGACAGCCGGGCAGCATTGGGGGCAATTTAGGGATGGTTAGGGGTAAACATATGTAAAAGAAGTGAAAATAAATGATAAAAAAATAATTAAAGAAGAGAAATAATAAACAAATATAAAAGAAGAGCGAAGGAATGATAAAAATTTAATTAAAGTATCAAACAAGACAACAACAACAACAAATGAACTCATCAAAGAAACAAATGTAAAAGAAAGAATGATAAAAATTTAATTAAACCGTCTAGCTGAAGGTCGTGGGTTTGAATCCCGCTTGTGACACTAATTTTTTGATCTCAACCAAGTCCTTAGATAAAAAGATTAATTAATTGTAATAATTAATATGATCAATTATGACAGCTAAACATATATGATTTAATTAAACAATATAAATATATTACTAAATATAAACGAAGTGAGAGGGAATAATAAAATCTAATTAAACAACAAAAATATATAAACAAACAAAGGAAATGAAAAGGAATGACAAAAAATTAATTAAAGAGCAGAAATATATAATCAAATGTAAAAGAAGTGAGAAGGAATGATAAAAAGTTAATTAAAGAAGAGAAATATATAAACAAATATAAAATAAGTGCGAAGGAATGATAAAAATTTAATTAAACAATCAAACAAGAGAATTATATAAACAAATGTAAAAGAAATGAGAAAGAATGGCAAAAATTTAATTAAACAACAGAAATATATAAACAAATATAAAGGAAGTGACAGGAAAAGATAACAATTTAATTAAACAACAGAAACATATGAATAATATAAACAAAGTGAAAAGGAATTATAAAAATTTAATTAAACAAGAGAAATATATAAACAAATATAAAACAAGTGAGAAGAGATCATAAGAATTTAATTAAACAATTAAATTAAATTTTTTTCTTAATTTTTTAAAATATTTTTTCTATCTCCCTCTATCTAGAATTATACATATAATCAATGCTAAATATTTTTTACATAAACTCAGTGCGAGAATTCTTATGTTTATATATGCTTTTATGTTATGTTGCTCAACTATCACCAATATTTATCTATTGTATTCAATAAATATAATAAGTGTTCCTTTTAAATTTTAACTTTACTGCCAATTTTAAAATGTTTGTAGTAAAACTATATACTTTTTGCCGACTCCTGACAAATAAAGTATTTCTTTCTGTCAATAAATAAAAATAATATTAAAAAAAGTGAAAAGGGATGATAAAAATTTAATTAAACAACAGAGATATATAAAAAACATACAGGAAAGTGCAAGGTATGAAACGAATTTAAAGAAAACAACAGAAATATATAAACAAATCAAATGCAATTGCTGTGATCAATATTTAAAAAAATATAATATTTAATTATAATAATTTAATAAAAATATTTAATTAAATTGACTGAAGAAAAGGTAAAAAGTAAGTTTTAAATAATTGTATTATAATTAGTTTTTGCAAATAATATTTGAAATTTGGCGGATTTGACACGGAGCAAGTTACAAGGCGGCCAACTCGGACCCTTGACGAAGGGCCGCTATTGGACGAGGCGGGCGCCATTTTCCCATCGATCCATTCGGCCCTTGCCGTCAAACAAACCCCAGTACGAGTTCGTCTCACGTGGCCTTTTTCATATTTCACCGGAATTAAGTTTTAACGGCGACCCAGGGTCACCGTTGATAAATCGGCTTTTATCCATTCCAACTCTCATACCAAGCAGTCCACGGACGGGACAGAATTTACAGTGAGTTTATTTTCACATTACACTTTCGATTATGGCCGATGCGCAATTAGAATTCGCCTTTTTATTATTATTATGTATTCAATTTTTTCAAGACAGATAAGGGTTGGATTATCTTCTGACGAATAAAATCTAGCTCCACCATTAGAGAAGGTGTCGATTGTTAATTTCATTTTATTTATATTGAAAAATCGTTTCGCCGAACTTTGTTTACGTCCGGGTGGAGTCTCCGCCATGCATGTTTTTTATTGACCACATTCTCTTTTCGACAGGATTGCCTTTCTCTGAGCGGTAAATCAATTTTCGACGTTTTCCACTTTTGAAGAACCTTATTTTGCGATGTCGACGGTTATTTATATGTTTGAAAAATCAGCCGGAAAAACTGAATAACCTTACCCGCCGGTCCGTGTTTATTGCTGTGATATGCGACGTATTTTCTTGTTTTTCATTTGTTTCACTCATATTTTGCTAAAACGTGTTGAAAAAACTTGTTCGGTACAAAAACGTTCATACCACGTTGTCGACTTTTACATTGCATCGGTTCTATTTTCATAATATACTCGTGTGCCAATTTAAATTGAATGGACTATAACTCATGGTTGTTTGAAATTAATTTGGTTAAAAAAAAGTTTAAAAAAATCCATTTTTTTCGGGGGTACGCAGTTGTAAAACCATTGCGCAATAGTTCAATTATCTCCATTTTTTACATCTCCCTCTGTTATAACAGAAAATGTTTCAATAACTTAATATAATCATTGTCTATGCAGTCAGATAATTTATGTACAATATATATTAACATTCTTTAGTGTTACAGTGTTTCTCATGTCTGGAAAACTGATAAAAATCGCTCCAAGACTTGTCGAAGGTTGTACAAGGAAAATTTAATAAATCAAAATTGCAAATTGATGTTGATATTGGTTTTAAGTGGGTTGTATTTGAAGATAGCGATGAAGGTTGAAAACCACGTGGTCGCCTTCCAACAGTCATACACGCTTTAAAAAAACTAAACCAACGAGTTATTTATAATATAAAAAAAAAATCATTTTTTGAAGATTCAAATCGTTTTGGAAAAATAGATTTTTATTATTTTTAAAATCAATTATCCAAGGATCCAATAAGATTTCAATGCGTTCCTGGTCAGTATGGCTATTTGTTGCGATTTGCGGATTGACCTTAAACCAGTTCACTTCCCAGGAATTCATTCTTCTGGGATTTAAAGTTTTTTTCTCCTCTCTAATGACTATACCTGATTTATATATATACCTAATAGGTATAGTTATTACCTAATTTATATATGTACCTAATACGTATATTATTATTATTATATTATTAGTTATATTGTGTGTCTGTTGTGGCTGCGTGGTGATGAACCTGCAGTTTAGTAGCCTCCCGTCTTTGTTGTTTTGGCGTCTTTCAGACTCGTTTTGGCACATCGGTCGGTTTCTTGTCAGTTTTATAAATTACACAAACTCTCACCAATGAAGATGTCAAAATAATGAAAATACCAAAAACACCTTGGAAAGGTAGTCGAGTCTACTTTTCCTAGATACCATTTCGCTGAATTTCTTCTTTAAACCGAACTAGACTTTTGAATGAACTTTTTCATGTTTTATGAGATAGTGTATTACTATGTACAATGGCCAGTGAAGATCCGTACGACTTTTCTTTAAGACCTGTATTCTGGGTGTGAGATAAACTTTCCTGCTACCTATGAAGAATGATACAATTACGCAGAAAACAAACACTGAGCCCTGAAGATGATCTCAATAAAGATCGAAACGTTGGCACGACAAAGAAAATGGTTTTCTAAAACCTACGTCAGACCAGACCGCATCTCACGATCTCCGAATAATCATTGACCAACGGTTACTAAACACCACACATTTCGTGCTACCGTTTTAGACTATTAGTCATAGGTTGTTTCAGTTCAGAGTGAGGTTATGTATTTCTATTCGTCACTTCCACTATCATTTCACTTGTGCTCTATCTTTTTTATAAGTTTATAGGGCTGGTTCATTTCCTGTCGCCCACATTACAGTAGCCTAATAGTGTATTTTCCAAGCTTTTCATATGTGTTTGATCCCAAACCAACTTGTCGAACGCTCCCATAAATTTGCTCTCTAAGTTATCTATGTACTTTCATAATTAAATCGCGTAGACTAGGCTTAACAGACATAAAAACTGTGTTGACCTTCGCTTCTTCCTGGCAGATTCAACAAGTGTCTGAATGCTTTATCCATGCTTTTGAAATGGTATTACAATGATCTCAGTTCCACTATCATCTTACTTGTGATCTACCTTCTTTATTAAGTTTATAAGACTGGTTCGTTTCCTGGCATCCACATTACAGTAGCCTAAAGGCCTGATTTACAGGTTGCAGCTGTTGAAACGTCATGTTGAGGTACTTACTGGCATCGTCAGGGGCGGGCAATAGCTGTTTACACGGTGCTAGTAACTAGCATGCGAATTGACACTTTTTACTAGTGTCGAGCTACTGGCGATTAACTGGTAGTATTTCTTTACATTGTTAATGTAATAGACAAAACGTTGACATCTGTCCTCTTCTCTTGTTGCTTTTTTGCGTTTGCTTTTTATCACAAAAATGTTCTATGCCCATAGACAAGTGCTTCAAAAATCTATACATTTCGTTTCTTTGGTTGTGTGTGAGGAGCTTTTACAGGAATTACTGCGAGAGAAGAGGATGTGGGTACTAGGTTGAATGCACAGTAAAGAGGTGGGAGCATCAGAAAATATTTAAGAGAGCTTCATTCAACAGATCCTCAGAATTTAAACCAGTTATAAAACTTTTACCTTTTACTAGAAAAAGTTACTGTGCTTTAATAAGTCCACAAGATACTGTGATGCGTAATGTACTGCCTGCAAAACTAAAATTATAAACTATTCTGTCTTTTCTACCATCTGGAACCAATTTCTCGATACTATCAGCTTTTCGTATATCATAAGCAACAACAATAAAACAATTCTGTAATTTACAGAATAAAACGGTCGGTTTTTTTGTTAAATGAGGCAATCATCAAACTTCAACAAGGCTGAACCTGTAAATCACACATTAACTGGTGATGTTAGTGACTGGCACACTGGCATTTCCAGCATTGGCAACAAGGTGTTTACACCTCCAGTCGCTACTGGCCAGTGGCTAGCAAGATCAACTGGCACACTTACTAACAATGTGTAAATCAGGCTGTTTTTCCCATCCTTTTCATATGTTTTTGGTATTTCCAGCTTGTAGCAAAAGTTCCATGAATATACTTAACTCGATCTTGCTCTCTTGAGAGTGGATGTACCTTCATAGTTAACAGCTTGGAATAGGCTTAACAAGCACATAAAACTGTTTTGACATCCATTTCTTCCTGGCAGATTGAACATGTATCTGAATGAGTTTCCCCTTGTTGAGGTAGGATTAAAATGAATTTGTTCACATCTGTTATCATCTTACTTCTATCTGTTTCATCAAGTTTATTAGGCTAGACAATTAATTTCCTGGCACCCACACAACAGTATAATTCTATTTTTTCTCACTCCAGACGCGTTTGTTACTCCCAAACCAGTTCGTTCCATGGAACATACTTAACCAAGGCTGGCAATCTTGAGAGCAGCATCTATGCACATTAATAGTTCAGTGGCATGGTCCTTACCTTGGATTAAGTCCATGTGTCTCAGAGTTATGTAGAAGATACCCTTGTTAGTGAATAAAGAGTCTTAAATTGGCAAAAAAAGCAGTAGTTAACTTTAAAAACGGTGAATTAATCACTAATTGGTAACTGGTTATTTCAGCTTTTATAATGTTATTTTGAATTAATGTACAAGCCAAACTGCCTCCATTTAGTGCAGTTTCTGATCCGGTTTGGTGGGTTCTTTTTTGTAAAGATTAAAAAATGTCATAAAACAAAAATCCTTAATAAAAATAGTATTTAATTTATGTAGTAAAAAATTATTCTATAAAGAAAGAAGCATTGTTCAAATTTTTCTCTGTATGGTCTGCATTGGAACCTAACGACTGATCATTTGGAAAGCGATGAAAAGAAATGCTCTATTTGGCACCTTCAACCTTAAATTCTTCAAGGTGAGTGCATTTTCCATGGGGATAAAGTTGGGTCAAGCCCCACAATGTAGATTAGGTCAGATCGCAAGGCAGGAGGGTTTTCAAATCTCTCCGAGAATTATAATTACATGTGTAAAAAAACTTAAAACATATTAACAGTTACTTATAATTTGTACTGCGTATGTCAGAGGTTGGTTGTTGGCCAAAGCATAGCGGCTTAATAGGTTTGTCGTGGCCTTTCAGTCCCTCTTGGTCCATTTTACCAATTTGAGTTCAAATTTTTGAACCCAGTCCAAAAAGTTGTCAACTGGGAATAACGCTTGTATACTATTGGTTAATTCGTGTCTCGATTTAGTGGGTGCTTGGGATAAATAGTGTAAACAGCAGTTCGTAATTAAAACATCGCATTGGTGTTTATATGTCATTTTTGTATTCAGTAAGACCTCAATAAAACCACTAATTTAACTTTTTACCGATCTAGCAAGATTGCTGGAAGATTCCTTTCTGCCATCCCTCGTGCACGACATATGTCATTAATTCCAAGCTCTACCTGCGAATTTAGATTAAATTTGGTTTAAGTTCCAAGGTATAAATGCTGGATGAGGTTTTTCTCGTTACGAATTAATATCCCTCGGACATTTAATAACGTGTATTTCGCCTTGAAAGAGAACGGCCACTTTCCAAGACCTTCCATTGAGAACTAGATTCTAACGGTCTTCGTTACAGTTTGAAAAGCTGTCGGTGTTCATCGTTAATTGGGAAGTCTTTTTAAAAAAATTAACATTTTACAATGATCGATTGTGTACTTTTGAATTATTTCGCTTAATGGAAGACTAACCGTTTTCAGTAACCAAAAATTTATTTTTAAATTCAAATAAAAAAATATATGTAATTATATTGTTGCTAATGATTGTCCACAATGTCATTTAATATCGCACGC